AACTTCTTTAATTATGGTAAAAAAATAAATCAACAACATTAAATTTTAAAATAAATATGCATTATTAGAGCATATTTGTTGTCACGCTACTCGCGCATGCGCACCACTCTCGCCCCTCGCTACTCAAAGGTTACATGCACCCATCTTGCGGATCTGTCGCTGCACTGTATACGGGTACCCTAGTTCGTAGCATTTAGTTAGCGTTTTATTTATCATTATTAATCAAGTTATGAATTTAAGTTTTCATAGTTTTGAGACAGAACCGAAATTCCCGAAAAGCTCAGGTTTTCCTCAGCTGTAAACTGGGTTCCAAAGTGGACGGTGACTCGGTTTTTTCGGTTAACCGAGTAACGGGTCGAAGGTTACCTTACTTTTGAGAATTCTGGGTATACAGATTCATGACTTACCGCTGTCGAAATCCAACAACGCTTCTCCATCGCGGCGTTCTGAATATGAATAATCAGAGGATCCGGACGACGACTCGCTCGACGATGTGGAAGTGGAAATCCTGAAACAGGAAACATATTGATAGCGTACCGAGACGCGAAGGTATTACGTATCCGGTTGAAATTCTTACTAGCCTAGCCTTTCTATCATATACATTTGGGGGAGTGTGCGCAGGAACTTTTCAATTTACTTCCACCCTCACCTTTCCTTCTTCGGTCGACTAGAAGGTCCGGAACACTCCATCCTTATATCGTTGATATACCACAAATTTGCACTAATCGCTTTGCTTCCTCCTTTCTGATGCGTACGGCAAAGGAATGGAATACTCTATCTGTTTTTCCCGAAAAGTACAATTTGGGTATATCAAGGCTCGAGTGAATACGCATTTTTTAGCAAACGCGTCCCATCCTCGGTCACATCTTTATCTTAATTGCAAAACACACAAAAATAGGTACAGAGATGTGCCTAGCTCCCAAAGTAGGATCCCCTGTACTATGGGTTAGCTAGGTCTTACGTCCGTCAAGTGTGTTGCCTAAAAATAACAGTCTATTACAATAACTAAGTATATTACGGTAAGCTTATAAAATATTAATGGTAGAACACACAGAGAGGTGGTTTACATTTCAATTTGGTACATTCATACATTTCTTATAAAATCCAGTATAGTTCTAGTTTTTATAAATAACAAAAAACAACCAACTTCAGTACCTACCAACAAAGAACAGAAACATTGAAAGAAAATTGTATAATCAGGATAGGATGCATTGTTCACAAATCACCAGCACAAAAGAAACGTAAGCATGGATGGAGTAAACAATATACAGTACACCTCATAGAATGCAGATAAAATAGATGCATTTTTTTTTGTGGTTTGTAGTTAAAGTTAATATTTGTATTATTTGAGTAGTAATTATTTAGTATAAGTATATTATTATAGTATTTTTGTATAGTTATTTTATTGTAAATTTTCTAGGAATTTTGTCCATACTTTTTGGTTCTACTATATGTTACATTCGTTTTATACGCCAAGCACCGTTCGAGTGTCGAGGTCTTCTGTGTCTGAATATGATTTTTTAATTAACCTGTTAAACACGCACTTTCTCACTTGACCCGCAGTTTTAGCTAGCTCTTCTAAATCGTTGTATACCCGCGTGTAAACAAAAGGACCCATATGACAGTAAAATCTTTGGACAAAAACCGATCCAGTGCGAGGTACCACCCGAGGACCCTCCCTAGTCCTTATACTTCGAAGAAATCTGTCATCACCCTGTTGACGGGATATTTTCAAATCCAGGGCTGACTTGTGAAAACGCAGTACCAGTTTCTGTATATAAAGCTGCTTGATCGTTAACAGTTTATTTTCACTGTAATTGATGAGTGGGAGAACGGAAATTTCTACCAAAAGTTACCTTAAGAACAGACCTCTGAGCGCGTTCTAGACCTAAAAGTGTTGCTTTGGCAGAGCCACCCCAAACCACGATACAGTATGGAACCAATGACTGACATAAGGCAAAGTACACAGTCCTTAAGAGGCAGCTTTTGGCAAAAAAACATGGAAAAAAAAAGAGCCCTGATTTTTTTCTCTAAATTAGGGTTTTTTTTTTCAGAAAAAGTAAAATGGAAGAACTGAAATAAAATACGACACTAGATTTTGTTTTACGAATATATATGTGTGTGAATATATATATATATATATAATAAACATTTCATATATATGTGAAATGTTTATTAAAATCAATTACCATGTTATCATGATAATTATAACAAAAATTTAATCTTCATTTGTGGTGTTACTAGTGTTACTACTGTTACAGGTGATTGTTACCCACAATTGTAATGTTATCAAAATTTTCTGTATCTTCGTTTCCTTCATTCAAATCCTACCGTATAATTTTATATAAGCGGCTTGCTAATGATTCTTTGTAAATGTTGCTATATAAGGGACATGTGCGATGTGGAAAAAATATCGATATCGCTCTTACATAAGTAAATAAGTGGTATTTTTATCAGTAATCATCAAAGTAGCGATGCAACAGCAATCGATAGATTTAAAAAAAAGTAAAAATGTTAGAATCCCCGCATTTTTCCCACATAGCGTCAATCCCACAAAATGCCCAATCGAGTTGAAATTCCCCGCAATTTGGGGAATTCGCCACAAATTGACAAAACTATGAGTGTTGCCCATTTATTTTGAACAACTTATCTATGAAGAATAATATTAACAACAAAATAACGCACAATAATAATAACGCACACATATCAACATAGCCCCGCACTAGGGAAACCCTGTGTCGCGGGTGCCATGGACACACACATAGACAACCACAAATTACACCCAAACTCACGAGAGAAATAAAAGTAGGTCATACAAATATTTCTCCCGGCCCGGGAATCGAACCTGGGACCTCTGCATGGCAGTCCGGCATGGTAACCGATCGACCACGGAGGCAGTCAAACAAAAGGGGAAATGTAACAAAAAAATACTATTGTCATATTTTGATTTTCATACTTTTAGAAAAAAAACATACTTCAGAAAAAAAAGGTTTCTTTTCATGTTTTTTTTTTCATTGTTTTTTTCATCTCAGAAAAAAACGGTTTTTTAACAACACTGGTAACAACTGACATGCCTTTTTCTGTATAGGCCCTAACATCAGCCCAACACTTACATTCGAAAATAATTGCCGTGTCATCTGCTAAAGTCACTATTCTGGCCGACACTACTTTCAGATTACATAAATCGTTTATGTAAACTAAAAATAACGTCGGCCCGAGGACACTTCCCTGGGGTACGCCAAAGGTTACGTGAAGTAAAGTAAAGGTTACTCGTGTTGCTGGTACAAGTGTCGAGCTTTACAAATTGCTTCCGATCCGTCAAATAGATTGTGAACCAGTCCAAGGCCAGTCCCCTGACTCCAAAAGCTTCTAGTTTCCTAAGCAATAGCGGAATTGAGACGGTACCGAAGGCCTTTTTGAGATCCAAGAAGGCACCGATGCATTCACTGCCATTGTCTGAACTTTGTACTATCGTTTCAGTTAGCAGTATGATGGCGTCCTCAGTGCTGTTGCCTGGTCGAAAGCCAAACTGATTTGGTGCTAGCAAATTCTTCGTTTCCAGAAAATTTAACAACCGCTTATTTACTATTTTTTCCAATAGTTTAGCCACAAGAGTAAGCAAAGAGATAGGTCGATAATTACTCACATCATTATCGTATCCCCAGATTTGTATATAGGACAAACTTGTGCAATTTTTAACAGTACTGGTACACGTCCCGTAGATATACTCAAGTTGATCACATAAGTAAGTTGTTCAGCAATTACCTAATGCATATCCTTGAGAACCCTAGGAGTCAATATATCCCACCCAGGCGCGCCATCCGCCTTAAATGTGAGTATAGTTTTTGAAATCTCTATAGGATCAGTCGGAGTAAGATAAAACGATGCAGTGTTATTAGTCAATACGTGTTTAATCTTAGCTTCAAGATTTTCTTCGGTAGCTCGTGTAGATTGAAGTATGTTTCTAGTTAAATCTGACCCTATCGAAGTGAAATAGTTATTGATAAAGTTGACCGAATCTGTTAAGGTATTTCCTAGATTGTGCAGATCATATTGAGTCTTTGACTTAGGGGTATCTATATTGCATATCGTTTTTATGATATCGACATCATCTCTTAACATCAGGTGAGATCGTGGCCAAACGTGTCTATTATTTATTAAAAAAAAAACAATACAAAATGTTAAAGTAATAAAAGCTCCGGAAAGTAAATTAAAAAACAGTTATAATTATTAATAAAAAGATTGGAAACATAGAAATAGTACATTGCGTATTAAGGATGCTAAATAAGGAATTACGAACGAGATTCTTTTAGAACCCCCAAATCGAAGACTTTCTGAGTCGAGGTTCGTAATTCCTGTACCGCCCGTGAAACATACAATGTTATTCATCACCTTTGCGAGTAAATACTATGATTGCATGCTATTGACTTGACTATTAACGCCCCAAACAAAACCCTCGGGTCCTTTTTCTTCTCATTACAGCCAGGATCGTGTATTAAGTCAAGAATATTATTTGGAAGTACAGATTCTTTTTGTAGAATTGTGATATCAATAAGTTCTTGATTGTTTGCTAAATGATTAATTTTCTCGGTATATTCCGTGTTTATTTTTCACTAACTCACTTAAACACGGCTTAGTTGGCGTTAATACGATGCGATTTCATTTCTTCGGGAATGTCCTCATGTATTTTGTACGTTAGACGAATGATATAGTTCGTAATGCTATGTACAATTACGTTACAAAATTAATTTCCATTCTGTGACAATGAAAATTGAGAGACAACCAAAGCCCCGTAGGCTTCTCGTAGTTCGTGCCATGCACCATGATTTTACAGTACTACTACACATACTCCGTCCAACCATTATTTTCACTTTGGATGCCTCCAAAGTTCCGTAATTATTGACATATAACCATAAAAAATGCAATATTTCCTGGACTTATTTTTAATTTTAGTGAAGCGACACGTGCTCTTTAGCTCCAATACATGTATATCGATCCAAAAGATTATGTAACGAAGATTATTCAAGTTGATAAATTTTGGCACCTGTCTAATAAATTATTATCATCACGAGTCCAAACAGACAAATTTTTTTTAACCCGGTCACATTCACGATTTAAATTTCTTCATAAATAAAATCGATTGTTATAAAAAATCGAATCGGAAACGCATTAGGACACTGATGATTAGAATTCGAGCTGTCGTGGATTCGCTTTGGGCCTTTTGGAGGGAAAAGTGTCGTTTTCATTTTGACTTTCAATTATTTTGTGAAATCTAGTTTAAAGTGGAATAGGATAGTGCTATTGTGCCTTAGTCGAAGATTAAAATGCGAAATTATACGAATCTCGAACTAAAATACCCATTTCGGCCCGTTCTAAGGAATCCCGAGTCAATCCAAGAACGCCGCCTCAAATTGTCTATCCTCTTTGTGGCGGCCATATTTACAGAAACATAATTAAACGAAGACATGGCTCAAAGGACTTGTATCCAAGCCAAAATTATTAATAAAAAAAATTCGTGCTGTCAAAAATTAAATAAAAGGTTGGACGGAGTATAGATAAACAAACATGAGACGTACTGATGCTGATGGGTAGACAACGTCATTAAAGTCACAGGCTGTACCTTGGCTGTACTAAATAAATAAAAAATAATAATATCTTTATTAGCACTTTTGCCGTACAATTTGTACAGAGCAGCAAATACAAAATTATAGGTGTGGATATAAATTAGCACAGAATATAAAAGAAGGCGTACCAAATTTAAAAAGTTATGTCTCCTAATCTAGTCAAAAGGCTATATCTTTGGAGGCAGTATTCTGTTACGCGTAACAAATATAATTTGCCATTACATAAAATCAAAACTTCAGTCAAAATAAATAAAGTGTAAACTGATGTGAGTCTCTACGGTCATGGTATTACAAATGGTGTAGCTATGTGTGTAACAAATAAATTCTAAAAGGGATAATTCTAATACAGATTAAGGTGAAAATAAAAAAAAATAAACGTAAAAAAAAACTATTCGAGTTGGTTTTCGCGAAATTAAACTATTTTTTCGGTTTTAATAGCGTAATAATTAATAATAAACTTTAATTTAATTAGAATTTATACGAGTGTTAAAATAAAATCAATTTATAAAACAAGTACGCAGCGTAAATTGGAATAAACAATTTGGTGACTTTTTTGTTATTTCTTTCTTTTTTTTTATCTTAACGTTTGGCTTGTTAGACTAAGTAGCCTCAATTTTGCCGGTGTCCGTTTTCTAGTTTCACAAACGCCATGGATGATTTGTTAGACTGTACACAGAAATTTTTGTTCGGTCACTCAGAAAGCATCGAAGAGATTTTTGTACAAATTAATTCCTAGACTTTTTTATTATACTTTTAATTAATAACTTTTGTAACAATATCGAATTCTTAGGTTTTCGCGATTGTTACACATAGGAAATGAAACTGTTTTTCCGGATTTAAGTCGCGTATATTTGTTCAAACAGACATAAGACTGCAGTACTAATTAATATGTTTTAATTTATTCTAAATTCTATTATTAATTAATAATAAATTGAACTTAATAAAAATTCATTCAATAAAATAATTTGTAAAACTTAATGTAGCGTAAATTGAAATGTTTTCTTTGTAAAATTAAAAATAAGGTATTTAATTAATAACTAATGTAACTATAGTGAAAAAATAGGATGGTTTGCATCAATATTAGACATAACTGGTTGAAGACTGTACCACCTCTGTCAACCGTGACCATGGGACCTGTAAAGGGCCCGAAACGTCGGTTTGTTCGAAAAAACAAATATACGCGATTTAAATCCAGAAAAACAGTTTCATTTCCTTTTGTAACAATAGTGAAAAATATAGTGGTTTGTATTAATATTAGACGTTGATGGTTAATGAATTTACCCTCCCAGTCACGCGTGACCTGGGCCCTGATTTTAATTCAAACTTTCTACAACTTTACGTGTTCCACAAATTTTTGATGTCAGTTTTTTTTTAATAAAAAATCTTTTTAGATGCCGAAAAAATCTCTAAAAAGTAGAGCCTTATAATAATAATAAATCGCATCATATTTGTTTTTTCAAACAAACCCTTAACAGGTCTCATGGTTACGCCATGGTCGTTTTACAACCAGCCAATAATCTATCTCTTTCTCTTCCAATGGGTAGCAACAGCGAAAGCCTAACAATTAATAGAAAATTAACTTACGACTTCATCTTCTTCTTCCTCCTTTTATGCAGATGTTTTCTAAACTCCTCCACAATCTCAGGGTTCTCGATGACTTGTCTTCGCCAGGGCGGTTCCACAGACGGCGTCCGTTGCTTTTTCTGCGTCGGGACTACAGTAGAATAGTGACCGCGCCAGCGCTTGGAATACTTGTACCTAGGTCGAAAAATTAGCACGATGTACGTGCTATTCTTATCATTAGTCTAGTAGCAGTAGAGCTCCTTGTAAAAGAGTTCGTGATGTGAATATTTAATCAATCAATCAGCCTATTGTAGTCCAGTGCTGGACATAAGCCTCCCCAAGTGTACGCCATAGTGCCCGATCACCCGTTTTCCGCATCCTACCACTACCCACGACCTTCTTCAGCTCGTCGGTCCATCTTGCAGGGGGACGTCCTACGTAACGTTTGCCGAGACGTGGTCTCCACTCGAGAACCCGTCTACTCCATCGCTCATCGGTTCTGCGACAGATGTGGCCAGCTCACTGCCACTTCAGCTTGCTACATTTCTGGACGATGTCCACAACTTTAGTCTTATAACTTCCGCCTTCTAGCCAGATAACTTCGTTCCGGACTTTGGTCCTTAACGAGATACCCAGCATAGGTCTTTCCATAGCTCGCTGAGCGACATGTAGTCTGTGAGCCAGTTTGATCGTCATATTCCACGTCTCGGCTTCGTAAGTCATGACCGGTAGGACGCATTGGTCGTAAACCCTGGACTTCAGGCACTGCGGGAGTGGTAACGAGAAGACATGATGCAGTTTCCCAAATGCTGCACAACCCAGCTGCACTCTTTTACCTATTTCACGCTCGAAGTTGTCTCTGCCTAGTCGCAGGGTTTGCCCGAGGAAGACATATTCCCGGACAAATTCGAGCGTTTCGCCATTAATCGAGATCTGCTCCGGGATGACGACCTCATTGAACAATACCTTAGTCTTGTCCAAATTCATCCGAAGACCGACCGATAATGAGGCAGCATTAGGAGAATGTAAATATTACTGCGTTCCGATTTTGAAGGGTAAGTGCGATTACATACGGCTACTTTTACAGTAACTAATCGTCGACCTTTACACACAAATGCGCGATTTTAAGCAGAGAGATTTTAAGCGATGCAATCGCGCGTTTACATCGCCGTGTGTAACCACTCTAAGAGGGCTGGTCAAGGTGACGGATGATGATGTGCCACTCAGATCTTTGTGATTTAAAGCTCTGAGTGGCATTGCAACTGTAATAGATAGACGTGTCGCTTACCACCAGGTGCACGACTACAACGACAGTCGTCAGACGGCAAATAAAACGTCACGATAATAGTGTAACCACAGATAATCGCAGTTTCAAACGTTTCTGTCGTGCAAACGACAAGGCGGCGGCCGTGAACCGATAAATTGTCATCACGATCTAGTTTGAACAGCCAGACACTACAGTCTTTCTCCGATGAAATAAGCGTCAACGACACAGTCACGACAGATAGTCGTGATACGGGAACAGGTAGACGCGGCAGTCGTCCAACGATAAATAAAACGCTACGAGATAATGGGAACGCGTCCTTAGTCGTGCAATGCACAACGGGAAGTGAGCGTGCCGACAGCTCCATTACCCATTAAGACAACAGGAAGGGTGCTGTACGGTTTTTTTTATAATACCAAGTGATGGGACGGACAAGTCGTGCGCCTGGTGTTAAGCGACACGTCTATCCATAACAGTTGCAATGCCACTCAGAGCTTTAAGTCCATTGACTTACAATTATATGGACGTCGGGTACGCGCTAAAAAGTGTCCGCACTTGTAAGGCGCTAAAATCGTATACAGAGCGCGACACTCCGCTTTAGTCTTCATTTGTTCGACTGACAGCGCGATACTGCTATGACATTACAATTTAAATTTCGAATAGGTTGACTTGGGACATTTTTTTCGTGGTTTTTGTATTAGACCCGTCGTCCATTTATTTGTAAGTCAATGTTTAAGTCGTAAAGATCTGAGGGGCACTGCCACTGCGCCCGTCACCCTGAGACGTAAGTTGACAAGTCCCATGTGCCTGTAATTTCACCAGCAACTTTGCCCTTCGAAACCGGAATGTAGAAATAGGTAAGGTGGCAATAATTCCCTGGACGAACTCTTCCATAAGCAACGCTACTGCTACGGTTACTAGTGCACCCGGAGTCGCTCACTCAAAGCACTAAGCCTTTCGAGCACCGGATGAAGTCTGTGTCAACAGGCTGATCTGGGGTCAAGACCGGACTGAATAAGGTCAACACTCAACATAGCCCCGCACTATGGAAACCCTGTGTCGCAGATGCCATGGACATACACAGACAACCTAAAATTACACCCAAACTCACGAGAGAAATAAATGTAGGCCATACAAATATTTCTCCTGGCCCGAGAATCGAACCTGCGATCGCTGCGTGGCAGTCCGGCATGGTAACCGTTCGTCCACGGAAATGTTTAAAAAGTAGTTAATATTATTGGTGCAAAAATTGAACAACACAAAGAATAATTCCATCGACCGATTCAGCTACAGACAGATGGACAAACGCTCGGGTTTCACCACGGTGCTTTGTTTAAATCGGGTTAAAACCCATTAACGCCCGAAATCGAGGGCAAAAACTATTTACAATTAGAATAGAATAGAATAGAATAGACATTTATTGCAACGCCACAACATATAGATACAAAAAAAAATATATTGATACTACTTAGACAAGCAAAACAAAACAAAAAGACGTAATAAACAAAATTAAAATAAAATTAAATAAGACAATAACAAACAAAGAGCAAAACAGAAAAATACTAAATATAACAACTACAAATGTTGTACTGTCATGTGTGCGGTTGTGGCGTACGCAAAAGGACTTCATTCAGCTTATGCCACAGCCGCAATTGACTGTGGCGCTGGTTTTCAATGAGCCCTTCAATGAGGTTTTCAATTAAATATTTGTAAATCGAATTTTGTGTGTAATGTTATTATTACAAAATGTTTATTGCTTGCTTATTTATATTGCCTTTATATTGAATGGGTTCGCTTGAAATTCGCATTGAAATGAATCGATACAATAATCGCCAGATCGTATACACTTGAATCGATATAGTTTAGGGGAGAGGTGTGTCAATTGTAACAGCGAGGCAATTGTAACATCTGTTATGTCACGACATCTATTTGACGAGTAGCCGAAGCTCTTGGTAGCAATCGAATCTTTATTTGATGCTGTTTTATTGACCGAAAGCACAGGTAAAACAGTTCGCGCATGCGCTGTCAGTAGATGACAGTTTGAAATATAGCTAGTAAAAATAATTGCTTCGCATAGTTTTCGATAAGAAAACGGTATTACAAGGTACAGTAGTGATTTTCATAGAAGTTAACGTCTAATCAATACGTGTAGGTAGTTGAGATGATCAAATTTGTCATAGATTTTTGTTATCTTAGTCTTCACTGCCAAAACGCGGCAGTGGTGCAAAAATAACAAAACTAGGAGGTGCAATTGTAACAAGAAAACCGCTGTATGTACTTTACATATACCAATTTTTTTTTATCAACTCTGAACTAAATACAACACGTATAGTACGTATATATACGATGCACATTATTTAAATGGTTTTAATTTCGTTTATAAAAAAAATCTGAAATAAAACCAGTATCCCTGCCACTCGACCGGCGCAATAGAACCTATTCAGTATTGGAAAATTTTAATTTGAGCTGAGGTAGTAACTGTAAGGTCATATAAACTTCTGACAAGATTTTATTTCATTTATTTTTTATTGTTGACAATTTTTTGTATGTTACAATTGACCCTCTTGGTGCAGCAATTGTAACGATATTAGCTGATCTCAATAAATGAGATTTTCTAGGATTTTATCTACTTTTTTGTTATTTTCTTTATTTGATTTTATTATTAAATAACTTAAAATTATTGTGGACAAAAAATATTGCGCTGTGTTTGCTAATTAAAATATTATGAAGAATTGATTTTTTTTGTTACAACTGACACGCCTCTTAAGTGTAGTGTCACTTGAATCGATTTCCCTAGTAGTACCTGAGTGAGAGTCCACTGTGGGTATTGAGTGGAGTTGCCTCTTTATCGTCTAATAATGTCAGTACATAGTACTAAAAAAACCGAACTCAAAAGTCATTTATCCCCTAGTTAGCCAACCTTAGAGGTGAATATTTTCTTCAAATTTAAACGGGAATGCCACAGAGGTACCCTCTTTTCAACAAAAAAGAATCGTGATCGCGTAACACACACACAAAAAAAACCCGTTTTTTAAAATCGGTTAAAAAAGATATTTTACAACGAAATTTTTAATACGTAAGCAATTATACCAAATTGAGTATTATTTTACACGTATAATGGTTTCCGCCCACGATTTTGGGCAAAAATAGATCATAACCGCTTTGTGTAAAAACCCTCTGACTACAGACCGAGCCAGCAGATCTTACAATTTTGTATGTTGTAACAGATCTTTGTATTGTTCTCTATCGCAAAAACTTTGTGAGAAAACCTGACGCCTAGTGTACAAAAACTTTTTGCTTCGTAAAGACCCGTAATCGCCTAAAAACTTAAAAAGTAATATACAAAAATTACAGTGATCCAAAGTGGTTGCGACCAAGCAACGGGTCCACGAAGTTGGAATCCATGTTGAACGGCACGCTGGCAGTCTCGTTCGTATAAACCACATTGTACTCCTCCATGAAGTAAGGGTCTGAAAGCAATTGTCAACATATCGACACTGGAGGTAAAACGTGCTGGAAAATATTACACGAGACCGGTTTAAAGTATTTTTTTAAGAGAAATAACACCATAGATCTAATTTTATTTGTTATATAAAAAAGCTAAAACATTCTACTTTTCCATGCAACAAATAAAATTAACATAAGATTTTCTTTGTCTCGTTGTTAGTTTACTTCAGTATTTCATTCATATCTTTCCATATTTTTTTTTAAAGTTTTTAAAGTTTTCGGTGACTTAGTAAATAACGAAATATATATTTATATATATATAATATTATATACATTTTGATTAAACACATTTTTATTTACTTTTCGGAGCATTTATAACCATAACAAAATACCATAGGTCAAAACTTGATAATCAATTTATCTTCCTGGTATAAAATAAATGTATATTACAAACTTGAAGGCCTACACCAGCAGTGAGTGAAGTCAGGTTGTATAATGTGATGATGATAACATATACGTACATATTTATTACACATACATGAATGGTGGGTATGCGCTTAGGCGAAGGCTGCGACCCACACGATTTTTATAAAATAAATGAGTGTGCATTCGACTACCGTGTTTGACACTAGCCCCGCATTTACCTTACTCCATTCGCATATTTAACAATGATAAATATACATAGTTACATATGTGGAATTACTTGTATTTTTCGTATTTTATTGTAAACTATTTGTGTTCCTACCTCTTTGCTTAGAGGTGGGTCAAAAGAAGCGGGTCAAAAATTGTCAGATTTTTATTACGTTATTTGCCTCACAAAAATAAAGAAAATAATTAGATATTAGACCCGATTTATTTATTATCTACAATCCCACATACATAATTGGTTATATATCGCAAGATGTGCTTGAAAGATACTTAGGTCTTAGCTTGTTTAACAAGGAGCGCGAGCGCAAAACGATTAGATAAAAAACCAGTGCAGTGAGAAGGACAGAGAGCATACGGCTGCTGGACAATCGAAGTTCGCATCCTGGCCGAGCGGTTTGAAATTGAAATGAATGTAAGGTAATCAGGTTCAATTAAACTTATAAAAAATAATCTCAGAACAGAGTTCTAAAAAAAACCGACTTCAAAAGTCATTAATCCCCTAGTTTGCCATCCTTAGAGGTGGATATTTTCTTCAAATTCAAATGGCAATACTATTGAGGTAATCTCTTTCTAACAAAGAATCATCAAAATCGGTTCACAAACGAAGGAATTGTCGCGTAACATACGTACACCTTCTTTTGAAGTCGGTTAAAAACGCAACTTACTCTCAGGATCATAATACCAATCCCAAAAAAAATCCCAAAGCTTCCTGAACTGCGGCACTCGCGATTGATTCGCTGCCGGCCCGTATATGTTCTCGATGGCCTTCTTATCCGACCTGGCCAACTTCCAGTCCAGTTTGTTCATCAAATTTCTCAACGCACCAGCTTTTTGGCTTAATTTTGTCTTGGGTTTTAGATAAGTTTCTCTCCATACATTAACAAAGTTCCTTTCACTGCTCTCTGCTCCAAAACTAACAGGAGGGTCTACAGTTGATGTTTTATAAGGTATTTTATACACTTTTTTGTTTTTTCTCGCAGCTTCCATCAGTCTTTTAAGCACGCCTAAGTCAATTACACTTTTTATACTTCCTGAATCTTCTTGAGTATGCCTGCGATGGTCAAGACCGTACCTTGTAACAGTTGTAGTTTCTTGTACTTTTGTCATATTAATTTTTGATTTAGATTCCAATAATCTTTCTATGGAGTTATTAGGTTTTAACTTAGATTTTTCCGTAGCTGGACTCGTAGCGTTTTTAAATACATCGTCATTGTTATTCACAGCTGATAAATTAATATTTCTCGGAAAATTTCCCGTCAACTGACTGTTCAAACTGCTTACAGTGACGGCGCGTGCGCTGTGATCAAAAGTATGATTGGCCGCACTGACTTTTCCAAGGGTTTTGTTTATTTTTGACATTATCTCTGGTATTTTAAATAATACCGCGTTTAGTTTTTGTGAACCTTTGGATATATTTGTTGTTTCGAATTTTTTTTCTGTTGTAGTTTCATTTATTGAAGCTGGTTCTTCGTCTTCACTTTTAAAATTAAAAGGTATTTTATACAACGTCATGTTTACATTACGTTCAGTAGTAAGATTAAAATCTTTTCTAATATCTTTAGTATAAATACTCTTTAAACTGTCTAAAACAAATTCTCGCCTTTGAATATTGAGTATTTCTTTATCCATATGCACATTTTTGTGAACTTTCGAAGTAGAAGCACCTTTGTGGTGATTATTTTTTTCTTGGACTTCCATTTCAGTTGGAGTATTTCCCTCTTTCGTCTCTACCTTTTCACTTTTCTTATCTTTCATGTATAAACTTCTCAAACTATCCAGTTCAAAGTCCCTTCTCATACTTGAAATTACAATATCATAATTTAAATACGAACTTTTAATGCCCGTCTCTTTTTTCGCTGTAGAATTTTCATCTTTGTGTTTAACGTTCAAAGAATCTAATGTCGAGGTCCTCATATCTTCTCTTTTATCAAGTGATACATTTAAATTCATAATTTTTTTTAAGGTTTGTTTAATTATAGCCGATTCATTGAACTTTTTTCTTGCAGGATTGGATGTGTTTTCAAATGTTATATTGTTTATTTTTAGTTTGTTTTTATATGCAATGCTTGGTATCCTCTCCATTTTGAACTCTCTTGTATTGTTGATTTTTGGCATTACTGTGTTAATAAAATCATTTACAAGTTTGGTTATAACTTTTGTTGTAACATTGACTTTGTTTTCATTATATTGATTTGTAACATTTTCAATAGCTGTCCGATAAATATTAAGGGTCCCATTATTTAATACTTGGTCGGCTGTTCTAAAATTGCCTCCAACGTCTTCCGGTGTAGAAATTAAAATATCTCTTCTAATCTCTTCGTCAGGCTCGTGCAAGCCAGATGTCCGTATGTCTTCTTTCATTAATAAAAGGGCTGAAAATTTTAAAATATGTCAGTGAGACAGGTTTATCGGATCATTTTTTTCTAAAGGATTCCGGTACACTCCAAAATACTGGCAACATTAATGGATCTTGCCCAAGAAGACAAGTAGTCAGAAAAATAATTTCTACCTCCTGCCTAGACCACAAATAAATGTTTTAGAGCCTTTCATGGTCAGTATCACAAGCATTTCTGTAATTAAACGGATTTTTTAACTGGGCTAATCTTTCGGCATAATTGTATGACCCATAGTAATAGATAGGACTTAAACGATATATTTTGACATATGGACGTGATTCCTTATCTTACTGAAGAGGGTGCCGTGTCTTCGGGTGGTAGACAAGTACTAGCCAAGGAAATCTCTGCACCATGAGTACCAGAGTATCGAAATTCAGGGTCACAACCGACAGCAGCCAGAACAAAACCCAAAAAGTGTTCTAAATTGGTGCAGATGCAAAGTCTCCTAACAAAAGATGGTCCTGGAGAGCTTTTCCAGTTTAAATGCAGCTCTTGGGTGCCCTGAATGATATTTAGCTATTGAGTACTGATGATCTTTACTAGGCCTGATGGACTACCGGAAATTGAAAACTGGACCTCCTTATCAAGAGCAGCACTATATAGTGCTAACTTGAGCTACCGAAGTATTCAAAATTGGCATCGTTAAATTAAAAAGACGAAAAGGAGAAGAATTACCATTCTCCTGGAACTTTTTGGGGAGATGCAAGAATCTTGTTTATTACAGATTATACCTATGTTTTCACCCGATCCCTTCGCAGAAACCATCAACAAAAAACACTTGAATGCACGTAGATGCATTATGTTTAATACACCAAGGGCATTTGTCAAAGTCGTACGTTTAAAGAATCGTTTAAAATAACATTAAATAAAGCTGACAAACCCATAAAAATCCAGAAAAAACTCATCTTCCACGTCGTCCTTTCTTTAGCATGGTTGTTTCTTATTAATTTAAAGTTTTCTTATCTGCAATTTGTTGATTAAAAAATCACAAGCCGTTGAAAAACAAAAAATGATTAAAAAGAACTTTTTACTTTTTTATGAATTCCTTTGTCGAAGACGATCATGTACCTACGCCTTTGGTTTGTTAAAGAAGAATATTCAAAATAAATATCCCACTACTGCGCGTAGACGATTCGAAAGGAGTAAATCCGTATCGTTGAGGCTTACATTACTATCTCAAGATGGCAACATGCTACTCAAAGCAATATACCCAATCCTAAAATTCTACATGATGTATCACGGAGAGTGCCATCCTCTTTCCATCATCGGGGGACTAGACGTAGGCTGGGGTTCCACCCGTATGTTGTGGATATTCCAAAGATTCACACGAAGCGTTACGCTTCCACATTTATATAGCGAACGGCAAAGAATTGGAAATCCCTGCCTGCAGACTTATCCCCCGAATGCTATAACTTCGACGTTTTCAAGGCGAGAAGCATTATTTAGGTGTGGAGGCTTCATCACCAACCTCATTGTCACTTTCCATTACGGTACATTAAGGTCAAATGCGCACTACTATTTTTTTATAAAAATGTAGATTTACATTATGAGGAAACTTGAGCGCATGTGAGATATAACCAGACATGGTATTAATATTCATATATATTTATTTTTCTACATGGTTTCGATAGATCTAGAATACGTTTAAATTGTCCCTTAGACATGTCGCACCCCGCTGGGGCGTCGCGATATGTGAGAGAGCACATACAAATAGTTAATTAATTAATATACATTTCATGCTTATGTCAAATAATAATAACTACAGCTTATATAATTAATATGGTAGCTTAGTGGAAGATGGTTATTTCTCAATTTAAAGGTTGACTGTTCGGACCCTTGTAGTCTTTAATTTCTAAGTCTAATTACGTACATAGTCTCATAGATGGCGCTACGGCTAAAAAGTCGTTGAAAAAACCAAATACAAAGATACAACGCAAGCACATAGAAAAATTCGTGAGGTCGGCTGGTTCGTTCCATGGCTTAGTTGGTATAGCGTCTGTCACGATATGCTAGAAGACGTCGGTTCGAATCTGGCCTATAAATCCGGAATAATTATAATTACGTACATTTGCTAATTTTTATAGCAATAGGTACCTCTCGCTAACATTTAAGGAAACCATCGTGATGAATAAAATCCCAAGCCCGCGTCGGGCCAGCATGATGGACTATCACCTTAACCGTCTTCTAAGAGGAAACCCGTGGCTAACAGTGGAATGTTTAATGAGTTGATTGTGATTTAAAGTACCTAAGCTACATTGAGTCGATGTGGTAAACGCAGATACCTTCATAGATACCTATCTAAGAATGTATTATGTTAGAAATGTATCTTCTGCTTCGTCACCTCTAAACCTTGGAACACCCTTTTACAGATAAGACGATTATCGAAAACGAAAGTGTCAAGAATGACTTCTGTTTTTTTTATTTATTTTTATGATATCAAGTGGTAGGATGAACAAGTCGTGCGCCTCATGGTAAGCGATTACGCCTGTCCATAACAGTTGCAGTGCCACTCAGAGCTTTAAATCGCCAAGATCTGAAGGGCACTAGTGGTAGTGGCGCCTGTTAGCCTGAGACATAAGTTGACAAGTCCCATCCCCACCCTTCAAACCCGAAACACGACAAAGCCGACATTACTGCTTGGCGTCAGAAATAGGTAAGGTGGCAGTACTTCCCTGGACGAACTCTTTCACAGGACCTCTACTACTACAAAGGCTTTACTGCTACTTCAGGTACACAACAGGTACAATTTTCGTAATAAAAGATCATACCAGTGTTAACAGCTTCACAGAATGCTTGGTTAATGCAGTGTGATGATAAGCATACGTCTTACTTAAAATACAAAGCGCCTGTTAAAAGCTACGAGCAAATAGACTTGTGCGAAACTTAACGTATGTTAAGTTACGCAGGCGTCGCCAACTGTAGATTCTTGAATTTCATTAAGAAAGTGGATGGAGCTGATGGAGCTGCAAAAGCTTCTCTTGTTTATTTATTTTGTTTTATAGTTATGGTACATCAACAGTAGCACATATACTCTAAGATAACAGTGTAATTTTACATTAGTTTTGTACTTAGGTATATGTCTACCTAATACAGATGCACACATTAATGTTTCAACAACAAAAAGAGAACAACAAAGAACTTATTAAATTATTAATAGATCACTCTTGTAACAAAACGTTGATGGCCTGTAGTGGAACAGAGTTTCACAGTCGTCCACACTGGTTGGTTTTGCTTCGTCGTCCTCGCATAATTATGTTGCAAAATTATATTTTTTTCTTGTACAACGTTTGTTTTGCATATCATATAATAACAAACATTTTCTATTATTTTAACACAAACCCTCACAGGGTTTGTGTTAAAATATTTTTTGGAGTTTAGTACTGAACCAAGGAACATATGCCTACTTTAAAAGCAGACATAAGAAAACGAGTTTGCACGCTTTCGCATTCTTTCACACAGAATCCGTTTTTGTATGCCACACTAACAACACCTAAGAGATTTCTGACATCGTTAATAAGGCCATAAATCGCGTAAGTACTATTTGTTTCAATAATAAAAACGAGTTTGCCAATAAGAAATGAAAATCAGACATATAGATAAATGGACTGTCCACAATCCTGATGAAGCTTTGGAGTCGTAACTGTCGCTTTGTTAGTTTACAACGAGGAGCACCGACGCCCGACACTACAATGTATGAAATTAGTTAGTATAATACACAAAAATGTAAGTATGTATGTACAAAAGCAATGCAATATATACTCTAGCCAAATTCGATGTAGAATATTTAATAACAAAACATTGCTAAGCTACCAAGGATAGCATAGGGACAGAACATTTTTTTTCAATATTCATTATTAAGGGTTACTATGCTCATGGCATGCTCTCGTAATTGGAATTTAAATAGGTAAGTAGGTAATTGGTTTATGTAGAAGTAGGTAATACTTACCTAGCCAATTATTATAAAGTTTACAAAATACCTATTGATACGTATGATTTAGGAATAAATATAAGTTTTTGCATCCTATTAATATTTACTGCTAGATGGTAGGTAATAGTAGTTGAAAAGATACAAAATTGTAAGATTTTATTTGATATTAATTTCCTATATATAATATCATCCAGCATCTATTTCCGATTCTGAACTTGAATACCACCAGAACTCGAATGTTTGCAATCTCTCCCTTCAAACCAAAAAGTCGCTACGGATGACACAGTTTTACAAATAATTAAGTACCGATCATTTTATGTCATTTTTGGGTGATTTGAAACTTCTGTTGAATAATATTCATTATAAACATGGCTTCAAGATTTTAGTATTATCCATAATCTAGTTGAATTTCTTAGGAAAATATTGAAATTATTGTAACTGTGAAAGAGTTTGAGATGAAAACCCTAAAAATCACATGTTTTTGTTTGTTGACATTTATTCTACATCGAATTTGGCTAGAGTATAGAAGAAAAAATCTACCTCTATCTCAACGATACGTCCGAAACCTAAGTTTATAAGTCCCACAGCTGGGTACCAAGCTTCATTTGAGTATAGGACACATGTAAATTATAATAAAACTTCAAGGAAAATTATTCTTAAATACTTAATCACCAAGTCATATTATCATCTTTGGATTTTCGTAAACCCGCACTATGCATCGTATTTATAAAATTAATAAAAAATGTAAGATACTTTTATAATTATTCATCCTAGTATCGGGGCATTTTAAGGAACTTTTTGAGTTTTAACCAGAGTTGCCAATTTGTGGGGAATTCCCCAAATGGCGGGGAATTTCAACTAGATTGGGGATTTTGTGGGAATTGGCGCTATGTGGGGAAAATGTGGGGATTCTAACATTTTATGATTTTGTTTAAGCTATCGATTGCTTGCATCTATGCATCGCTAGTTTGATCGTTATTGTTAGAAACACTGTGATGAACTATATCGATGTGTTTTTCAACATCGCACATCCCTCGCATTATTAACAAGCAGCTTAAATATAATTACTATCAGATCCTATCAGTTCTGAATTGTAAAATGGAAAATATTTAAGTGCATGTTAGAAAACTGTGTATATTATATATTATATTACTTGGTACTTGGTACTTGGTGCAACGGGCTGGTATCCGCAACTCGACGACAAAGCGCCTGTTTTGCCTATTTCGACTATCATATCAATGCTGGATGATGCTGGAAAAAAACTTAAACTGACACTTTCCACTTTCCCATAACAAATAAAATTAGATTGCTGTAATTTTGCCGAAATGCACGTTACACATTTTACCTTTCCTTTACTGATATCCTGTGTGCATAACTTCTGTAGGACGAGTATTTATCATGTAATTTATGCAGCGCTTATGTCTTTCATATTATATTATTAGTATATATGTATCAAAACTAGACCTCTGCTAATTTCTCAAGTCTCTCAGTGTACAACGAAAGTGTTCATTTATTTACAAAAACATGGTTTTACATAACAAAAATACTGATTGCACATCAATTTCAATTAACTCTAAAATAACAATTCTATTAACAAAATTACCGTAATTTTTCTCAAAAGTTGCTCCATAAATTATCTTTGTTTATACAATGAATCACATATAACAAATATTATATTTGGAGATGATTTTCTTGTAAGCAATTCATAATATTGGAACTAAATTGAACCTTTACTTACGAATACAAAAAAATACTACGATTTTCAAGCATTAGACTTTGTTGTAATGTTTGTATGCAATTTTAATTTTTTTTTGTTGATCTTATTGTTTTGGACAAATTGTACCATTAGACCATTATGTCATATAAAATGGTGTTTCATTCCGATAGACTGATGTACCTTTCAGTGGAATAGGTATGGTTTTTCTCATAAATTTGTGGTCATACGTTTGTTGTATGCGTAAATTTTTTAATACTATTCTAATTTTGATAGTATTCGATAATTTTTGATTTGTATTTAGATGTTAGATATTATGCTTTGTGATAAAATTTTATGCTTTAATTAATTCATAATGCTAAATTAGTTTTCTCTTGATGTACATATTTTGATGCGCAATCGGTACTTTTGTTGGGGAAGTGGCATATTTGGTTGTGAAAAAAGGTAATTTTACTACCCTTGTTACCAGTGAAAATTACCAGTCGGTGCGTGTTGAGTTCGCGATCCTTTCTCCCACTTAGGCCCGTTCCCGGTATGAACAAAAACGAAATTAGGTATTGATAAACAAAGCCGAGCTTGGTAAGTACCACTTCCACACCACAACTTACCACTCGGCACTAGTCAACTTTAAATATTAAATATAGGTCCAAACTTAATTTACTCATTGATTTTTTCTAACATTAACCATAGTGTCACCAAATGCGCAACAAAATAATTAAGTTACTTAATTTTGTAAGGCAAAGAAAAATTATATATAATAATTTTATAATTTGCTTTACATTTTACATTTTGAGTTTCTTAATTCTTTATTATAATTAGTTTTAAGCAATGTATTTGTAATAAATAATGAAAACTCGAGTTGTGGGGATTTGTGGAGAATATGAACTTTGTTCTTCCCAAACTTGGGGATTTTAACCGTGATGTTTGGGGATTTTGAACAATTGGCATTGGCAACGCTGGTTTTGACAGTAACTTTTTTTTAATTATTTTGTTTTTCGGCGGCATTTCTTTTTCGTTATGATGTGCAATTAATTCTTTTTGTTTTGATTATTATTCAATATATCCAAAATGTCTATACAATTGGAGAATAACTTGAAAAATACTGTAAACAAAGAAGTTTTTGAACAAAAAGCTCATTACATACCTTGTAAAATAGACGAGAACGGCACCGCCAATGTTCGTAAATATTTCGAACCGTATATCAATAGTAACGATAATGGAGGTAATTATTTATCAGTTACTTAATAAACCATATTTTTTTCGTTTATTGTTGGAATAAGACAAAATATTCACTTCCTTGACATAACCTAAATTTTATTGCATATGCTGTGCTGCTGTTAATTTTTCTTAATGTGCTTTGGGACATATCACAGGGGTTGAACATTCTTCACTATGTTTATGCAGTTTTGTTGTAGTGTTTGCCATTGGTGAGATTGATGAGCAAACTGGTCTGGCAATGGGAATTTGTTCCTAGACCACCTCGTGATTTATGAATATGTCGGCTCGAACATACTGTTGGAAACTAACTCACCCTATATAAGCCATGTTAAAATGAAGCTGGAGGAGTTTCTTAGACATGCAGGTCTCTTTGACGACTACTAGTCAACACCTTGTCCGGAATTGGACCAGATTGAAAGGACCGCGACACTGATTGCATGATATTTTCTATTGTACTTTGTATTTTTTTATAAGCAGAGCTAACAGCAACATTCCGAGGTCACCCTTTGGATGGCATAAAAATGAATGTACCAGAAGGATACCGGGCCGTAGTTGTCACTGAAGCCAAGAGACCACTAGCTGAAGATGCAGAACGAAGGTTCCAGGTAATACATTATCATTGGTTACAAGATCCACTGTAGAATGTAAGCAATCACAGTGGTATGCTAGGTATCATATCAATGCTGGATGATGCTGGAAAAAAACTTAAAGTGACACTTTCCACTTTCCCATAACAAATAAAATTAGATTGCTGTAATTTTGCCGAAATGCACGTTACACATTTTACCTTTCCTTTACTGATATCCTGTGTGCATAACTTCTGTAGGACGAGTATTTATCATGTAATTTATGCAGCGCTTATGTCTTTCAGGTAGCTGGGGGCTTCAAACAGTTCACATACTGGAACTGGGACAAGAAACCTTCAAAAAATGATAACTTGGTTAAAGCTTTGGATTGGATTGACATTGCTGAAGCGGTAATACACTTTTAGTAGTAACTCAATATTATTAGTGTTTGCTAAACCATTTTAGCTATAGCTGAATTGGATTTATTCCAGTAATTGAGTTTTAGCATTAGGCAAGTTTATGGTTATACATTTTAGTAGTAACCAAATATTATTAGTGTTTGCTCAATGATTTTAGCTAAAGCTAAATTGGATTTATTCCAATAATTGAGCTTTAACTTTAGCCAGTTCATTTACTCTGCAGGTGTAATACAATTACCACAAAAAGGTATATTTTTGAACTGTCTGTTTTTAGACGTATGACCTATCTCCATTTGCTCAACTATTCTCTTCCTGTTATCTCATGGTTTGAGGGGTACAGACGGCAGCACATCAAGATACACATTGAGGGATATTGTTCTGTTGCATTGAAGGCGATAATAAGCTTGATGAGCTGCTGCCCCCCATAGTTATAGATACTATGTTTATTACAATAAATACAGAATATTTTTGGATTATATGGAGGTATACACACAGGTCAGTTGTTGGCGGTATACTATTTCAGCTTTCTAATTTGTGATTTCAACACAAATGAGAGTTGATATTTAAAGGCCCATTTGCCTGATGAGGTGCCAGGGTTGAATGGCCCTTATTTCGTCTCTATTTCTGGTTATATAAGTAGTGATAATAATGGTCATAATTCTGTTTATTTCTTACAGATTCATGGTGACCAAGTATAACTTCTAAATAGACAAATTTTTCAAAGATAGAAATTAAGCAGAGACATTTATCTGAACTTCTGAATAATAATACCTCTGTATAAACTCCCAGAATGATTAAAAATACAATGTGCAATTTCAAAACAGTACATAGTTGTGTTTACTTACAAGTACAAAACACTATAGTAAAGTAACCACTAGTTACACATTACACCGTACATGTAGAATAAATTACAATACTACATTACATGTTACAGAGGGAGGTATTAAGTTCAGGTAAATTGACTATGTCAAGTAAATGTACTATTAATTTTAAGGGAAATGTGATCACTTACTAATGTAATGAATAATACAAACGTTTTAATTTATATTTGTATTTTCTTTATATTTATATATGTATATATCCACGCAAACAAAATCAAAACCTCTATTAGAACTTATAACAAAATAAAGAACTTAAAAATTACCTCTATGTATGAAGAAAATATTGCTTATCAGCTGAGTGACATTAATCAGAGCAATTGCAATTGTTGACAGGGGTAATTGCAATAATTTACAATGGCAATTGCAATTATTGACAAGGGCAATTGCAATTATTGACAGGGGCAATTGCAACTATTGACAAAGTCCAAACTCGGACTAAACGCGCAAAGACTAGGTTCTGTGAAGCAAAACTTTTCTGCTCCCTTCTTATCCTTGCTGCCCCTTGTTGGACACACGACACTTGCTACTGAGGTAGCACGTGAGGTATGTGTCTCAACCAGAGATAAAAGCAATCGAAGCTAAAGAATTCTTCAATTCTATAAAACTGTTCTCCTAGTCTTCTTGTATTTAGAGATGACAATAATAGATCAATTGCTTGATGCAACAGTGAAGGGCTGTGCACGCCTTAATGTAAGTCATTCTAATAATATATGAAATCTAATAATGCCTTTTCAGGTGCAGTGCCTTTACGTTTTACAATAATAATCCCATTTACAAGTTAGTGATGTTTATAGTGAACCGCTTTCAAACGTACGCCTTATGCAACTCTTCCATGCGTCTTTTCTTGGCAACATTCAACCAGTCTCCCAGCTATATATTATGTGATGTCATTATCAATTTCTTACTCAAGTCAGGTTATACTGAGCATATTTTTCACAGCAATTTCAAGTACCGTATTAGCAAAACCATGCAACCTTAATCCTCGAAATGGCATTATGATTAAATTATAACTAAATTGTTTCGTTTTTGCTTTCCAAATTCCCCCATTCCCAGGGCATAATGTAGTATTTAGGGACATGCTACTAATCAGCTTGTATTTTTTACACCCACAATTGCAATTAACTCGCTTAACTACATGCTAAAGAAAAAATCCTCAAATACTCCTCACTTAGGACATGCTGTAACGTTTTTAAAATTCTTAGCAATGCTTTCCCTTAGTTGACGTTTTAACAAGTTTCTTCGGTGAAATTCTTTTCTACTTAACCTAACAACTCTTTTATAAACACCACCTTTAACTACTTTGCTCGCTTCTCTAACTCTATTTTTAGCTTTAGTAGTAGTAGTTAAATTATTATTAATGGTAGATATATCATTTTTAGGCGGAGCTGCACCAGGATTAGTGCTAGCTTCATCATTTCCAGTATTTTCAGATACGGAACATTGAGCAGTAATAGGCTCTATACCATATTCCAATCTCCCTCTAAGGTCTTTAAAATCTTTAATATTTTCACGCCCCATCTTATTAAAAATTTTTAAAAACTGCCAAAACTCGATATCACCACCTCGAATATTTTTTTCATAGAATTCCTTTAGTTCTGGATCACATTTATGTTTATTTTTAATTGGTTTCGGCTTCTCTAGTCGATTATTCGATACTTCATTCGTTTTTGTCGACTTATCCATCGATTTAGCATTAGCATTCTTAAGTTTATGCTTCCAAACCTTTTTCTTAAAAGGTTTAGCGTTTGGATCATGTTTTCGACTGTGCAACGTCAACGCTGATAAATTTTGGCAAATTTTGTCACAGTTTTGACAAGGAAACAGCATCTTTTTACCCTCCTTTTTGGCTATTTGGTATAGTTTCTTTAAATTATCTAGATATTCATTATTGTCACCACCGGTGATATTTTTCAGCAACTCTTTATCGAATTTGGGCAATATAAAATCTTTGCCTTTGATGTTAATTTTTTCATCCTCAACCACCCATTCTTTACCTTTTTTTACTAATTTAGTTTTAGCCACTGCCTTTTCTTTATCTTCGCGACGTTTTTTATCAATTTTAGTATAAGCTATCCTGTTCAGATTTTGAACACTAGGTATTATTTCAATTTTATCTATATTTTTATTCTTTATATTATAATAATACCTAGATCCGTTGGAATTGTCGTTCCTGTCGCCAACTGTTCCGTAATTAATATTTAAAGTAATATCGTGTTTGGCTTTCAAATGTTTTGAAAAATATTTGCGGCCAACAAACGGACATAGTGGACATTTTTTCAACAATTCTTCTGAACACACATCAAAATGTTCTTTGCAGTGATCTATGAGTAGTGATTTCGTTTTGTAGAGCTGAAACAAGAGAAATTTATTTATAGATACCGATGGAACCAAGTGCAAAAGTACATTACATGGACTGTTATACATACCTTGAAACATACATAACACTGGTGGGTATTAAATTTCAACTTGTTAATTGTTCGTTTCTTATCTTTAAAATCATTTTCATAATCAGAATCATTGTCGTTATCTAATTCATCAGTAACATCATTTATTGATTCATTATTATTTACTTTGCGTTTCTCTCTCTTTCTCAGTGAATATGTCTCATTATTTTTACTATCGATATCCTCATTAATTGCTTCCGAGTCATTTAGGTCTTCATTAGTTGCTTCAAAATCTTTCAATGATTCATCATTAGAATCATTACCGTCGTTTGTATCATTATCGTTGATTTTATTATTTTGTTTTGATATCCTGGTGACGAATTCTCTGTTGACTGTTTCTGAAAGTTATAATATTATAATAATGTGACGCGATACGACGTCTAGTGTTTTAAAGTATTCAATGACATTTTGGTGTATTTGGCGACCTTTGTAGATTGATGAGAACCCAGGTTTGGTCCGGTAGGAACTATTTAACAAAGTAACTAAAATGACGTAATTATTTTGAACAGCGCCCCCAAGTTCCTAATTCTGGTACTCATAGTACAGGGTTTCTAATACACCCAATTTGAGACCTGATAATTGATTGATTTGGTTTGTTATTATATCATACAGTATGATATAATTATTAATAACAAACATCGCACACTTAGAAAAAAATCCTTCCATCTGGCCGGATTCGAACCGACGTCTTCTAGCAAACCGTGCTAGACGCTAAGCCACGGAATGAACCACCGGACCTTACGAGTTTTTCTATGTGGTATTATTTATGACTTTGTTTAAATTTCTATAGCAAATGCATTTAAAAAATAAATAAAATAAAATAAATAAAAAAAATAAAACAATTATAGAAAATTACATAAATCCTTAATAAAAAAGCAACATAATTTAATTTATTAAGTTCGTTGATGGTCCGAGTTTGCGCTTGACAATGACTGCTTCACCAACCCGTGGTAACGTATAATGGAAAACTGACACTGGCGACGATCGCCATATTTTTTATATTATTCTTATAAAACTGACCAAGCTTAGTGGTCGCCGTTAAGAAAATAATAATAATTTATATTAATATATTCATTTAATAATACACCAGTACCAGTGCAGGTATAGTATGAAAAATTGAATATTTTTTTAATATTAAATGCCGCATGGACACATGGTTTCTATCTATCGATTAGGTAGGACCACATCACTCAGTGAGTAGCATCAGTTTAAGGTTAATAAAGTTAACCATTTACGGAGCGGTTTCCATCTGCGCCCGCCGGTTCTGCTAGATAGCGGTTTTATTCAATACTCACGACACTGCAAGTTTGTGCGGGCACGTTGTCGCCGTGATTGCGGGCACGAAACCGCTGCGATTGCGGAACGGACCGGTTAAAAGAGAACTCACCCCGCATGCGCCTGCACCACATTGCGCCTGAACCGACCGCCAAAGTGCGCGGGCGACGACGGCCGCCAAAGTGCGCAAGTGATCACGTCCTGCGCGGTTCTACTAGTACCCCGCCGCGACAACCGCGAGCAACCGTCACCACTACAGGCGTAAAACGCACCGTGAAATGTGCTACTAATAATACATACTTAACTATTATATACTACAGATGCCGCGGTCCCGGACAGACGCGGGTGAAAACCGCTCAGTGAGTTCTTAGTGTAACGAAAAATTAGTTTCAGCGCCATCTAACGTGTAATAGTTAGATATTATATACTAGTGGCATTTTTACTAAAACGCCACCTGATGGCTGAATCATGATGAAAAAAATACTGAAATATTGTAATATAACTCTTACTCGAGTGACTAAGTTTAATTTTGTTAAATTTTAAAATTGTGTTACGTCGTTTTCACGTTTTAAGCCCTACCCAATCAAAATATTGAAGTTATGATAGTAGATAATAGAGCGTAAAGTTTGAATTGCACACAAGCTAAAAAGTGGCGACATCGGTACCCGATCTTACATAGCGTTATTACATATCTCCCCTTTTTTCGTACATCTATGGCTGGAACCATGAAAAACGTAGTGGTCCAGCCAACCTGACATCAGAATGGCTGGCAACTTTATTTTTTTAATATTTCCGTTAGGGCAAAGGCAGAAAATATGTCAATAAAGGTACTAAACAGTAGAAAATGGGTAATAAATATGAGCACAGTTTGATTTCTATATGCCGTCGCTTGGTCCAGCCATCCTGACGGACACTACAATATCGATATCAACTAACCTTTTTTCTTATCAGCATTATTCAAAAACCTCTTCATCCGCTGGTTATATTGCCGTCTCGCTCGCTCCAACGCTTTGACCTGCTTCTTCTGTCTCACTTCAGTTAACTTCTGTTGAATTAGTTTTGTAACTTCCTTTTGCAGATTTTCTTCCACGTTTGGATGAGGATCTGGAATTATTGTTATATTTATAAATAATTTTGCGGCACGTATCAACGAGGGCTAAGGACTTCACAGTAACAGAGTTATAGATCCTTCTCATATGTTTGTTTTGCAGACTACGCAACACACCAATTATCTAGAGTACATCTGTCGTGTTTGGGATCATTTAATTTGGGTGTTGACCTTATTGATTTACTCGACTTGCACATTCTTTTGTATAGGGAGTTTTGTTTTGAATTATAATTTAATTTTTGTAAAATAAAATAGAAACTGACCTCTACTGACAATACAAATATTGACGTACATCCTAATGCGTCAGTTTTCGAATTTAAGTATTTATTAAAAACAAGTGACAGCCCAGTTCGGATGGCAGATGCTTTTAAATGCAATAGAGTGCAGGTTTGACTTCCAGCACATATTTGCATCACTAGTTAGTGAATCATGTGTGGTTTAGTTCACTAACTGAGACTTGTTGGACCCGTGCCCAGCATTGAAACGCGCATCGGTACTCACCTTTTTCTTTATTGCCAATGTAAGAAATGTGTGAGGTATAAAATTTCTCAAAGACACTTCTTGGTATGTCGTTCATGGTCGTAACTTTTGAGTATTCAAAATTCTTAACTTCGTCTTCAATTGACTGACTGGTTTCATTACTTGATTGTGTGGTTTCTTCAATTGGCTGTGTGGTTTCTTCAGTTGGATGTGTGGTTTCTTCAATTGGCTGAGTGGTTACTTCAATTGGGTGAGTGATTTCGTCAAATGACTGAGTTGTTTCTTGAATAGTCTCTTTAGTTTCTTCTATACATGTTTCAAATTCTTCTTTTTGTTTATCTTCAAATGGAATTAATGTTTCTTCCATTGTTTGTATATCTTGTACTAACTTTATTGCTTGTTTATCTTCTTCAATAGGAATTTCCTTTTTCTCAATTGGTTGTTCTATTTCTTTGACTATTTCTACTTCTCGGAGTCCTATTTCTAGACCAGGCGTTCGAGTGATAGTCAACTGTTGACATTTATCCATTGATCTTTTTGTTTGTGGAATTTCAAATGGTACTTCAATTTCAATATGATTATCATATTGATTTTCTTGTAAATTTTCAATTTGTAAGTCTTTGACGTCTTGTGCAGTTTTCTGTTCATGCACTAATTCCTGAAGTTCATTGTATAATGCCAAGTTTTGATTCAGTCCTTTGTCTTGCATAGACATTTTTGTACTGTCTTTAATGGAAGTGTTAGCGTCTTCCGATGATTTATCATATTTTATTTCTTTATCTTGATCTGTGGTTGCCCTTTTTTTACGTTTAAACTTTTTCGCATTGTCTTTTGTAGAAGTGTCAATATATTGCACAGTAATTCCACGTTTTGATTGACCTTTGTGTTGTCTTGTACACTTTTTCACATTGTCATTAACAGATTTGTCAACATCGTCGACAGCTTTGTGGTTGTTCGAGTCATCATTTAAAACTTCTTGAATTTCTTGCGCTGCTTCAATAATTTCCCTCATGGGTTGTATTTCTCTCAAACTTACTGGATCATCTAGCTCTTGTATAGTTGTTTGGTTTGAGGAAATTACTTCCAGAAGCTCGCTTAATGTCTTTTGGGCTTCGGTGTCTGAAACTACAATTGTTTCTACCATTTATTAACAACTCAACACAAGTTAATAGTTTTTAAAATTGGCTAGTATTGGAACTTTAAACTAATGGTGAGATAAGAAAGAAACGGCAACAGTGCTTTGTGGTAAAATTGGAAAGGCAAACACTGAAAACAGCTCACCGTCGTCCAATTCGTGTTTGTCAACCTCGAAGAGATCTAAAGACGTGTCGTCATCATCAGATCCTGCTGGTTCTTCTTTCACCACCACGGGCGGTTTGCGTCTGAAATTTAAAAAATAAACTGCAACCCAGACTAAACTACAGGAGAACCCATGCGTTAGAACAGTTCTACCTTAGTCTTCATTTGAAGATGAAAAAAAAAACAACAGCAACGCACAATGACGGTTTGACAGAACTACTGTGCCAGCAACATTTGCCAACACGTCTTTGTAAGGGCCACCTATCAGTAGTCTGAAATGTCATTTTCCAGAAATAACGTTGGGTCGAAATTTCATAACCTCGAAAGTAATTTTGAGAGGAACATGTTTTTTCTTTTAAACCAAGCTTAACCTAACCTAACCGAACCTAATCGTGTCTTTGCGATAAACATTCAACATATCCTGAAAGTACAACTGTCTCATTATAATTCGGTTTTCGGTGTAATGAAAATTCGAACAAACGTTATTTCGGGAAAAAAAATTCGACTTTGTGATAGGTTACCCTTTGTAAGGGACAGTACACTGTAATATAAATTTAAGAAAACTTCATTATTTAAAGCTTCTCCAGCTTGTGGTGTCAGAATTAAAATTACATTCGAAAGTAAAAAAGTCATATCTGTTAGCGAATCGTGACATTGAGTGATTTTATTTTGTTAATAAATAAATCGATATTGCCATCATCGAATCGACGGAACGCTAACGAGGGGCCGCCATTACAAAAAGCATCTTTGACTAGAACAGACGTGGTTTTGTTTGGATTTACAGTGAAAGATCTTATAATTTATAACAGTCACTGGAGTCTCATTTCTATGGCCACTTGGAAAATCTCATATAATATGTGTAGCAGTGAAGACTTATTATTTAAATTTTTTTAGGTGCCGCTTTTCTCATGAAGGTTGGCAACCATCAATCTCAATTTTGAAGCTGCCGCACGAAAGGCGGAACGTGTGCTAAGGTGGAACCTTCCGCCACGACTACGCTTTCCTTGTATTTTTCTCTGCATTATTAATGGAAGAATCTGGCATCTACGTGCCCCAATTACTGCAGCTTCCTTTTCCTTTACAGTTCTGAGTATATCCAACTTTTTTCCCCATTCGACCAAGAACCTCAACATTGGCGGCTTTTTTAACCGACTTCAAAAAAGGAGGAGGTTCTCAATTCGTCTGTTTTTTTTTATATGTATGTTACACGATAACTCCGCCATTTGGGAACCGATATTGATGATTCTTTTTTTTGTTGGAAAGAGGGTACCTCAGAAGTGGTCCCAGTTAAATTTGAAGAAAATATTCCGCCTCTAAGGGTGGTAAACTAGGGGATGAATGACTTTTGAGGTCGGTTTTTTTTTAACCAGAGGTTGGGTTATGTACCCACAATATGCTAAGCATACGTCTGTACAGCCACATCTCAAAGGACTCCAGTTTTGACCATAGTGCTTGGGTCAAGGTCCAACACTACATACCAAACAGCAAGATACTGAAAACAACAGCGGACCAAACGCATATGATTTCTATACATCGAGTACATATCCAGAAATAGAGACGAATGTCATTTAATTTAGTTTGAAAACTATTCTGTCATATCGTTACGGTGACAGCTGCACTCCGATTGGCCAGCTCGAATTCGAAACAATTGACGGGCATCGTGAATTGTTTCACTTCAAATTGACCACTTGAACTTGAGCTTTGCTGTAATGAACGAGAATTGAAAAATTTCATATTTAATTACCGATAAAATGTGATTCCGTTTGTTTTGTAATTAGATGTTTAGCTGTTTTTCCTACACCACCGTATGAAACAGTCTCCCATAGTTAGAGATATTATCTTTATTACAATAAATACATACTATAATATATATATTCTATATAGGAATATTCTTGGAATATACGAAGACGTACACACAGGTCAGTTGTTGGCGCTGTACTATTTCAGTTTTCTAATTTGTGATTTCAGCACAACCAAGAGTTGATATTTAAAAGTGATATAAGGCCCGTTTGGCTGACGAATTGCCAGGGATGGATGGCCCTTACTTCGTCTCTATTTCTGGTTATATACTCGATGTTTCTATATATTATGTTTATTGTTTGAAAATTTTTATTACTGGCTAGAGCTCATGTAATAAAGTAAACTGGGGTGCACGAAAGGAGCCTCCTCGCACTACTATACTTTTCGTGTACATCGGGTGCACCTTGGGCAACAATCGGCGAATACTTTGCCCCGATGGCAAACCTTTTCACCACGATGGCAAGAATCATATTGTATGTCATCAATACGATAAGAAGTAAACTTCACTTATGACAATGGTAAAAACTCACTGTTTCATCTTGTATCTGATGCCGTGAGTTCGTAAATAATGAAGCTTCAAGTAGGTCGGTCGTTTGTATATCGAATGGCAGATCTTGCATTCCACTTCCTGCAAAAGAACATTAAAATTCATTAATATTATATTGTTACGCTTCAACTTAGAGGATGGAAAAAAATAAGCTTCACCCATTAAGTTCTTCAATTGACTATTTTAGTAACACTATGAATGCCTCTATGATATTCGTACCTAACTTCGCGCATGATTTATTAAGTTGTTGTATTGACTACTTTAGTACCATGTCGGATCACCCTGTGGTATTGACACCTAACTTCACACTACCACCTCAACGAAAGTTTTAAAGCCCGTGTTAGGGGCGAGTACTTCTAGTTTATTTTAATGGGTTAAGAGCCTTCAGCTCGCCCTTTTATCAGTTAGCGCTGTCAAGGCCATCAGCAGCCAACCGCAAAGCGTCAGTGTCCAAAAAAAGAAGAAAAAACGAGTAGCTCAATCTTGATCCGATAGTGACCTTAGAGAATAAAGTGAATTTAACCTCAATAAAAGCGAAGTGAAATCGGAGTTGGATTTTATTTAGCGGTAACAACATGTGCCGATTTAAGTCGTCCCTTATGATTTTGTGATGTTGAACGGTGTCGTATACGTTATCCCCTAGTGGGCGAACAATTGCCACTCAATTGCGAGAAACACTGTTCGAACTTTTTAATGGAGAAGGGATCCTACTGGGATACCACCGCACTTACTCGTCTGGTTACCAAAACGTAATGGTCAATTTCCAGTAAAACCATAATATATTTTAGCAGCAGCAGAGCTCCTTGTGAAAGAGCTTCGTCCAGGCAAGTACTGCCATCTTACCTATTTCTGCTCCCAAGCAGTAATGTGAGCATTACTGCGTTCCGGTTTTGAAGGACAAGGGTGCTGGTGAAGTCAGAGCCATATGGGACTTCTCAACTTATGTCTCAGGGTGTCGGGCGCAGTGGCAGTGCCCCTCAGATTTTTGCAATTTGAAGCTCCGAGTCACTTTGGTAAAAAAAAATTCATGCTTACCGGTGGTGCATGGCTGCCCTTCAAGTGCAGGATCATGCCAATTTTGTTCCTCGTGATAAAGCCGCACTCGTCACATTCCAATTGAGGTGCTTTCGGGTTGTGCATGTCGTTTATGTGCTTTATTAAGTAATTTTTTGAGTAGAAACTGCGAAAAAAAATGTATTTTGAATAAAATTGAATACTATGGCGTTATGAACTTGGTCGATGGATGAAAATGAAGAACGTAATACGATATTTCACTAAGATTTAATTATTTCATATATATCGAGTTCTTAGGTTTTCGCGATTGTTACACATAGGAAATGAAACTATTTTTCCGGATTTAAATCGCGTATATTTGTTTTTTCAAACAAACCGACGTTTTACGACCTGTAAAGGACCAGAAACGTCGATTTGTTTGAAAAAACAAATATACGCGATTTAAATCCGGAAAAATATCGAGTTCTTAGGTTTCCGCGATTGTTACGCATAGGAAACGAAACTAGTCAACCGTGACCATGGGACCTGTAAAGGGTCCGAAACGTCGGTTTGTTTGAAAAAACAAATATACGCGATTTAAATTCGGAAAAATAGTTTCATTTCCGGAAAAATAGTTTCATTCCCTATATTTCATATATTACAAAAAAAATGCATGTCCACACTATCGGCGACCGTTGAAGTGATTTTTTAAATTTTGAATAAATATTGGTGGGGAATAAATACGCTCGTTGGACACCCGTCCCCCGCGGCGGCGATGCCTCACCCTTCGGTGGCCTGGTGACGATGATGCTGGATTCTCAACAAATAGAATGCCGCAATTCACCCGCATTCGAAGCACATAAAGTTTGATCGCACTCGGCTTCTGCCGGACGTCATTGCGTCAAACAGCAAGAAGGCGGAAACGTTTGAACACGAAACGATGACAAAATCGTAGCGTTTTTTTTCTACAAATAACAATGAATTTAAATCAATGTATATAACATGTTTTAATTAAATTCGTTTTTCCTTTTTATACAATCATATTTTATATTTATTTTAGCCAAATCTTTATTAACGAAATACATAGGTAACATTTTTTAAAGATTTCGAATCCAGATAAGTTACGAAATTCAGTTCTAAATTGCGTGTAATAATATGTATTTTCAAGCAAACCAACGTCTCGAGCTGTTTACAGGTTCACGTCAGTGACCATGGGATCTGCAAAGATCCTGAAACGTTGGTTTCTTTGAAAAAACTAATACACGCGATTGTATGAAAGTGAAGGCAAATACAAACATGTAATCAATAGCGGAGGCCTTATTATCTTTGACGTAAGGTTAATTTTTGTTGAACAGTCCGAACCAATTGTCAATGTGACGAATAGTATACTATAAAGTGGAATCAACTCACAACACTTTGCAGTAGTCGCACTGGACGGCGCGACGCCGCGGCGCGTGGGTGTTCACGTGTCTTCTCAAGTGAGCTTTCCTGAATTAGAAATGGCCAAATGGTGTTATTCGGAGCGCACCACCAAAAGAATTCCCAGCGGGAGGCGTCACTGACCGGTAGAATCCTTTGCCGCAGTGGTCGCAGCGGTGCGGCCGCACGCCCGAATGCTTCTCCGCCACGTGGCGCCGGAGGCCGCCCTACGCAGCGAGGGCGGTTAAGGCTGGTTTATATTAGTCCGGTAGCTGGATCCAGTGTCACCGGGTCGCGCCATTTACATTTAGTCATCGAGTATATAACCAGAAATTGAGACGAAATGTCATTTAACTTATTTGAAAGAATAGTTATTCTTCCACATCATTACTGTGACAACTGCGCTCCGATTGGCGAGCCCGAATTCGAAACAATTGACGGGTGTCGTCAATTGTTTGACGAAAATTGCAAAATTACATATTTAATATTAAATTACCGACGAAATTTGATTCCGTTTGTTTTGTAATTAGATGTTTTGCTGTTTTTCCCCACACCATCGAATGGAACAGCACGTCATTGTTAGAGATTATCTTTATTCCAATAAACATTTTTGGAATGTACGAAGACGTACACACAGGTCAGATGTTGGCGCTATCTATATTTCAGTGCAAACGAGAGTTGATATTTATAAGTGATGTATCACTGATGAGCGACGAGTTATCAGAAATGTATGACCCTTATTTCGTCTCTATTTCTGGTTACATACTTGATGAATTTAATCCAGTAACTATTCTTATTTTGTCGAGTGTTTCGCGACATGAAATGCGAAGGCAACGCAAAGTACTGACCAAAAAACTTTTGTTGATGAGTTGATTGACATGTTGGAAGAAAAATTGTTTGAAGAAGTGAATTTAGATGGGAAAGTGGATTATTGAGAAATTTCTGGGGGGTCTGTTTTATTTATGAACCAACTAATGGCAGAAGGTACCAAGGAGTACAGATCAGCTTTGAGAATGACACCAGATTTTTTTTCAAGATTTTAGATGATATTTCCGAAGAACCGGTGCACCAGGCAAACAGCCGCGTGGTCACTGCACGATTACGCGTCAGCGACTGGCGCATTATACAGACCCAGTGCCACTGGCACGGGGTGCGCGGCGTGCGGACAATGTATTGAATAATATAATGCGCTCTGTTCCAATATAGCGCTGGATAGTAGACGTTGTATTGGATTGTAACGTGTTTACATCAATCCAGGGCTGGAATTCAGTGACGCTGGATTCAGTTACTGGACTTGTAAATCAGCCATAAGAGCGGTTACACACGGTGACCTTTGGCATCGATGCAAACGCGCGTTTGTGAAATGCATGATTGCATCGCTACACTTGTAATTTATAGGCGATTGTATCGCTGCAAACGCGATGCAAATGCGCAATAGCCTCGATGCAAACACTTATGTTGAATCATTATGAGCGAAAAATCTGTACTGGTTTATGTACATTTCGCTCATAATGATATAGTACTCTCACACATACGATAGTGCTTTATTGGTAGTAAATTTAAAAGTGAAATAATCTCAGTACAGAGTACTAAAAAACCGATCTCAAAAGTTATTCACCCCCTAGTTTGCCACCTTTAAGAGGTGGAATTTTCTTCAATTTTAAATGGGACCACCATTGAGGTACCCTCTCTCCAACAAAAAAAAGAATCATCAAAATCGGTTCACAAATGCCTTATCGAGTTATCGCGTAACATACATACATAAAAAAACATACAGCCGAATTGAGAACCTATCCATATAAATTAGAGATGAAACGGCAAGTGACTTGGCAAGATACCGGATATCCGGCGAGCACCTAGGCCACATAGCCGGATATTCGGCCGCCGGATTGCTGACCCACTGCTCCAAATATGTCGCGACCGGTTTGCAGTGTGCATCATGATTGATTGATTAATTACTGATTACACTTTCACATTGATGACTTGATTTGTTGTAGTCACTTGGTTTTTAGAAAAACGATTAATTTATTCGATAATATAAACAAATACATAACAAAAAAATGTGGTCAGTGAAAAAAAAATCGCAAATTTGGCAATATTTTAATTAATATCAGTGTTGTTTGTTGTACTGAATGCAAATTTCTCGCGGTGGAGAAGAAAAAAAGCAATTACATCATTCTTTGGCCATATTAAAATTTCTAGTTGTTATAAGTATAAGCCTAGAACTTGATACGCCCGTTATTATTTTGTTTCAATTTCATTAATCTGCTTGTGATCTAACAAATTCTAAAAGACTAGTTACTAAGCCTTGATACCAGATTTGCCAAAAAAAAAATTAATCTGCTTACACGTTTCATTATTGCTGGTGTACATGGTATTTGAACACAGTTCAAATTAATCGTGATCGCGATCCTTTCATTTGACCGTCTGGCAATCACAAGTAGTACTTAAAATTTAACAAAGTTTGCAAGAGTTTATCATGTTAATGAAAATAAATAGTACCAACTTTTACTACTTAATGCAAAATAATTGGTCTTCATCCAGCATAATTTGCCATTATTGAAATCCAGTACTAAATTTACAGATAACTTTATCTAACTTCATAGTTCTTTGAGTTACAAGTAATAAACAGATTGTCAACAATCCTGTTCATGCTGTTTATCCTATTACTATAATCTTTAATCAATAAATCAATTTACTTGGCGTACTGACTATGCTTGTTCCTCAATTTTATATTGTTCTACTATCCGGTATCCGGCCGGATAGTAAAAATAGGCTGGATAGGCGGATAGTTACCGGATATCCGTTTCATCTCTAATAAAATAAATGAATTGACCCATTGAAAACGGGCACCGTGTTTGCATCACGTTCGCATCGCGACCGAATCGCAGACAGTGGGCCTCGGGCCTGTGGACGCACCCGGTCGCGGCAGGCCACGGGGCAGCCCGGCGTGGGGCAGGCGAAGGGGCGCAGCGGCGCGTGCGTGCGCAGGTGCGCCGCCAGGTTCTGCGGCGAGCTGCTCACGCGCCCGCACAGCTCGCAGCGGGCCACGAAAGCGCGCTCGTGCACGTTCCTCTGCCGGTTTACATGCGTTTCTAACCGTAGCGAAATCAACTTTCCTACTCTTGCCTTTAGTCTATCAATTGTAATTTCATAAACCTTCTTGACGAAGGCGCTCTTTTTACTTCTGAACCAAAACTATTGTCTATGGCGCTCGCTACTGAGCTAAAAAGTCATAACGAGATTCAAAAAAGAACGTCGTATCTTTGCTAATTAAAATATTAAATAGAAAATGGCAGATTTTTGAAGTTAATTTTAAGTGTTTTATGAAGAAAATACGAAGAAATAGTGACGAAAGAAGTTAAAACTGCATTCCTTATTTTAAGCCAAATTACAAAAGGCTTTATACTGAAAATTCCACAAATTACGAATTCAAAATTAGTGTGAAGTGACAATAATGTGATTTAAGTGAAATTGAAAACAATGTATTAGAACCACAATGGAGACATTTATTGAGGAGCCCGATAATTAAGCGAAAACATGGCTCAAATAACTTGTATCCAAGCCAAAACTCTTAATTGAAAAAACATATGACGCTACTCAAACGCCCTAAAGCCTTCAGATTGGTTCAAACATAAGCGGTAAGGTACTTGGACAATCACATACGCTTCTATCTTTTTGGTTTTGTAGCGTTTGTTTAACTTTAGTTTGAATTTGTTTTCGTGGATTGTTAACAAATAATTATCTTTAAATATTGTTTTATGTACTTGGAAAAATATTTAACGTATAGATAAACATGCAAACGCTGACAAATATGACCCATCGTGAGATGGCATTGTCTTATAACAATGCCATCTAGTAACAGTAACGCAATCTACATAAGTTACTATGTACATAGACGGAAAGCTGGTATTTATAGATGGCGCTATTAACATTATATCAATGGCATAATACAAAATTATCAAAATTAGATTTAACGGTACTTTATAACATGGCCACAGCCATACTTACGACATGTAGTCCGACATCTTTCTGTGTCCTGAACATCTTTCCGCACTGTTTACATTCGTGGTTCCGCACACATATGTTCAGATGCTTCTCGGCTACATGCACTTTGAGTTGCGACTTTTTCTTAAATCTGTAATATTATGTACTACTTAAATTGAAAATGTATTAAAAATTCAATAAAATAAGACTCTTAACGATTTTTTTTTTTTAATAACACACACACTCAACATAGCCCCGCACTAGGGAAACCCTGTGTCGCGGGTGCCATGGACACACACATAGACAACCACAAATTACACCCAAACTCACGAGAGAAATAAATGTAAGCCATACAAACATTTCTCCCGGCCCGGGAATCGAACCTGGGACCTCTGCGTGGCATTCCGGCATTGTAACCGTTCGGCCACGGAGGCAGTTTAGGATATGAAACACCATCGTGGACAAGACTATTATTTTTGCACAAAAAAGCATTTTTCTACCATTTTCGAGGTTTTGCGCGAGACAATTGACGCGACCATGACATACAAAGCGAAAATAACAGACTGAGCTCAAGTATATATGTGGAACTCCACGCTCACTAAGCACTTCTAATGTATTTATTGTTCTGTGAACTCACTGCTTGTCGCATTGAGTACAGTTGAACACTGTCTCGATGCCCATGTGGCGATGTTGGTGCCTTCTCAGCGTGGAACTGTCTCGGCACGCGTAGTCGCAGAACGAACACTGGAATGGCTTTTGGCCTGGAATAAACGCATCCATCTTATCCCCTATACAGTGCGATATTTTTAATTGTGACAGTATGGGGAGATCCGAAACCGTGGGTGATACAAGTCTTAACTATTAGGTCTTTTATTGTGGAAACAAATTTGACGTAGTCTATTTTTGGTCAAGCGTAAGTTATCCGTAATAATGAATAATATTGACAATTTTACTAAACAAACTCCTTAACATAACTAACGTAATTCAAATTTCACCGAAATTGAGTTGTTAACAGATCTGGAAACAACGGTGTTTAATCCTAATTCAAAAAAGGAGGAGGTTCTCTACTGTTGTTTCTGGTATGTATGTTACGCGATAAACCCGGTAATAAATTGTGTATTTATATTATAATCAAAAAATTGTGAAACGACTTTGATGATTTTTTTTTTATTAGAAAGAGTGGTGGTCCTCAGTAGTGGTCCCATTTAAATTTGAAGAACATTTTCTTTTGGAGGTATTTAAGAGGAATATTTTCCTCTTAAATACCTCTAAGGGTGGCAAACTAGGGGGCGAATCCGGTTTCGCACACTTTCCGTTTGACATTTTTCAAAGAAAAAGAAAGTTTTAGTACACTACTATTTCAGAAGTTAACTAAGTGCAAATGCGTTAGTTATGAAATTTATTATTATGAAAAGGAGAGCGAATGCTTATCAAGTCAAGTTTATTCTACTTATCAAGCAGAAGTTGATCAAATTTAATACAACATTTTTTCACACATCCAAAGGATTGGCGTGCTTCAATAGAAGGTGAACTCATCCAGAAAGAGTTCAACATCAGTTCATTTGTATGTCATAGCTGTTTGTTTAAAACTAACTCAAGAAGGTACAGGTGGTACAGCAAACAAAACTTACCCGTGTGAATAAACTGATGCGTATTCAAAGAATAATGCGAATTAAAGCCCTTGCCGCATGTCTTGCATTTGTAGGGTTTTTCACCTGGAAATACACATTTGTGAATTTACTCATTGTCAGAAAAGAGATGGATGCCGACGAAAATAAGTAGATATGGGCAGACTCACCTGTGTGAACAAGCTTGTGATGCTCCATCTGGCTCTTAAATTGAAACCGTCTTTTACAAAATTCGCACTTTATCACGAGTTTGCTCTTCCGGTGTGTCCGTTCGACGTGACGAGCGAGGTATTTCTTTGTGGTGCCGATGTACTTGCATTCTTTACAGGCGAACATGGCTGCGCTGTGAGTACTCCTGTGAGCTTGTAACAGGCCCAATTTGCTGAATTGCTGGAAGAAGTTAATCATCATAGTGTTTATAAGAACCTAAGTACACATGAACTAAACAATACATTAATAATTCAGGAGTGACTACATTTTTTCGTCGATTACGTAAATAGAAAGACTGTAGAATTAACAAACATTACATCTTATTGAAACACCACACACCACAAACACTGTTTTTGCAAACAGGCCATTGTCAGTTTTTAAAATAAATGTTGTGTGTAAATTTAACAGCAAATTTAACGTCAAATTTAATAGAACAAAAATAACAGTAACGTTCTTATTCAAATAAATGAGATTTCGAGTAATAGGAATTAAATTAACATCTTTAACATCGACTTAGTACAGCCTATGCTTCAAATTCCCGCAGGCAGGAGACGCGACGCTGCATTGCATTAAAAAGAGCAATGCAACAGAAACTTTATCTAGTACAAGATAAGGTTACATATCTCTAAATAGAAAAGAAGATGCAACAAGGAGCGCTGGGCGGGCGGCGCCGAACTAAAACATAATAATAAATCTATTAAATTAAATAAAGTATACAATTCTTTGAATGCAAAATAACAAAAGAGTAAAGCTGTCAAAGACAAGAGGCAGCGTAATTTTGCTCTTTTATTTTCTTTCGTGAAAATAATAATTGAGTTTCCACATTGCCTTGCTACCTCTAAACTCAAGTTCGCGATACGCCGCGGCACACACAATTGCAGCTGCCAGCCTTTCAATGAAATATACCTTATTGTTAAGAACTAAGTTACACATTGCATTGCTCGCGGTGACGACAGGATGCGCCAGGCGGAGCCAGGCGAGCTAGGCGGGCTTTAATAAAGCGTCAGTGGAATGGCAGTGATGATGGCATTACATACACAGTACATTCAATCACTAACGATCCATGTTGCCTTACTAAAACTACCATAGAAATGAAACTATGCACGCGGCGAAGTGACGAAATATTTTTTGATATATCATGAAAAACCATAACCCAGTTTTAAAATATTGAAATTGTTTAATGTTATTTCAGCTATGCATCGTTAGGGTAAGCTCCGATAAGTCAAACATGTTAACTAATTTTAAATGTTCTTAAAAGAGAATATTGTGCGCTGTATTTTTCTATTTAAAACTGTTATTTGACCATTTGTCACTTCGCCGCATTTTTTAGTGAACGGCAATAGCTTAATTTTCATCTTGTTTAACCAGCAGTTTAGTCTTCATATTAAATGTATACAATATTAATAGACTACACCATCATGGTGTCAATGAAGAGTAGAATACCAAAAAATTACAATGCCAGTTGAATAGTATCCCGATGGCAAGCCACTACTCTATCGACATACAACTGAGATTATTTACATTTAGCAGAATTGGGGCCCTGTTCATGGTCAGTGGACTGATAACACTTTTCAAGTCATTATAAAGAAAAAGCGAAAAAACACACAAGCAACCTTTGTAGCTATTAAGAAATATGAAATAGCTGTTGCTCCTGTGCTATCACAGTATGTGTACGCATAATGTACCTGTAACACAAGTCATGTGGAAATGGTGAAATTAATATTTTCATTTAATACAGAGACAAACCAGCTGATGAGCTAGTTGTTCGGAGGTTGTCATTGTTGCCCATGGACGTTTGCCACACCAGAGGAATGCCTTTGTGTTGCCTGCCTTTGAAGGCCATGTGTGTTCACTTTTGGAAGCACCCCATATCACAGCTATAGCGCGTCAACCATGTTTGCTGAGAAACATGTAGACAAATTCTACATTATCATGCGAAAGCGTAGTGCATCGCAAGCATCTCAGTGTGAACAGCATCCTGAGCACATGGATAGAAAGATGAGAGTCCCCAATGCTGGGGCGGTGGATGCACACTGCTGGCAATGCATAGCCAGTTGTCCTGAAATTGGCTGGGTATGTTATATTCCCATCTTAATACCTATAATTTTCTTTTATTTCATTATTTGCCTAACACTAGCTTAAGTATTTTTCTTTACAAACAAATATTATGGATGAATGCAAGCCTGAAATAAATGAATTATTATTATTATTATTATTAATATGATAGCGCAAATGCCACATGAACTCAATGTTAATAAAAATAACAAGGTAGATGATCTTATGCTTACTATTATATTCTTTCTATCATACCAAGTGACAGGACAAACAAGTTGTGCACCTGTGTATGTGGTAAGCAAAGAGCCAGTCCCACAACAATAAACAATAAAGATTTATTATTATTTATTATTATTATTATATTATTAATTGCTATACCGCTCAGAGCTTTAGATCGGAAAAGATCTAAGGGGCACTACTACTGAAATGCAGTAATAGTCACATTACTGCTTGGTAGCAGAAATAGGTAAGGTAACAGTACTCCCTTGAGCGCACTCTTTCACAAGGAGGTCTACTGCTGATAATGTGTTATAATAATGAACTTTCAAATTTAAATCAGATTTTAATCATCATTTAGTACAGTTCCAAAAACTATACTAAAATTCATTTACTGCATAATAATCAATAATTGGTTCTGAGAAAAATAGCTGTTGTGTACAGTTGGAAACTCACCATACAGGTTACAATGAAAACGCGAAGGGCCTTTATCAATAAAAAACACTACGAAATAAGAGAGAACTTACGATAATCACAAATCGAAGCAATATTTCGGAAAACTGGATTGTATTAATGTATAATGTTATAATTAAAACAGAATAAAAATGCTTACCTTGCCACACTGTGTGCAATTGTAAGTGGGGCCTAATTTTATTTTCTTTTTAGACATTATTTTGTCTTAAATTACAACTTAATCTGCAAGATTAATGAGATATAATAATAATATTTGTTTTTACAAAATGTTCATATGCTGTCATCTTTGCCGTAAACATGGATTTAGTACATTTAGTATGCTAAATCTATGGCCGTAAACCAGAAAAGATATTGCATAATATGTTACGGTAGATTCGGAACGGATTAACTTCGGGTGTTTGTGTATTTATTGAAAATAAAATGCAATTTAACAATCTTAACACTTACCTACAATTATGGCTCTAAATTTTTATGTGAAGTAAAATTATGATGTTAAATAATTAAAAAGAATCGCCATCTAATTAGCTATTATAATTTATTAACTTTTCGATTATTTTTCAAAAATCGGATTATTTGGAAAACCTTTTTTTTTATAAACTATTCACCCATTTATTATTTGGGTAGGCAAAGGTTCCAACATACAGCCTCTTGGAAAATAACTTGTGTGTAAAATTTTACAACGCTACTTACATACTTACTTACTTGCACATACTTGTTATGTTGTATGTACATACATACCTGTTATCATAGAAGATATTAATTAAAAATAAAGTGTATTCTACCATGAAACGAAAATGTACTGTGCGTTTTTACCATGGTTTTTCAATTGAAATATTCAATATTCATTGCATCCTTTTCCTCATAATCATGAATTACTAACCAAATACAAATTTGACATTTTTAAATTATATTTATGGAGAAAACTGAACTAACGATATGCCGTAATACGTCTTTATTTACATACTTTTTCCAAAATAGAATTACCGTGGATACTTTGCTTTCCATTGGAAGATATTAAAACTTGAAAGCCAAGAAGATGGTTTCGAGAACAAATGGTAATTACCATAGTGACAAACACGAACATATTGTTAAGTACTCTGTGCACGAATCTGTGTAACAACAAAAATGAGATTTTCATAAAATAATAACACTAATACTGTGTTAAAAATGGCTTCGGTATCAAGTTTAATATGTTTAACAACTATTTGTGAAGGTTGTCTAAGTGTGGATAGAAAGTTACAGACAATTTTTAATGAAGAAAGCCTGAAACTGTTTTACGATATTTTAAACCCTTTGGTATGTTCATTTTCTTATTATTCTATTCCCATATCTTACCTTATATCATTTAAAAACACTGGTAATGCTTACGACTACGTCTTTTTCCGTTAGTTTTAAGTCTAACAAGGGCTACGATTTGAAGGTTTGAACCCACCATACGTTACAAACTGTTAATTGAAAACCTAATAAGATTCCTTTAGATCCTGAAAATATGGTGCAAGTCATTAGGAAAAACAGTTTCGCACAAAAGAGAATTTTGTAACGTCTCCGTTGTTGAGTGGCTTGCACACCAGTTTTCATGATGCCGTCATCGCTGAGGTTCTGAGTTCGATGTAGAAATACCTTACACTATGGAAACTAAAGGACATGTTATGTTGACATATATAAATCAGACGTTATATGTTTAAGATGCATTTCGACATTGAAAACATAAACGTGTTTTGTCTTTGTTTAACTAATCTTAAGCCAAATGAGGTAGCATTACATTGGTCTGTGTTAAACACAGGAATCGAAAATACGTAACGTCACTTAAATGCCAACCGTGTCCATTTCACCATACATGAGGTACATGATATGGTTGTCAAAGGGAAGTACATGAAATGTCAAAACAAATGTCTTTCCAAGTGTTTTATTGAATTATTCGCATGTATTGTAATAAAATGGATAAAAATATGGACAGTGAGAACAATTAAGTATTAATAAAAATTTGTCCCTACAGCATTATGGGATGTGGCATTTGAAAAAGCCAAGATTGACCGAATGTAACATAGTACAGACACGTGTTATTTTTCTGTCTATGACAACTGTAACTACTAAAAATTCTTATTTTATAAAGCCAGCAATACAAAGACCATGTTGGTGTAATGTTGCTGGGTGAAGGCCAATACCAACATATAGACAGACTATTTGCCTTGCCTTGCCATTGTTCGGTGTCACTTGCCTAGCTGACCGAGTGAAGATGAGCGCTAACATGTATAGAGCTCATTTGACGTGGCTTGTCACAACTCGCAGTCGCTTGTGACTACTTGTGTCACTTCAGAGAAGTGTTGATTTTCTGCACAAATCGAAGGCGCTCAGCCAATAGTAGTCAATTGGCATTGTATAATCAGACATTTGCATGCTATTTAATATATGCGAAACATGTTTATACTAACACTGTCTCGTCACATCTCCTATTAAACCATGTTTTTAGTAAATAAACATATACATTTATATATATTAGATTGTTACACATAGGAAATTAAACTATTTTACCGGATTTAAATCGCGTATATTTGTTTTTTCAAACAAACCGAAATTTTGGGAACTGTACGGGACCCAGTCAACCGTGACCATGGGACCTGTGAAAAAACAATTATACGCAATTTAAATCCGGAAAAATAGCTTCATTTCCAATATTATTATTGATAATAATACTACTTTCATTTATTTCCAAAATTAAATGGAAATATTAAAGATTCACTTCAATCAGTCACTGATATTAATGCTATACCAATGCATAAATACAAAAAAGCTTTTACACTATTTGGAATCTGTTTAAAAATTTCTCTATGAAAATAAGAATCTTGAGGTTGTAAATGTATAGGATTTATATTTTATAGTTTTCTCTTTTTTATATACTCTCAAATTACAAATATTATTTTTATCTGTGCAAATTCACTTTTCGTAATATTTGAGCATTTGTAAACGGAAACCAATAAATTCAAAATTTCATGTGACATTCCCGGATATTCTCATAATGACCTAAAATATGCCCAAATGGAATATTGATCTACTTTAATTAAATGTTTGCATACCGATAATGACTTATCGATAGATTATGGTATGACACTAAAGAAATCCGCCATTTGTTTGTTCAATTTTTGTTTAGGTATGCGTATTCATTCCATAGTTAGGGCAGCTCCTTTCTTTTATTTTTTTCCATCCTCTAAGAGAAATACTAACTTTTCTATATTGTATCGGGTCAGTCTATGTGTTTGTGGTACCGTCGTTGATTCCGATTTCCATAACACTAGTGCTTTAGTTACTTATTTTGGTACCAGAGTAACGTATTTTATTTTATTTTTATTTTTATTGTAATGGTACAAATTACAGAAAACAGATTACAGCATTGTTTTCAAACAATTTTTTTTAAAAGAGACACAAGAGTAAATCTGCATTCCAATTATAACTGTACACAGCATTAAAAAACTATAGATTTTGGATCTTATGAACAAATAAATGAAAAAAAGAAAACAATAACAACAATACAGAAGAATTTTAAAATAGGTCAAATGAGTCGTTTAATGATGGACGTGATGTTGTCTAATATTTATCTATTTATTCTCAACTTAACCTTTATTCTACAGGAGCCTGTGAATCACCCCCTTTCTCTATGCTGGGAGTGTGCCTCCGTCATGTACGGGATATTGAAATTCAAGTCACAAGTTAAGAGGGCGCACGAGTTGCTTGTCAGTTATATGGTAAACCATACAATTATGGTCTATTTACATTTCACAACTTGGTACCAGACCAGCGTTGCCTTGACAATAGAGAACAGAACTTGAACTTACAGTATCATACATTACCATAGGCAGAGCCATCCGTGCCACATTTAGTATATTGCTTTTTAATACTCTTCTTAGAGACGAGGCAATGCTGTACTGCCATCATACTTATTTCTGCCACCTACATCGACCTACCAAAAAATGGCCAGCTAGCAGTAATGTGAGTGTTACTGCATTCTGGTTTTGAAGGGTAGAGGTGCTGGTGAAATATATAGGCACGTAGGACTTGTCAACTTATGTCTCATGGTGACAGGTGCAGTGGCAGTGCCCCTCATATCTTTCCGATTTAAAGCTCTGCGTGGCACTGCAACTGTTATGAACACGTGTAGCTTACTACCAGGCACACAACTTTGACATCCTGTCACTTGAAATTATAAAAAGAAGCATTAAATTACTTTACTTACTTCGCTGGCTACTGGACAATAACACGTAGGTTACCCCAAATCAGTGTTGGGCGTTAATCAATTAAATTTCAATCAATAATTCAGATTAAAAAATCAATTCAATTGAAATCAATTGCAATTAAATCAATTGCGACGCGCCGCAATTGATTTAATTGCAATTGATTTTAATTGCAATTGATTTCAATTGAATTGATTTTAATTGCAATTAAATTTGCAATTAAAATCAATTCCGGCCTGTTGGGGGTCCGGTTGAGGGCTCCAGGGCCCCGGTTGGGGGCCCTAGTTAGGGGCTCCAGTTGGGGGCCCCGGTTGGTGGCCTCAGTTGGGGGCCACAGTTGTGGCCACTGTTGGGGGCCCTGGTTGGAGGCCCTAGTCGGGGCCCCAGTTGGGGGCCGTAGTGGGGGCCCCAGTTGGTGGCCCCGGTTTGGGGCCACAGTTGGGGGCCCCGGTTGGTGGGGCCAAAGTTGGGGGCCCCGGTTGGTGGGCCCAGTTGGAGGCCACAGTTGGGGCCAAAGTTGGGGGCCCCGGTTGGTGGGGCCAAAGTTGGGGGCCCCGGTTGGTGGGCCCAGTTGGAGGCCACAGTTGGGGCCACAGTAAGGGCAGTTGGGGGCCCGGTTGGGGGCCCCAACTAAGCTCCCACTAGCGCCCCCAACCGTGGACCCCAACTATAGCCCCCAACCGGGGCCCCCAACTGTGGCCCCCAACTGGGGCCCACAACCGGGGCCTTCAACTGTGGCCCCAACTGTGGCCCCCAACCGGGGCCCCCAACTTAGTCCCACTAGGGCCCCCAACTGAGGCCCCCAACTGGGGCTCCCAATGGGGCCCCCAACCGGGGCCCGCACGCATCTAGGGCCCCCAACCGGGGTACCCCACCTGTGGCCCCCAACCGGGGCCCCCAATTGTGGCCTCCAACTGGGGCCCCCAATCGGGGCCCCCAACTGGGGCCCCCACTAGGGCCCCCAACTGGGGCCCCGACTAGGGCCCCCAACTGGGGCTCCCACTAGGGCCCCCAACAAGGGCCCCCAACTAGGGCCATCAACCGAGGCCCTGGGGCCCTCCAACTGGGGCCCCCAACCGGGCCCCCAACTAGGGCCATCAACCGGGGCCCTGGGGCCCTCCAACTGGGGCCCCCAACCGGGCCCACAAGAGGGGCCCCCATAACCAACGCGCTAACTCACCCCCATATAAATTTATCATAATTGTCAGTTTTAATTGTTAATTGTTAATCAAAAACATTGAAAAGATTGAAAATTGATTAATTGTTAATTGCGGTTCTCGCAACTAACAATTGATCAATCGTTAATTGCTGTTTCGCAATTGACAATTAATTAATTGTCAATTTTTAATTGCCAGAACAATTAAATTTTGCCCAACACTGCCCCAAATACACTTTTTTGACAGTTTTTACCTTTCCCATTCCTTCCACAAGCTACGAAGTTGGATTTAATTTCGCTGATTCTGTTCGTTTGATCTCTGTACTGAATCTGACCCTCCAGTTCCCAAATTCTCCTTTAATTAGTCACAGAATATTTCAGAATGTCTTCCAATCGTGGCAATGTTAAGGAAGCAATCTACTTGACATATTTTTGCGTGTATAGTGATTTAATTGGCCAGCTTTAATTGTCTATCACATTCTTGATGCGAATAAAACTGGCTAGATGAAGCGATAGTTGGCAAGTCACGTAGTCAGCAGAACCTTAGACTATGGAAATCAAAGGACATGTTATGTTGACATTTATAAATCAGACGTTATATGTATTATGATGCATTTCGACATTGAAAACATAAACATGTTATTGTCTTTATTTAACTACTGCGTGACGTCGTAAGCCAAATTGAATTATTATATTGAATTATTTGCATGGACAGTAATAAAATGGATAAAAATACTGACAGTGAGAACAATTAGGGATTAATAAAAATTCGTCGCTGCAGCATTAAGGGATGTGGCATTAGCCAAATTGAAAATCAACCAAATGTAATATTGCACAGGCACATCTTTCTGTCTATAAATCACACAATAGCCCAAATATCTCATGTAATTAGACTTATATAAGTAGTTTATTCATAAATCTTGCCAAATTTTGCTTTGGTTACTCAAGATTGCCTACTTGTTTGTATATTTTGATTATTGTTGTAAATGATTGTTTTGTGATAGTTTTGTTCTTGTAAGCATACATATTATCGATATTCTGTTATTAAAACAATTCGCTATGAGGTTTTTTTTTACTATTTCAAGATTACCTACAATTGAAAAAAGAAAAAAAAAGATTGGTTGGAAATCGTAGGACTGCCGAATATAAACATTGGATCAAAGACTTAGGGTCGTATTCTAGAACTCTACTCAATGCTCAAGTTAGGATTGCACTGGAAACACAAGCACTGGAAATACGACCCTAATGGCAGGGACTTGAGTATGATTTTGAGTGCTCAACTCCATACTCAAATCCTGACTTGAGCATTGAGTAGAGTTCAAGAATACGACTCTTAGAGAGACTTAAAGAGATCTTCATTTATTCGTTTCATTTTGAAGAGTCAAATTTTAACAGAACTTTGAATGTAACTAGATTACATGATAATGCGATTCTATCATTAGGTTTATTTGGTAAATAATTTTTATTTAATTTAGATTCAACAAGACTCATTTACTAGGCATTCTCAGTTCCTGAAAACAAAATTATCTATGATGTTAAAAAAATTGCCACAATTAACATGAAACAAAAAAGTGCACATAAATTAACAAAATGTCATGTGATCAAAACAAGATGTTCCCAAATCGAATATTGATCTACTTTAATTAAACGTTTTAATCATACTTTTACAGTAAATTAAAGAAACAAAAAACGATTTCAACATTCAAGCCATACATTTGCATGTCGATAATGAGTTATCGATAGATTATGGTACAACACTAAAAAAATTCCCCATTTGTAGCGTTCCCCATTTTTGTTTAGATTTGCACATTCATTCTGTAGTTAGGGCGGCTCCTTTCCTTTGTTTATTTTCCATCCTCTAAGAGCAGAACTGATAATTTATGAGAAGAAAATTTCTCATCTTCAAGTTAAAGGAAACTTTTGTTGCGCATGGTCTTAGAAAATGTATGTGGTATTGAATAGCATTCTACAATAAGGCCTGTTTTTTATGTGGATGAATTAAAATTTATAATATATTTCATTCTGTTAAAGAAGGTTTAATTCTTGGAATTGAAATAGCTTTTAAGATCTAAATTGCGTACTTTTTTTTTTCAAACAAAACTCATCAAGTCATCAATAAGGTTTTAAATTATATTAGCAAAAACAACTTGGTACGTTTTAATGGCAAAAGTCGCAGGTATCACCCAAGGGGTTAGGAGATAGTTTAGGCCTATCAAATTATTATTTAAGTAAATATTTGTGCTTTCTCTATTTTTCTTCATGTGGTTTTCTTTAATTTGGTTTTTGATACTAAAATGTAAATTCTAAATTGCAGCTTCACCATTCGACCACCTTACCGACACTATCGTCATTAAAAACATTCACAAATCAAAGTCTGTTAGAAATCTCATACCCAGAACACAATACAGAACAGCCAGAAAACTTAGAAATTGACACCCAACATTCAACAAATGAAAGTAATAATGTTGGTGAAATAAAATATGACAAATTATCATTAAATCTAAATAAAATGGTTGAAAATATCAATAGCACTAATGCAGTTATCAATAATATATCAAAAGCTATCGGTAAGAAAGCTAGAACTAATCGGTCAAAGAGAGATGTAGAGCATGATGAAGCGGAGCCATTAGCATTTATTAAAGTTGAAGACCAAGACAATGGGGTTGATCATCTTGAAGGATATTATGTTGATGAGAATTTAGATGATGTAAGATTTGATGACGATGATGATGAGGATAAGGACTTAAAGGTAAGTAACGTGTAAAATGAATGTAGGTACCAATTTTAAAGTTGCAATGAGCTTTTTATCTTTATTTTTATTATAGTTATTTTTAACTGCCTCCGTGGCCGAACGGTTACCATTCCGGACTGCCACGCAGAGGTCCCAGGTTCGATTCTCGGGCCGGGAGACATATTTGTATGGCCTACATTTATTTCTATCGTGAGTTTGGGTGTAATTTGTGGCTGTCTATGTGTGTGTCCATGGCACCCGCGACACAGGGTTTCCCTAGTGCGGTGCGGTCACAAAAACTACCATGCTGCCTAGTCCATGCGAATTGACGACTTCACGTTAGTGCACACAAAGCAATCTTAATGTACCTGTTTAAATTTCAGGCTGTATTAAAATCTGATCCCTTTCAATGCACGTCAACGAAGTCAAATGGAAGGCGTCGACGGAAAACCAAAGCTGAGTACAACGATTCCGACGATGAACCACTCACGTTGAAGAAGTCAAAAATTGCTAAATGTGCCCTAAAGAGTCAAACAGGTATAAAGGCCAAACTAATAAGGGATTTGTTGCGAAACTTACTTTCTAGCGTGTAAGTATAATTTCAGAAGGTCCGAAGCAAGACAGGCGCAAAAACCCGGGCCCGAAACGCGAGAAGCCAGCCGGCGTCATTCGCAACGCCCGAGTTAACAGAAAGCTCGAACAGCTTGGAGTGCCTACGTCGGCGTTAGAAATGGTCGTGCTTTCGTGGGAAGAGGTAAGATTGTTACACACGTCTACACACACGTGCAATCAAACACACAGGCACGCACATTTTTAGCTTCAGTCTATTTATTTAGATTGTGTAATTGCGGATTATAACAATTTGTGACGCACACAGAGGGCAACACTACAAGAACCTCGCGTTTATCGTGGCTCTCTTAGAAGTCTATACAACCATAATTGTGGCTTTGGTTGATAACAGCGAAAGTGTCCAATGAATCACTTTGGAAAAAATATGTAGTAAAATTGAGGATGTACTCTGATATGCACGGTGTAAAAACACGATTCGTAAAAATTTTCACGATAGAAAAAAAAACACAAACTTACCTCGAAATTGTACACGAAAACCGCTGTATTCAATACGTACTTTACATATATAATATCTCGTATCAACTGAGCTAAAGTATAACACTTATTACTATACGATATACATTTTTCAAATGGCTTCAACTTCGTTTGTAAAAATTAAATTCTGAAATAAAGCCTGCGTTCCTGCCGCTCGCCCCTCGCCGCTCGACCCGAGCAAAATGAACCGTGTTAGTACGGGAAAAATTTGAATTCATGGGGTAGTATAGACGCTTAACAATGAGTATGTTTCTCAGAAACTATATGTTGTTCTCCTCACTATAACAGCAGATTTTATCAAATCGTCTATCGCGTAGTTTCCCAAAGTGATCCCTACTGCCCCACTGGGGGCGCTGAAGAGTTCTAGGGGTTGCAGTAGGGACCTCGGAAGCAGTTGAGGCGTGCTGATGCTGTCCAAGGGGTGCGGTAGCATTTGAAAAAAAAACCTGAATTATCTATATAAACTTCACTACAAATTTTTTTATTGTGATTTTTTGTGTTAAATTAATATAAAAAATACGTGTTTTTAATTATTTTTGTGGTGGTGGGCGTTAAAATTTCTTTATCTGGCCTAAGTGGGCGGTGAGCCATAATTTTTGGGAACCTATGGTCGATCATACGAGTGACCCCTGATTGGATAGTACTGCCACCTTACCTATTTCTACCGCCAGTAATGTCAGCATTACTGTGTTCCGGTTTAGAAGGGTAGGGGTGCTTTCGTAATTACAGGCACGTGGGACTTGCCAACTTATGTCTCAGAATGACGGACGCGGTGGTAGTGCCCCTCAAATATTTGCAATTTAAAGCTCCGAGTGGCACTGCAACTGTTATGGACAGGCGCATAACTTGTTCGTCCCGTCACTTGACGTTATAAAAGGAAACCCTGCATGAAGTCCAGTGTCTTCTACCCTGGTTTGCATGACACAATGACGAGACGCTCTAGGTAGTCATTATCCCGCCTTGAGACGCCTACAACGATATACACACTCAAACACACAGACCTCCCACAAGACTGTCTCAGAGAAGCTCCCATTTATACACAGTGGTATTTTTGTGTACAGGTGGAAGCGGAGCGGGCAAAATCGCTACGCAGCGAAACGTTCACCCGCCACGAGTACCGCTGCTACGACTGCGCCGTTGGGTTCAACCACCGAGCGAAGCTGGAGGACCACATGGTAAAGCATTCGCAGGTACGTATGTGGACGACGAAACCACAATTATTGGACAAACAAGATAATCCACACAAGTAAAACAAATTTAGTCCGGGCTGGGTGTTCCCGGTAGTGCCGGACTAAGTTATTGTGCCCTGGTATTCATAGTACAGGTAATATCCTAGTTTGAGAGTAACTGCCTCCGTGGCCGAACGGTTACCATACTGGACTACCACGCAGAGGTCCCGGGTTTGATTCCCGAGCCGGGAGAAATATTTGTAAGGCCTATATTTATGTCTCTCGTGAGTTTGAGTGTAATTTGTGGTTGTCTATGTGTACTCGTACATATAAAGGGTTTCCCTAGTGCGGGGCTGTGTTGAGTGTGTTCGTAAAAAAGTAACAATTGTTGTGGTGTAGTGAGTTTGAATACAGCTAAGAAAATCTGGTTAATAGAAAAATTTATCTTAACAGTAAATGATACATTGAAGTTATTTTTACAATGACCAAAGGTGAGTATCACGCGAGACCGCTGCGCGCCGCGTCGCTACAATAGTGATTTTAATGTGGCTGAATACTGGCAACAGTTGCCATATTGAAAAAATCGGCCAAAAAAAGTACAAACTTTTTTCATTTACATTCCCGCCTTTTCATTTACTTTTTTTAAATACTGTTTTATTTCACTTTCAATGTAGTTTTTTCGCAAATGTGTTAAAAACGTCGTTTGTCCACGTGCGGATTTGTCATTTTCACTTGTCTCGAGTCTCGTGAATAACGACTAACTTTCCGCACTCGCATGAAAAATAACTACAATTGGATCGCGTCCCGGGGCGTAACTTGAACGAACGCAGCTCGGTGTCGCCCTGTGCTTTCTCGCCCCGTAAGAGCCCAGCCTCGGCTTCGCAGGCGGCCGGCGCCGCGGAGTGCAGCGTGTGCCGCGTGCGCTGCCGCGACGCGCACGCGCTGGCCGCGCACCGCCGCCGGCACCGCGTCAGGTGGGTCCTTCGGGCGGGGTCGGGTCCCGTCGGCGCCGGTCGGCTCCGGCCGGCTCCGGCCGAGACCGACCGCGACGCGTGCGCAGGTGGCGCTGCTGCCGCTGCCAGGCGCTGTGGTCGCGCGCGGCCGTGGGCGCCGACCACTTCGCCCGCGCGCACGCGCACGCGCCCGCCGTGCACCGCTGCTCCGTCTGCGGCCACCGCGAGCCGTGAGTGCGCCCTCCCCTTCCCCCTCCCCCTCCCCCGCGCCGTTCGCCCCGACTGCCCCTCGCCCTGCCCGCAGGACCCTCGGCAAGCTGCGCAACCACCTCAAGAACCACGCCGAGCGCCAGAAGTGCGAGCTGTGCGGGAAGACCTTCCGCGACAGGACGTCGCTGAGGACGCACTTGTTGTGAGTCGGGGCCGTGCCCTTCTTTTCCTTCTCTCGACTCGTTTGCGTGATGTGTAATATTTTGTTAACAAATATTATTAGCCTGTCGACACTGTGTATACTTTGCCTAATAAAAATAATCTCGGTACAGAATATTAAAAAAAACCGATCTCGAAAGTCTTTTATCCCCTAGTTTGCCACCCTAAGGGTCGTATTCTAGAACTCTACTCAATGCTCAAGTCGTTAATCATCAAGTCATGGTTTAAAACACTCGAAATTATACTCAAGTCCCTGCCATTAGAGTCGTATTTCCAGTGCTTGTGTTTCAATTGCAATCCTGAGTAGAGTTCTCGAATACGACCCTTAGAGGTGGAATACTTTCTTCAAATTTAAATGGGACCGCTCCTAAGGTACCCTCTTTCCAACTAAAAAGAATCATCAAAATCGATTCACAAATACCGGAATTATCGCGTAACATACATACAAAAAAGTTACAGTCTAATTGAGAACCTCCTTGTATTAATGGTTCCCTTTGCAGCATTCACAAAGGCGAAAAGGAGCACGAATGTCCGTCGTGCGGGAAGCGGTTCCTGTTCAAAAAAGCCATGGAAGTGCACATGATCACGCACGATGCGCATGCGCACCTCTACTGTCATCAGGTCAGCGGAACAATATTATTACCCCTACGCAAGTATTGTATTAAGATGAGAATGTCCAATGTCATATTTATGGTATGATTACGTTATAACGGCCGAACAGTTTCCTAGATTCCCAAGCCAGAAAAATACTTATATGACCTGCATTTATTTCTTTCATGAGTTCAAGTGCACTTTGTAGTTGCTATGCACGTGGACACACAAGAAACCAGGGATAAAGGGGCTAACTACTGCGGGGCCAAGAGTGTGTGCTTATTTGACCGACTGACATAAATGGGAAATGTAAAGTTTTGTATAAATTAGTTGTAAATAATTAATTAGTAATTAATATTGTTTCAGTGTGATATGAATTTCAAAAATCGCATGTCTTTTTACCAGCACATGAAGTACAACCTTAAACATATCGACCCAGCTAAGCTCAAGTAAGTACATTTTCTTGTTAAAAATTTATTTTATATTTGGTTTAATTTGCTAAAAATTGACTAAAGTTAAACAATGTATGGCGTTGAACGTCTCGGTTAAGTTTAGTTCAAAGTTGTAGTTAGTCGCGTTGAGTCGAGTGTAGAAAATTGAAAGAGTTATTGAAATTTTCAATAGTTATAATGGATGTTAAGAGTGTATATAACTTTAAATGCTTTTGGTTGATTCCGTCTAACAGTGAAGGTGTTGAGTCAACGACTCTACAAACAATTGTAGTGAAAACACGATAAAAAAACAAACTACTTCGAAATTTAGTAAGAAAACTGCTGTAATAGTATTTTACTTTTTTATATCAACTTACGTAAACAGAACACGTACAGGTAGTATACGATATACATTTTTGAAATGGTTTTAATTTCGTTTGTAAAAGAGCAAATTTTGAAACAAAGCCAGGGCGTCTCGCCGCTCGACTTAACGCAAAAAGAACCGTATCGGTACGGGAGAAGTTTGAATCGGGACCGAGGTAGCATCGACGACAACGCGAAGTGGCCTATTAAACGAATTAGGGCACTAAGCCATCTCGTACGAGGGTCAAATTCAAATTCAAAATAATCTTTATTTCATAGGTAAGCATTATTACACTTGAAATCGTCACAATGGTTAAACTCTACCGCTCATTCGTAAGGCAGATTTCCCTGAGAAGAATGAGCAAGAAACTCTAGGGGTTGCTCTTTGTAAATAACATTTACAATTATTTTTTTTATTTGAAACATCAGAGATCGAGACTACCTCCATGAGCTAAACGGGTTACTACCACGGATTTTTGTCATCCAAGTACGCAGAAGTTGTATAATAAATAACCTTTAGTATAAAGTTTTTGTTTCACTATAGTTTTAAACCTCGTGAAAGGCAAATTTTGTATATCAACCGGAATCTTGTTATAGAAGCGTATACATTGCCCCTTAAATGATTTTTTGACTTTGTGAAGACGACTATCAAGAAAAGCTAGTTTATTTCTATTCCTCGTATTAATGTTATGTCTGTCACTATTTTTCATAAATAAATTACTATTCCTTTTAACATAAATTACAATTTCATAAATGTACTGTGAGGCTAGTGTAAGAATGTCAATTTCCTTAAGCTTATCTCTCAAAGATACTTTGGGGCCCAGATTGTAAATTGCCCTAACTGCACGTTTCTGCAGGACAAAGATTCTATTCATATCGACGGCATTTACCCAAAGCAAAATGCCGTATGTCATTACAGTGTGAAAGTAGCTGAAGTAAACCAATCTAGCGGTTTCGACGTCTGAAAGTTTCCTTATTTTTTTAATCGCGTACACTGCAGAGCCGAGCCGTTTTGATAACTTACTTATATGGGGACCCCATTGCAATTTAGCATCTAACGTTATACCTAGAAATACAACTGTATCCACAAGATTCAATTTTTCGTTTCTAAGTACAATGTTTGTAACCGTCTCTGTAACATTGGGTGATGTAAATTTCACACAATTTGTTTTTTTCTCATTAAGAAGTAGGTTATTAACAGCAAACCAATCAACTACTTTAGATATAGCATTGTTCACATCGTCGTAGGAACATTGGTGCCTTTTAACTTTAAATAATAAGGAAGTATCATCAGCAAACAATACTATCTCATGTTTTACACCCTCCATAAGGCTAGGTAAGTCATTAATATAAACTAAAAACAAAAATGGGCCTAGAATTGAACCTTGAGGGACACTCATGCTAATTGCAGATCCTGACGATCTCGTACCGTTAACATCGACCCTCTGTACCCTACCACGCAAATACGTTTTAAGAAGGTCGAGATCACGTCCCGTCACACCATAATGGCGAAGTTTCCTGACCAGTGTATCATGGTGCACACAATCAAAAGCTTTGAAAAGGTCACAGAATACATCAATAGCATCATGTGAGACTTCCCATGCATCAAATATATAATTAATCAACTTGACATCAGCGTCGGTTGTAGAGCGGCCCCGAGTGAAACCAAATTGTTTAGGAGACTTTTAAGTTATTATTACTATAAAAATGTGCATGTGATTTAGAATATTTTTTTTAATATTTTACTGAGAGTTGGTAGTATTGATATAGGTCTGAAATTGGTGGGGTCAGAAATACTACCAGGTTTGAAAAGTGGAATAATTTTACTTTGCTTCATGAGGTCAGGAAAGACACCATCATCAACACATTTATTAAAGACTCAGGCCAAGTAAGGCGCAATACAATCAATTATAGAACTAATTACTCTGACTGAAAGACCATCAAGATCAGCAGTATTCTTTATGTTTATAGACTTAAAGGCTTTAACAATATCGTTTGGAAATACATGACGGAACCTTAAATTAGTGATACTAACTGCATTGTTTTCTTTTAGTAAGGATTCAGCGGCGGTGGGAGATGAATTTAACGACTTAGTAGTCAAAATTGGAATTGAAAATTTTCAAAATGCTCGCGGCCTGTGCAGGTTCGCGTGCGCGCTGTGCGGCAAGAAGTTCGCGAAGGCGCGGCGCCTGCAGGAGCACCACCTGGCCGTGCACCTCAAGGCCACGCCCGAGCGCTGCCGCGAGCCCGGCTGCGCCTTCGTGAGTGCGGGGCTGGTCGGAGGCGGGGCCTGCCACCCCTCCCCCACCCCCTGAGCCGTCGCTTTGCAGGCCTGCGCGTCGCGGCCCGTGCTGCGCACGCACGTGCGCATGGTGCACCGCGACGCGCGCGCGTGCCGCAACCACGTGTGCCACGCCTGCGGGAAGGCCTACACGGTGAGCCCGCCGCTGACACCGGACGCCGAGAGCCTTGCTCGGGAATTAGGGGTGCTCGAAGACGGCTTTGCTTCTCTTGTGCGCGTCCGAGCGGCCAACGCCAAACTTGATTCAGTAACGAACGTCAGTGGGTTGGCCTATTCGCTCCTCGTTGTCGATCAGTCCCGCGCGACCCGCCTGCTGACAACTAATTAGTTCGAAAGTTCGAAAGATGTCCCAGCTTAAAACTGACTTTTTATTGCCACGCGGCAAGTTCACAGGGAGCGGCCGCGCTTACTTGTTTACTTTACAACTAACTCTCACACAAAAAACCCACCATTTATGAAATTTTAACCGCCAAGTTCACTCCTTATTTTCATACACCAACCCTGCCAACGACCACCATGCCGTAGGACCACGTGACTGGTTAGACTGAACAGATTCAAACTGCTCATGCTGCGCAACCCCTTCTGCGGCCTCACCCAGTTTTAATTGTCAAACGCCGTAACATTTGTAAATAAAAAAAACCACCGTTAAACCATTCCTCTAATAATTAATAAACAATACGTAATAACATTAGCTAAAATTAACTGACCTCTTTTGCAAGCACAACACGTAAACAACAAATCAAACTCCGTTACACCACGTTTGCAGTGACAACCAACTCCGTCATTTTTTTTCATGACACTAAATGACAGGACGAACAAGTCGTGGGCCTGGTGGTAAGTGTCACGTCTGTCCATAACAGCTGCAGTATGACTCGGAGCTTTAAATCACAAAGACCTGAGAAGCACTTCCGCTGCACCCATCACCCTGAAACATAGGTTAACAGGTCCAATGTGCCTATAATTTCACCAAGTTTCCAAGCCAAAACTCAGTGATACTCACATTACTGCTTGGCGGCAGAAATAGGTAAGGTGGCAGTACTACCCTGGAGAAACTCTTCCACAAGACGCTCTACTGCTACTTAAGTTTCTGAGAAAACATTTTTTTTTAAATTGAGTAATTTTCGTATGTTTTTTACGCAAAATCATAAAACCGTAAGCGTTTGCGCACTCCATCCGACTCGTATTCGTCCTGAATTCGAGACTATACAAATCTAGAAAACTCGGCCCATTTCGGATGTCGCTTGTGCTAAGTTCGATTCAAATCCGAGAAAATACGAATATCGCTTGTACACTTCGAGATAAACCGATCCCTGTGACATTTCGGACCGTCATTTATCGGATCCGGAACGGATACGAATCGGACGTAGTCCGCAAACGCTCTTATACACAGACCAAAGTCCTTCCGTAAAACCTTAACAGACCAAGAAGACGCTGGAGGGGCACCTGCGCAGCCACACGGGCGAGCGGCCGCTGCGCTGCACCGCCTGCCCCGCCACCTTCCGCTACGAGGCCGCGCTCTACAACCACAACAAGCTGGTGCACCTGAAGCCCAAGGTCAATGCCTCTGCGACGGCACTCGGTCGTTCAAATATATCGTACAGAGTACATAACTACTTGTTCGCTATGGGACAAATTCTGGATTCGACAGATTCGTGATTCGGAGATTGGGCAGATTCTTTGATTCGACAGATTAGCTATACAGCAGAAAAACTACAGTTGTGCACAAATACCTGAATTTTAAAGACTACAGGTGTTCACAAAATATCTGAATTTAAAAAACTACAGGTGTGCACAAAATATCTGAATTTAGAAAACTACTGTTGTGCACAAAATATCTGAATTTGGAAAACTACAGTTGTCCACAAAATACCTGAATTTTAAAAACTACAGGTGTACGAGCTGCTTGCCTCGTACAGTAATATGTCAGAATATGTCAGGTGATATCAGCGAGATGATGCAGGGAGATGTCAAAGATGCTGTAGAAATAATACTCGACCAATACCACGGAGTAACTTTATTGTACTGAAAATTATAGTTTTTACATTTTGCACGTGCACAATGTAGGGAGCGACGTTGCAGTTTTTACATTTTGCACGTGCACAATGTAGGGTGCGACGTTGCATATTGTCAGTTGCACAATAATGTACGTTGACCAGTACAACAGGTGTTCACAAAATATCTGAATTTAAAAAAACTGCATGTGTGCACAAAATATTTGAATTTTAAAAACTACAGTTGTGCACAAAATATCTGAATTATAAAAAACTACAAATGTGTACAAAATATCTGAACAGTAACGGGACAAATCTATCACGCAATCTATAGAAATACATATTTACAAAATTGCAGTAACAAGTAGTACAAAAGATAGGAAAAGAATCTAAAGTCAAACACAAACATCACAAACTTATTACATTATTAAACAATATTTCAAGGAGGTACAATTGGTATTAGTATTATTATATGGACGCTAGTAACATATCTGCTTTTTTTCCCACAGTGCAAAAGATGCAAACCATATGAAAACTGACCGTTACAATCATTGACTTACAATTATATGGACGTCGGGTCCGCGCTAAAAAGTGTCCGCACTTGTAAGGCGCTAAAATCGTATACAGAGCGCCAAACTCCGCTTTAGTCTTCATTTGTTCTACTGACAGCGCGATACTGCGATGACATTACAATTTAAATTTCGAATAGGTTGACTTGGGACATTTTTTTCGTGGTTTTTGTATTAGACCCGTCGTCCATTTATTTGTAAGTCAATGGTTACAATGGAAAGTTTCCTTCCAACAGACCGGCCGGAACCGCTCCTCCGCGACGACCGTGACCCAGCCCGCACCTGCAGAGGTGCAAAGTACGCCAACCTCCACATCCCAACCTGCACCTTGTTCTTCATCTGCACCTGCGCAGGTGCAACCGACACCACCCGCGCCGGCCTGGCAGATAACTTTGAATGTTCCGCACACGAATCAAATGGACGTCAGCTGATTGATCGATAACGTAGCTCAGAACCTTAGCACTCTGACTATTAAGTTACACGAAAAAATAGAAACAAACTAAGACATTCCGGTTTTGGTCCCCGGTACAACCGAGATACTAGAGTCGAGTACCCCGTTAGAATTCGACAAAGTCCGATATAGGCTAAGATTCGTCTAGTTCACAGATAATTAGACGTAAATAGAAACATTTTGAAATACATATACTAGTTTACCAGTATCAATGTACAATTTACATAATAATATATACAATATCATTCTAAGTTAAGAGATTTGAGCTTTTATTGTAATAATAAATGATTGATATGTACACAGTGTGTTTTATTTTGTAACCCAAGGAAAGCTTTTTTGGAATCCTAATTGCATTATCTACGTGCGCAACACTTGAGCCGTTCCTCAAACAACACACGAAATTTGAAATTAACAAGAATAGCTGGGCGGCACGAGACGGGCAGAGTTGGCGTGCTCAAGGAGAGGCTTATGTCCAGCAGTGGATGCGTGTAAGCTGATGATGATAAAAATACAATTTTACAGGTCGTGACAAAGCCCAAATCTTGAATTTATCTCTGTGACCTGAAATAATTGAAATCCAAGTTCATCATGTTCAGTCTATAAAAATTGTACATTTTGGCAAAGTGCAGAACTGAAAAGAAGAAAAAGAAAGGCTGCTGCGCTTTAAAAAGCAATCACCGCCTAGTTTTTTTAATAATAAATAACCTATAATTTGACTGCAAAGACACGTAGCCAATGCTTCATACTTCTTAAGTACGTATGTGCCTGACTTGCGGGCAATGGCAATGTACTCACAATTTTTTTCCATCCTCTAAGCCTTAGTTTCCATAGTCTAAGCTCCAAGCACAATACATATATAATTTTTTATATCGTATGTATTCATTTTAACTTCAGATAAACGTAAGATCCAAACAAAAAACATAAACTTAACAGCTCGACATTCAAAGGTCGTATTCCAGAACTGTACTCAATGCTCAAGTCAGGATTTGAGCAGACTTGAGTATGATTTCAAGCACTGGAAATACTACCCTAATGACAAGGACTTGAGTATTAAGTAGAGTTCTGGAATACGACCCTGAGAGTTAATTCATTTATTTGTTTTGTTGTAGTTGATGTCCTCGTAGCCAATGCTCAATAAATTAAAAAAAAACAAGCAAAAACAAACAAACGTCACAAATACAAAACAAGATAAAACAACCTTAAAAGTTCACATGAAAATCGCGAGAATGCGTTTAAATATTTTAATAAATTCGTTTTTAAAGCCTCGAAGTAGGCAATTTATTAGATATATATCCGATGAATACACGCCAAAGGCGCTTAGAAGTTTAAAAGGGAAATCAACTAGGAATACAGTACAATATTATGTCGATTCGTGTAGAGTAAGGACAGTAGCAGGAAACGGTGGCGATGGCTGCATTTCTTTTCTCAGTGTGTGGTGTAAGGACCATGCGGGGCCGGATGGAGGTGACGGGGGACACGGCGGGCATATTATTTTTCAGGTTGTGTTTCGCTTTCATGATTTAGTCGTATCGAATGATAGAATAATCTGGTCGATTACATACCCTTGATATTTTATAACCTGGTATCGCATTCAGTAATATAGCTTCTGTACGTTCACCTTAGAATAATAACGCATAGAAACCTAGCCCGCACACGCTAAGTGAGGCAAGTTAGAGGGTTCCAAACGCGTCCCAGGAGCGCGCGGGCTGTTAGTGCTCAAGGTCATATTGCACCGCGAACAGCTCCAACATTTTTTGCTAAAAATGACGAAATGTGCGGTAAATGGGTGTAAAAATACAACAGACAAACAAAATAGACACTAACATCGCATTCCACAAGTAAGTAATGCGTTTCAACTCATATTTTTATGTAAATATTCACTAAAACAGAAAAATAATTTCGCGGCAACAAGATACGAAAGTGTTGCAAAGTAACGAATTCTTTTTCTCCCCATTTTGCTATTCTGTTTCAAAATAATTATATTACGTAAATTTTAGTGGTGCCTGTAATTTCGATTTATTTGCGCATCTTGAACTAATATTTACTTGAATAAATATTAAATGTTTTCGTTAACTCCTGTAAGTGATTGGGACACTTAATTATTTTATAATACTTTTAACGGCTCTGCGTTCATGCTTTATTGAATAATTATTTATTTAAATTTTATTTGAATTGGAGCACCTATTGCAATAAATTTACAGTATATATTTGTTTCTACTATAGTGTTGGCACCACCAGTACAACTTTGATAGCTTATTATATGTCTTTCTTTTCGTAACTCAAGCGAAATATTTTATATTGAAATATTTTATTTTCTTAAAAGGGGAGCATTCTTAAGCGATTTTTTAATCTATTTTAACAGTTATTTTCTTTAATGTTTGCTTATAGCATTTTCGGTTTTAGGTTTCGAATATGGCACTTACTTCTAAATCCAAGATGACGGGCGCGATTTTTCGAATAATGGCAAGTTGGGTATCGTTTTCGAGATGTTTGGGAATGTTCAATACAAATATGGCACTCATTTCTAAATCCAAGATGGCAAACACGACAGTTCAAACAAAAGCAATATTCGTAATGAGCACCCCCAAATACCTCGAAAACGATACCCAACTTGCCATTATTTGAAAAATCGTGCCCGCCATCTTGGATTTACAAATAGTGCCATATTCACATTGAGCATCCCCAAATACCTCGAAAATCATACCCACATAGCATTTTTTTGAAAAAATCGTGCCCGCCATCTTGGATTTAGAAATGAGTGCCATATTCGTCATGAGCACCCCCAAGTACCTCGAAAATGATACCCATATTGCATTTATTTGAAAACTCGTGTCCGCCATCTTGGATTTAGAAATGAGTGCCATATTCGTAATGAGCACCCCCAAATACCTCGAAAAGGATACCCATATAGCATATTTTGAAAACTCGTGTCCGCCATCTTGGATTTAGAAATGAGTGCCATATTCGTAATGAGCATCCCCAAATACCTCGAAAAGGATACCCATATAGCACATTTTGAAAAATCGTGTCCGCCATCTTGGATTTACAAATAAGTGCTATATTCGTTTTTCATCGACAAAATCGAGCACATCTGTAGGCACCTGAGCGACAATGTCGGGCAAATCTGTAGGCACCTTTAACTTAATGATGAGTTAAGCAAGATACAATTTCCCCACTTTTGAGGGAAATGTTATTCCATGGCATCATTATTTGTATATTTGTGTGCGTGCCGACGAGCGTAGTTACAAGTTGCTTACGCCTACATGAATTTGGTTTTTGCCTCACTTGTGACAGTTCGTTTGATATGAAACTATCCTTCTATGCGTTATTATTCTAAGACGTTCACCATAAGGCCCATGCGACAATACAAATGGCGCCCTATTTTTATTATTATTGTCAGTCAGCCACTGATTTCCGTTCCATGATGACCATGGAGATGACCCTAAGAGGTGACCCGTGCACAGCAGTGGGTCGTATAAATGGGTTGATGGTGTCATCAGTCAGCCACTGATTTCCATTCCATGGTCATCATAGTCATTAAAATATAAATAAAAAAATTCCACCACTCAAAAACATTGGAAAATTGATGCAAAACATATCTAAAATCGGGCAGTGTGGCTTAGATGTAGCCTGTCCCGAAAGACGAAAAATTTTACTTTTAGTAATGCAAAAACTGGAGGCATTTGAAATGTGGTGCTGGAGACGTATGGAGAGGATAAGCTGGACCGAGAGAGTGACTAATGAGGACGTTCTGGAGAGGATTGGGGAACGGAGAGACCTGACGGAGACGATAGAGAATAGGAGGGGAATAATGTTTGGACATTTGTTGCGCAACGACGAACTATTGACGGTTGTTGTTGAGGGAAAGATGGAAGGAAGGAGACAGAGAGGAAGACCGAGAATGGCATTCTGTGACCAAATAAAAAGAAAGGTTAATGTGAGCAGTTACAGGGAGGTCAAGGAGTTGGCTCTGGACCGTGAGGAGTGGAGGAGGCTACACCGACAAGAGCATGGCTCTTAAATAAAATAAAATGAATGAATGCAAAAACCAGAAACGAATTACATTACATATATCAGGAATTCTTTTTTTCTGTAAAGTAAATTTTCTATATTCAAATTTTTGTTCATGACCCAACACAGTATAGTATTGGTCATCCTTTTCCACACTTTTCTTTATGCCTGTTCACAAGAGAGCAATGTATGATTAATTATTCCAACCTCCCACTCACCTCAATCTCACGTCATCAACAAAGTCCATCATGATAGTCAAGATACTTTGAGGAACTTATCGGTTTACACCTAATTAAAAGGAAGGAAGGTCGGAAGGTCTTTTTCAACAACCCTGTATGTCTATACCTAAGATTCCATCAAACCAAATAGTATTTAACAAAAATGTGAATAAACTCGCCTGCTCTTTTAAGAATTCCATGTTTAGCAATGTGATAGATATAGTTTCATTATGACATCAAACAACTTATATTGCAGGCTACCCACACAGTGAAAAGCTTAAACCACTGCAGATCGGTGATAATAGCAAAGAACGGAGAGAGAGGCTTCAACAAAGACTGTACTGGCAAGAACGCACAACACATTGTAATACCCGTGCCTTTAGGTGAGCTATATACATAGAATTGCTTGGGAGGACTATATAGCCTTTATGTGCATCCTGAAATTCTTATAAAAGGTGCTTGTGATATGCACGAGAAGCGGTAGGGACAACTTTGAGAAACTATGCTAAGGAGTATACAAATAGTAAGTTAATGTGCGACAAGCTGATTTATTGCTACGTACCAATATATCTTAAAAGTGTGAATGAGTCTGGTTTTCTACTCTTAATGTTAGTTTGAAGCCAAAATGAAGCTAGAAAAAAAAGCATAACTTTTGTTTATTTATTTATTTTATCTTAGAGGACACAAACAGCTTATACTACAACATAATAGAAATTAAAATACATAACATAACAATGGCAAGCAAACAGTTGTCTGCTGAAAAAAGTTGAGTTGTATAAAATATATGTTGATAACACAGTTTATACTGAAAATATAGCACAATGAATTATATTTAGACAACATCAGAACTATTTGCTATATTATGGAAGGTATGGTCCATAGACATATCAATGTTTGTGGTATGGTCTCTACTAAACTAAATGTAAGTTTATAATCAAGATAGTAGTGTTCAAAAACATTGTTTGTTAGCTGAAGATTCAAAATCCAGTGAATATAATCACAGGCACCATAGTGAAGGACGACGCTGGCCGCGTGGTGGGCGACCTCAGCGCGGAAGGAATCATGTTTGTGGCGGCGAGAGGCGGCGCCGGGGGGAGGGGAAATAAGTTCTTCCTTACTGACACTGAGCAGGTGCGTTTATGGCCCTACGTTACAGCACTAGGACTTTCCCTTTGAATTTATTAGCTTTATTAGTTAAATAATATTATATACGTGGCTCTGTTCCCAAGTAACTAAAGCATTTGTCTTATTGAAATCTGAAACAACGACGGGATCACAAACACCCAGACCCAAGACAATATAGAAAAGTTAGTTTTCTACATTGATCTGGCTGGAGATCGAACCTGGGACACAGATCAGCGATAGCATGAACCCGAGTGCAAGCCACTCGACGACCACTGAGGGTTGAAATAATATTAATTATATCACAAAAAAAGTGACTTAAAGTGATAGCTTAATGGTTTGACCCACCGCCTCTCTAGCAGAGGCCATGGATTCGAATCCAGGTTCGCATCTCTGAGTTTTTCGGAATTTATGTGCTACATTTAATTTGAAATTTACTATTATATTTTCAATGAAGGAAAATATCATGATGAAATCTGCACATTGAAGAAGGTTCACAACCTTCAGAAACCGTGTGAAGTCCACAACACGACTGGCCTGAACGCCGCCTGAGAGGAGACCAGTGCCCAGCAGTGGGACGTGTAAGTGGGCTGATGTTGATTGATGTTTACAACCTGTGGGTACAACTGAAATAATGACCCTACACTCTTGCACTATTTGTCTTATTACTGACTTCTCCCTTCGACTGTCAGATCATGCTGTTCTTATTTGGGAACGTGCCTACAGGTCCGTTACCTATCTGGAAAGTAGGTACTATACGTGCACCCGGGGCTGCTCACCCGAGGCACTTGCCTCTTTAGAACTGGATAAAGTCTGTGATAACAATCTGTGACAACCCTGTACGCTGGCTGATCTGGGGTCAGAACCTGAACTTAGAAGGTTCCTGTGCATGCATAGGCTATAGTGCCCTTCTCGTATAGCTTAAGGATCGGCAGAGAGGGTCACTATAATAAAAAACCAATGTAGAAAAATATTGGGCTGTTCTTATCCGTCTCGAGTGTAACCAACGAGTCGGTTCTTGCAGGCGCCCGACGTAGCCGAGCTGGGCGCGATTGGCGAGACCCGCACGTACTCGCTGGAGGTCCGCTCCATGGCGCACGTGGGCCTGCTGGGCTTCCCCAACGCGGGGAAGAGCACCCTCCTCCGGGCTTTGACCAGGGCCCGACCCACCGTGGCCCCTTACCCGTTCACTACGCTCCGACCTCACGTTGGTGAGTCGACTCTGTTCTGGGAAGTTAATACCAACCATTCGCATGAGTCGCTTCGGTGCATCCATCTGCGCCGTGTTTCCCGAAATCTACAATTTGGGCCTTTTTTATGAAATCTAGTGACGAAGAAGTGCACCTGTCCTTGACACACATAGTTGAAGTGCATTAAATGCCACTGCACCTGTCACCTTGACACATAAGTTGACAAGTTCCACGTGCCTGTAATTTCACTTGTACTCTTACACTTTCAAACCGGTATGCAGTAATATTCGCTTTACTGCATGGCGGCAGAAATAGGTAAGGCGGTAGTACTTCCCTAGACGAACTCTTTCACAAGGAGCTCTCCTACTAAAACTTTTCAAGGTTAGAGTGAATAGGCATTTTTAAGACAATTGCTGGCCAAGCGTGTGTCTATTTATGTAAAATAAAATCTAGATATTTCGAAAAGGCTTTGCGATTGTTAGACATTTTCGTTATTAAACTTCATGTACTTTTCTAAACGAAACACGCCGTTGTATGACACATGTTCCGCTACTAAGCAATGGTCTCTAACATTTTTTTTACATGTGAGCGGTGAGCGTAACATTTAATATTAAATCATAAATGTTTTTAATTTTTTTAGGAATGATTCCCTACGATGACTACGAGCAAGTAGCTCTAGCAGATTTACCAGGTTTGATTCCTGGCTCACACAAAAATTACGGCCTAGGTAAGATTATTTTTATAATACATGTTGCAAGTAATTAATAACGGCAAATGTGGCTGAGGCTGATTTATTGGAGAATTCTGTCTGTGCAGAACCTGTCTAAGTATGCCACCCGCCTAACCTCTTTAGGCTTTGCCCAATAACCGGCAACATACCCAGTAGTGGAGCAGATAATAATAATGATAATGAAATATCACTTCATCAGGTGGACACATTCTGACTGTTCTAACATCATAACTCATACCTGCCTCTGGGGCCGAACGGTTCGGATTCGATTCCCGGGTCAGGAGAAATATTTGTATCGACTACAAAGTCAAAGTCAGATTGTTTATTCCATAGGTAAAATTTACACTTGAAAACGTCACATTTAAGCTACTGCTCGTTCACTACGCTGACCTCCCTGAGAAGAACGAGCAAGAAACTCTAGGGATTGCTTTTTTCAAATAAACTTAAATGCTATGGAATACACTTTGAATCAAATTTGTGTGGATTCTGGAGCCACGTCGTCTACTACATTTATATCACTCGTAAGTTTGGGTGTTATTTGTGTTTGTCTATATGTGTCCATGGCACCCGCGACACAGGGATTCCCTAGTGCGGGGCTATATGAGTGTGCACGCATTATTATTATAAAAACTATTTTTTTTCAGGCATTCAATTCCTCCAACACGTGGAGCGCTGTCGCGGTCTCATCTACCTCCTGGATGGAACGAACGACCCCTTACATCAATACGAAAACCTGGCATACGAAATATCACAATATAACACTAATTTGGCGCACAGACCGAGCTGTATTGTTGTAAATAAAATCGATTTGGTCGAAGGGAAGCGGGGGTTGGAGGACTTTAAACGGGGAATTGGGGAAATTAATGAGGGGGTACGTGAAATAAACAAAAGGATTGAAGGAGTTGGTGAAATAAATGAAGACTTAAAAGATGCGAACACGAAGCAATTAGAAATGAACAGGAGGGTTCAGGAAACGAGTGAGGGGCTTGGGCAAATAGTGTTAGGGGTTTCGGCGAAAACTGGTCTGAATTTAGGTGCGTTGTTGAAAGTGATCAGACAAATATATGACAGAGGCGATTGTTCGTGAGTTTTACTTTAATGTATAGCACGAATATTAAACCGAAGAATAATTAATAGCGCCTGCGCCATTATTTAATATTAAATCTATATAAATTGTACTAAAAAACATCCTGCATTTTTACATTCTGGCAAAACTTTAATTAAATTGCAGAAAACTCGTTAAGTGTTCAGACTACATAATGCTGTTATATTTTACAAGCTTTTATTTTTTATCCATTTCCATTTCTTATAACTTATTAGAATTACTATTGACTACTGTTTTAATTTTGTAATATAACACGGATTAAAAAATATATACTTTATTTTATAAAGTTCTAGTGTGCGTGGCTGTTGGCGCAGGCGTCATTGCCTCGGTCTTAAATGACAATTTTATTTTATGCACTAGAGCATAAAATCCTATTTTATGTGGCCTACACCCAGCATACACACGAACTTTAAGAGCATGAGGAGTGAAAAAGCTGTAGTCGAGTTAGAAATTAAAAAAACAAAGTCTATCTGAAACTCCGTTATAAACTCCCTTTTCTTTTTACTTTACACGCCAGAAGCATACCGCTTTCAACCACTTTGTTTTACATCTATCAAACACTTTATGTCGGAGGTACGCTTTTATGTCATTATCGAAAACTCAATGCTAAATCCATAAACTGCCTTCACGAGGTATGTCCTGGCCTCTCCTGGTTCACCCAACCGACATTATAACAAATTGTTTGTCATACAAAATTGAAATAGTATGAAACTTGACGTACGAATACATTTTATAATCTCACTGTCACCTGTATATCAGTAAATTAATGCAATGTTTATTGTAAATATTTAGTAATAAGTAAATAAAACACTGTTATAAATTATTCTAAATTTATTACTTACATCATTATTTCATTGCTATATTATTTTACAATTCAAACATAACCCTATATAAATTCCATTATTGATTCTTTTGCGTCAAATTGTAATGAAGTGGTTTTTTAACTTAATAACTTCCCGTAATACTGACTTGAATCATAAAAAAAAAATATGTTTAAAAAAATTAGGTAAGATGGTATTTTTTCAGAAGTCTAGTATATTATTCGGAAGTACGGTGTTTTCCCGTAGAATTGTATTTTGAACAAGTTTTTGATTGTAAACAAAATTACTGAATGTCAGGGTGTTTCACTAACGTGATATTAATTTTTTTAATGAAACCACTGCACTAGTTTGTTGGGGTAACAAATGGGCGACGGGTTTAATACAAAAATCATAAAAAAAATGTCCAAGAGTAACTTACATAATTGAGTCGTTAACCTATATAAACGTAGTGACGTAAAGGAATATAAAAAAAAGTTTAGTTTCAATAGTAACGTCATTGCAGTACTGCTTAATTGTGCTATTATACTCCGTCCAACCATTTATTTAACTTTTGACAGCTCGAATTCGAATCACTTAGTGATGTCCTAATGCGTTTCCGATTCGATTTTTTTATAACAATCGATTTTATTTATGAAGAAGTTTTAATCGTGACTGAGCAGGTTTCAAAAAGAAGATATTATCTGATTGGATTCTTTATGTTGCGTTTGATAATTTGTATACTCAAGAATTAGTAATTAATATTAATGAGGATTCAAGTGATGATTCCTGTTCGTATGGACAAGAATCCGACGATTCATTATAATAAACAATAAGAATTTATAAGACAGGTACCAAAATTAATCAACTTGAATAATCTTCGTTACACAATCTGTTGGCACGACAAATATCGGAGCTAAAGAGCACGTCGCTTCACTAAAATAATAATATAAGAGTCCAGGAAGTATTGCATTATTTTGTCTACGGTTGTATGTCAATAATTACGGAACTTCGGATGCATCTGTCAAAAGTTAAATGAATGGTTGGACGGAGTTTAGTGCTCTTTTTGCGATTTGATGCCCTTTTGGTTGGGACACTTAATCGCGGACCTGACGTCCATAGGTCAATGGATGCCGTCACCTATCATCGAGCAGAAATACGTTTTCATAGTACAATCAACAGCATACACAACTTTACACGCACCGTTTAAATTCAACCTTAGAAGAAGGGTCCAAAGTGTTAAGCTGAGTGTGCTGCTGACTGTGGACTGTGCTCATGGCTGATGGGGCTGCGGCATCGGCATGTGTTGCGGCATTATCGCATTACTAGGCAAGTCTAGCTTTTTAGCTTTTTTAGTCTTCTTCGGTTGCACCTTCATCTGCAATGGAAGATTAAACAATTAAACTAGAAATAGGAAAACAGGAAAATGACTTATGATAATTATTACTTTTTTATTATTACGAATACAAACATCGAACATGAGTGAGAAGGTGTCACTAGCAGCGCGAAAGCCGAAAAGTCAGTACAAAGTCTATAACAAAAAAAAAACAGGAGAGAATTTCGACGACTCGGTAACTGCATCCGTGGCACAGATGGTTAGAGCAATGATACGGTGCAACATGGATGTGGGTTCAAGTGACACCGGGCCGGCGAAATTTTTCTGTGTTCCTTCTTTGTAGTCATAATCGAAACTAGTGGAGTTGTTTCACTAAATAAATCTCAATAAATATATTACTTTTTTTTCAAAAAAACGGACTTCAAAAGTTTGCTTATCAGCTTTTTTATTGGAATTACATCTATAACCAGCCCGTTGCACCAAGTACCAAGTACATCTATTTGCCAGGTTTTTTCCATTCGTTAACAAAAAGTGCGCGAAACCTGATTCATCTCCTACTTTGTCACCCTTAGATGTGGAATATTTACTTAAAAATATCCTGCCGGAGTAATCGCATAACATACACACAAAAAAAATACAAGTCTAATTGAGAACCTCCTCTTTAATCTAAGGTCCATTTATATCCCAAATTAAATTTCCCTGTTTCCCTATTTTTAACAGACTTCAAAAAAAGGAGGAGGTTCTCAATAGGACTATTTTTATCTGTACGTATGTCGATAACTTCGGCTTTTGTTAGAAGGAGGGTTCCTCAATACTGGTCCCTTTTAAATTTGAAGACAATATTCCATCTCATCTAAGGGTGGCAAACTAGGGGATTAATCCGGTTTTGCACGTTATCCGGAAACAGATTTCAATAAACTCCGTTTTTTAGAAGTAGTATTATAGTTTAATTTGAAATTAAAGCAAAAGTAAAGACAGAACTCGTGCTGAAGGATTTTATAGTTAACAACACACTTGTAGTACACGGCCTGTGTAATCAGATGAACATGGACTATACCTAAACTATGTACAGCCTTGGCCCCAAGGTATTTTTGCCCTAGCAAACAACAATTGGATTAGGCGCTACGTAAGATAAAGTCTAAAATAAAATAACACATATTACATAAATATTTTCCGAGTCCGCCATTATTTGAAATCAGCGCAGCAGAAATACTGAAACGTGTAATTAAAGAAAATAAAATTAGGAAATAGAAAAAGGTGAGTCACAAATGGAAATAGGAAAACAGGAAATTGAAATGGGTAAAGTTAAAAAGGTAAATTTAAGGTTAAGGTTTAATAGTAAAACGGAGACAACAGTACCTTGTAGTGTACTTCTCGAACGTGTCGATACAGACTCGAGTACCAGCCGAAAGCCGCAGAGCAATGCGCGCAGCGGTAGGGCGTGTCCTGCGTGTGCATCGCCACGATGTGGTACTTCAGCTTGGCCGCGTTCTGTGGACAAGTCGGCGTTAACTTGTCATCCATTCAACCACGTGCCGACGTTCCAACGTGCGGAGGAAGGATGCAGCTGTACTTTGGGTCGGTGAACGCTGGATCTTCTTTTAGTAGTTTTGGATTTTGGAACATACATAATTTTCCTTGTAAAATAGTTTTCGCGATTGTTACACATTGAAACGGACACTACTTTTAGGATCTCAATAGCGTGTATTTATTTGCTTTTTCAAATAAACCAACGTTCTAAAAAAGAAGCGACCATATTACAGCAGGGCCCAGGTTCAGTCAGTTCTTTCGGTTCCTATAAAAAATCTATCACGATAAACAGAAAATTGAAAATTTATTGAAATAAAATAAAATATGTACCTGATGGTAAGCGACCCGCCTGTCCATAACAGTTGCAGTGCCATTCAGAGCTTTAAATCGCAAAGATCTCAGGGCCACTGCCACTGCGCTCGTCACCCTAAGACAAGCTGTCAAGTGCCAGGTGCCAATTTCACCAGCTTTACCCTTCAAAACCAGAACGCAGTAATGCTCACATTACAGCTTGGCGGCAGCAATAGGTAAGCAGTACTTCATTTGGCGAACTCTTTCAAAGGCAGCTCTACTGCTACTAACTTAACGATGATATAACGAAATACCACCATGGATAATATTACAGGTGTTTAATCAAATTTTTATTGAATTGATATTCAATTATTTTTTGTGAAATTACTCCACTAGTTTGTTATAATTATTAATACAAAGATCGAACAGTCAGAAAAAATTCCTTCGATCCGATGAACGATGAATATCAATTCAAAAAAAATTTGATTAATACAGTGAATAGCGACATCTCTCGCCAGGACTGGTAGCTGTAAAGGTACTAACTGGGTGATAAATCTGTAATAGATTTCTCATAGATGGCGCTACGGCTAAAAAGTCGTTGAAAGACCAAATACAAAGACACGACGCAAGCACATAGAAAAATTCGTGAGGTCCGTTGGTTCGTTCCGTGGCTTAGTTGGTATAGCGTCTGGCACGGTATGCAAGAAGACGTCGGTTCGAATCCGACCGGATCGAAGGAATTTTTTCTGAGTGTTCGATCTTTGTATTAATAATTATTACAGGTGTTACTATAATTTTTGAACTCAAAAGTAGCACAATTAGGCATTTTTTACGATTTTCGAGGTATTGCGGAATTGACGGACTGAGGTTCCGTGAGCTCATGTGCGCGGAACTCCGCATACTATTGGCCCACGTGTCACACCCACTGAGCACATAAATAAATGTCAATTAGAATTCAACCGACCTGGTAAGACTTCCCGCAAACGTGGCAGAGGTTGTCCTTCTTCTCCTTGTTGCGGTGCACGTTCTGCAGGTGCACGTACAGAGACGTGTGGCATTTGAACGGCTGAAATTCATTAAAGGCTATTTTGTTATTTTTGACAACCCAACGGTTTGCACGGGTTCAGGAGATCCTGGGTACGATTCCCGGTAGAACGAATTTTGGAAATTATCTTAACATCTGGATATTTTGCATAAGTCCACAGAGAGAATTCTGTTTTTCTGGTACTCATCGTACAGGGAAATACCTAGTTTGAGGTTAGGTAAAGGGTGTCTGTCTGGCACATTCTTGTTACTGTAAGTGCCACAGCTATGCACGGTGCTGCTCTAAGGAGAGGGGTGTTAATCCGCTCCGTGGTTCGACAACATGAAATGTTTTAACTTATTAACTATATTATTTTAAAATACAGACGTTAATCACAGACATATTGATTCGAGTGTTCCGAAAGACGGCAGTTACCTTCTCTGACAGATATTTTAGAGATTGTGTAGCTTTAACACTGGCATATTGATCTAAGTCATATGAAAACTTGGATCAGTACGAATGTTTGTTTCTATGTGGTGGAAATATGAGACACCCGTCTCAGCAAGTCTTTAACTATCATGGCTACTGGAAAATTATCCATTAATTATTCAAGATCTTTTTGGTTTTAACGGCTTTTTTGCCGAAGCGCCACCTACGAGTAACTCATGAAAGATTTTTACACAGTAATGCTGACATTAGTGCTTGGCGGCAGAAATAGGTAAGATGGCAGTACTACCCTGAACGGACCCTTTCCCAAGGAGTTCTACTGGTAGCAGTAGTTACAAATGTAATAGTAGTATAATATTTGTATTACGTTAACCTGTCGCCTGCTGGCCGTACCTTGTTACACAGCTGACACCTGAATTTGATGTTGTTGAGGTGCTCCCAGTCGATGTGGTCGCGGAGGCGGGTCTTGTTCACGAACTTCTTGCCGCACTCGTTGCACATGAAACTTTAGAAAGGAAATATTAAGCTGTAGTACGTAGACAAGATTGACGTACGAGCTCGCTCAGAACGTTGTTGAAATTTGAAAGTACCCGTAATAAAGGTGACGACACAACATTCAATAATTCCTTTATTATACATATAACCCCTACTGTTGTATCTAATTATATACAATAATTCTTAGCCTATGTACTGTGCCACAGCTAGGCACATGCCTTCTTTCGCAATGGGAGAAATGGGGAAAATTTAATTTACATTAAGAATGGTAAATTTGTTATAATTATTAATACAAAGATCGAAAACTCAGATAAAAATCCTTAGATCCGGCCGGATTCGAACCGACGATTACTAGCAAACCGAGGCAGACTTTAAGTCAACTAAGCTTAGCTTGCTAGAAGACTACAATCAAGACAAATTTAATAGTTAACTTAAACTTTTTATGAAAAATAGTTATCACTATTTATATTTATAGCTGTTCTCAACAGTCGTCTTTACGAAGTCACGAATTTATTAAAGAGGAAGTATATACGCTTCTATAATAAGATCTCGGTAGATATTCAAACTTTGCCGTTTAACCTTTGCCTTTAAAGGTTTATTATACAGCTTCTGCGTACTTGGATGACAATAGTCTTGGTTTATGATAGTTGAAATCAATATTGTAAAAATGTGTACAAATGTTTATTTATGAAAAGCAACCCGTAGAGTTCCGAGCTTATTCTTCTGAGGGGACTTCCTTAATGCCAAATGAAGAAATGGATTACCTGAATTCGCTCTCCGAGACGTGCCTCCTGGAGATTCGCAGGTGCTGCCTGTACGTGGCCACAGACGCGAACCGCTTGTCGCACTGCTCGCAGTACAGCTCGCCGCTGTCCAGGGCCTGCCCAGCCGTTGGGTGTTACTTAATATAATTTGGCATGAAGGAGATTAACATTCCTAGAGATATAGATTTCGTCACATGCTTTCTTTCACCGTTAGCGCGAGGTGTTGTTGTATACACAGAATAATAAATACAATTGAAATGCTTAGTGAGCGTCTCGCGTGTGGCGACAGCACGCGAAGTGGCACATACTTGAGCTGAGTCCGCCATTTTCGCTTTGTACGCTAAGGCCGTGTCAAAACCTACAAAATCGTAGAAAAATGCCTTATTTTGGCACTTTAGAGTGCAAAAATGATAATCGCACTTGTAATTCTTTTCTGTTTATTGTAACAATTTTATTTGTTATAAGAAACGAAATTAAACCTCGTATTGCTGCAATATGGTCGCTTCTGTTTTGGAGAACTTAGTAAACTTTTCGACTTCGTTGTCGTTCAGCGATTTACCGCGAGATGGCAGCACATTGATTGAAATTTCTATATAAAATCAAAACGTTCACAACTTGCATAGCTATTCAGCTTTCATTGATATGCCAACAGGGTAAAGTGAACTTATATTAACAATCCAGAATTTGTTATCTCTTTTAAATTTGAAACTGCGACTGATCATTATCAAGATTAATTAGTGTTTGAAATTATGGATGTGTAAGTTTTGACGACAGCAGTTCTGATTGTAATCGAGGCTTAAGGTACTTCCATTGTTTTTTTCTTCCTTATATATATAAGTAACTTGGAAATCAAGTTAAAGTTATACATTTTATAGAAAGTGGCATAGTTAAATTTAAATTTTAAAAGTCAATTGCGACCTGGCCTGTCCACAATTTACAAGTCAGCTTCTAAAGAGAAACAGAAGGGCGGTCTGACCTTGTGGCTCCTCATGTGACGTCCCAGGTTGGACTTCCACTGGTACACCTTCCCGCACCGAGGACACGGGTACCGGTTCTGGCCCTTGTGCAGCACACTGCATACAAACAACGGTTATAGTTACTAACAGCAACACCAACACGCCATTTTTTGTTTATGGATTTCAAACGCAAGTTGTATAATATTGTTAAGATGGATTCAATATTAAGGCAAATCGAACCGTCTAGATCATAGACATAATTTAAACAAAAACCTCGTCTTATCAATTTGTTGTAGCCAGTCAGTAAATAGGTATTGATAAATAATTGTTCATTTCAATGAAGCAAGCTCTTATCCGCAGTGTCTATGGAACTACTAAGCAGATGAGACATTTAGTCATCATCAGCTTTTATATAGTCTGTTCCAATCCATTGTACCAAAAAAATTAAACAAACAGATCACTGACCAACAATACTGCCAACTACAAATCGATTAATTAATTGAATAAAACTACTGCATATGTGCGGTGTGTCATTTTTACTTGACATTGGCGAAATCATCGCTTGTGTCGATGGAGCCTTAGAAAGAAGAAGAGAATCGATTTTTTAATTGAATCGGTTGGAATAACTGGGTTGTACGAATTTTTATTTAAAAATATATTTTTGCTAAAGTATCCATCATCACCAGTTCAAGTGTGGTGGGAAGTTTTAGTGACATTTGTGTTGTTTATTGTAACATACTTGAGATGGTATCGATAGGTCTTCTTTGAGCTGAAGATCTTGCCGCACTCCCCACACTGCGGTTTCTCATCCAGCACCTCCTTGTTCTTTGCGGGCGGCGGAGGCACCTTACCAACACAACAAATTGCATTCACTTTTAAACTCTCTGGGAATCCTTTCTAATTGTTTAAAAAAAACTTTGAGAAACTCTACCAGATTTGGAGTTGGAAATTCTCCAACCAGGGAAGACTGGGAAACTAAGTCTCACTTGGAAGGATGGTAGCCTTCCATTGGTATATCGATAGATCTAAGATGGGATTCAACGTAGGCTGTGGTATATACGGAGCGAGACGCAGGCTCAGCTATAAACTGAACTTGGGACGACACTCCTCTATCTCACAGGCAGAAATGTACTCTACAATTGCTTGTGCACATTTTAACCTGAAGAGTGGCTACATTAACAAGTATGTTTACATAAACTCAGATAGTCAAGTCGCTCTACATGCACTAACCTCAGTCACCCAAACATCGAGGATTATAGAGAACTGTGTGACTATACCGAATGCTCTCAGAGAAAGGAATAAAGTGGTCCAGTGCTGGGTACCAGGCCACTCTGATGATGCAGCAGATGAACTTGCGAAGGCTGGTGCTAGGGTTTATTGCACCCGAACCCTTTATAGGAATAACATACTGAGCAAGGGACTCGCAAGCATTCAAGAGTCCTGACATCTGCCTACAGTGCCAAACACTGTAGAGAGGCTCTGTCATTGGGCAGGAATGGCCTCAAAATGCTCGCTAGTCTTAACAGGACATTCTGTTAAGAAGAGAGAGCATAGATTCTGCCATGAGCCGGATGAAACTCTTGTTCATCTTATCACCCAATGCTGCTTGTTGCCTGATGGGCGTACGAAGCTCCATATTGGGAAGGCACATGCCACAACAAGAGGACATAAAATCTGTCAAGAGCCAGGAAAGTCCTTCAGTTCTTCAATGCTGTCGAATAGTGGTGATCATAATAGATCAGTTGATGGTCACAATGACGAGGAGCTGCATATGCCCCGAATGAAGCCACCCTAATAATAATAATAATAATAATAAATTCATTAGTCAGTACGTATTTCGATAGATAAATAACCTTGTAAGTTGGGAGAAAATAAATAAATAATTATTGGTATGAAAACCAACTCACCTTAGCATGTTGTGCCATAACATGGGTTTCTAAATCACTCTTAACACTAAATCTACTATCACACTTTGCACATTTAAAATTTTTCTTGTCACCAATATCTGATTTTTCTGTTTCTTTGGAACTTTCAGTCTGTACTTTAACTTCAGATCGGTTTTTTACAGCTTTAGAAAGGCTTCTCAAAGTTTTAGACTGATTTTTCAAATTTGCACTTCGGTTATTCAGATTTTTGGAGGGTTTTATAAATTCTACATCAGTCACATCAATTTCAAACTTAATTTCATCTGCAGTATCGGGAGTTTTTACCTTTTCGTTAATGTCGTATTCTAAAGCTAAGTTATTATCGGAATAGTTATTGTCTGAATCGTCGGAGAGTGATTTTTTCGATTTCTTTTTGAGTTTCACTGTGCTCTTAGTTTTGGGTTTCTTTATCTTTCCTTTTGGAGCCTGTAGAATGGAAACAAATGTTTTATTTGCAATTTTTGATGTCCAGACTGAAAAACAATTCAGACACTGAGGACAACAAGCCCTAAAAACTAAATGTCCATTTCAAGGTCCTGCATTATTTCACTCGAGTCTGCTGTCACGTTTTGGATGGATGGGAAAAGCAAAGGCTGGCTCAGTTCATGTTTGTGATGCAGCATTGAGGCAGGGCATGATCTTTGTGACTAAGGAGATTTTGTATGTTTGTCACCGTTTTAGAAGGATGGTAGTGTAATGGTTGGTTAGCCTAATAAGTAAGTGCAACATGTTTACCTTATTCTTAATTTCCCGTTTCTTTCTCCGTAGAACACTAATCTCCTTGACAAAGGTCTCTGGTTCACAATGTTCCTCTACCTTCACCGAGTCTACATCTGTAGCTAGGTCGAGGTGCAGGTGTTGCCCTAAAGGTTGTTCCAGGTTTTGGCCCAGCTGTTCATCCAGATGTTCATCAAGCTCGTGCTTGATATACTGTGGGCAACTGAAAGGGTCCAGGTGGCAAGTGACCAAGTGTGGGGGGTTGGGGACTGGAGTTGTGTTCTGAAATTGTATTCATTGGTTAATTGAAAGCAATGCACAAGTGCAATAGCCTTTTTAAACAGCTCTACAGAATGTTAAGCCGCTACAATGTAGGTTGTTATTTCCTGGACCTTTTCCTAAAAGTAGACTTAAGTAAAGCACTACTTATGCTTCAGATGCATTGTTTCAATGTTTACTTGCATTTGCAGCATCTTTTCAATATTTGGTAGACAAAAAGTAGTTAATTATTTTTAATAAATTATATCTCTATTTGATAATACAACTGACCTGCTGTACATGCTGCAGCAGCACATGGTAACAGTGTTGAGCATGGAGCTTGAACCTTTGGAAGCGGCGCAGCAGGGCATGGCATTCCCAGCAGATTCTGACGCAAAATTGGGACACATCGTAGACCTGCATGTTACCCACAAAACAGTGTTTAAAAAAATATATTATAATTTTGCTGCTAATTTTATGAAGTACGCCTTTTGTCACATTCTCGTTCATCAAAGACGCAATAAGGGTACACTGGTTAATCCTACCAAATTAGTCTCGAAATAAAGCACTCTGACAAACCATTTCAAAACAAAGGAGGACCCCCTGTGACCGGGGAGTTACGGAAACCCTCTTCCTGAGATATATGACAAAGCAAATTTAACCTCAAAACTAAGCAAAAACACAATATTGTAATTGATTCTCTCCATGGGGGTGAGGGGCCCTCCTTCCTGAGCGTCCCCTGTGAGTGAGGTGTTACAGAACCCGCCCTTCCTGAGTTATATGACAAACCAAATCTAACCTTGAAACTGAGCAAAATTTCAAAATTGTAATTGATTTCAATATAATTTTAATCTTGGATTTAACATAATTTCGGAAACACAAACAATTTCACTTCTGGCACTTGCCGGCCGCTGCCGCGACACGCCCTGCTCGTGCTGCTTTTTCATATACTAACATTTACATTTTTTGCATTATTTATAAAATTTTGCAACAACTAAATGCCGTGCTTTCCTAATCTATAAAACCTGTACGCAGTAATGCTTACATTACTCCTTGACGGCATGGGCACGGTAATATAAGTACGGTAGTATTTTCCTGGACAAACTCTTACGCAAGGAGGTCTATTGCTACGAGTGTAAAGAGAGAAAAGAGAGAATGTATTCACCTGCGAGGTCACTGATATAATCATGTATCTATACTTCATTACAATCCATTTTGAACTAAAAGTAAACAAACAAGTCACTGACCCGACCACAGACGGTTTAGTGATGGCCAATTGTAACGCCAACTACAAATCAATTAATTAATTGAATGAATCAATTTGTTCAATTAAGTCATACTAGCGGTTTTCCTTACATAACCTACATTTAAAATTTCAATTTAAATCCTCCTTCATTGCAATTGAAATGTTTGATTTAATAATTGATTACTCAACTTTAATTTATTGCATTGAATGTTTTTTTCCAACAGCACTATGCAACTATGGACAAGTATAGATGAATAATAACCTCACTTTTGGACTACTATTTTTCAAATACGATTTTACGATGCTATTCAAATGAATATTGTTGGAAAAAGTGATGATGCATCAAGTCGAAATCTTCGAAATATACGTGAAACTGTTACTTATTCGATTTATTGAGTGATTGCTTTAGAATTTTAACCAAACACGTTTATTTACTTTTTGTTCAAAATGGACTGGAACAGACTATACTAAAACACGTACGATCACATTTGTCATAGTCATTATATCTTCAAGATTTGCAACAAATTGTGCACGAATACATTAGACACAGCGACGTCGACTTTAGAAACAAGAATATGCTATTACTTACGGAGGCTTCATTCAAAATTTGAGTATAAATGTGGTAAAACTCAGTCTCTTCGAGAATGTACAAATTTCTGTCAGAGCAGAGGCAAGAAGTGCATAATTCAACCATTTTACTTTTGGAATGATTTATTACAATTGCTTACACAAGTTTCCAAATTATTAAGTAAATATTTACAGCATTCTATTGATTTTTACAATATTTTTTCTTTCATTCACAAAACTGTCAACAAATATGTATTATAGCGTCCTTTTTGTCAATTTGGAAGTTAGACAAGTTAGTTTGACATTTTGTGAGTGTTGCTACTTAAAAATATTTTCTTTGAAATTTTTTAATCCTGTAAGTGGGAAATACGTACGGACAACGGCACATCAGGCTATATACACATTTTTGTTCGAAAATCGCCTCCAGTGCAACGGAAGAAGATACGTCAATGTGTAGCTTGATATGCTGGCGTGTGTACATACAAATAGGTATGCACTGTTTGCATGACGAAAATAATATTGTTTCCATTGCATCCGTGTAACTATTTTAAGATGGTTAAATTGGACATAAGAACAATATTACTTTAATGTTAAAGTCGCGTCGTAGTACGAACTGAGTGAATGAATAGTCACAAAGCTGCCAAAAACATCATAGTTTTAACATTACAATAAGCTTACTTTAAGCGCGTTATGGTACTAAAAGTCAATGTAAGGTTAAAGTAATATTGTTTAAAAGGTTGTGGTAGGCCCCCAGTACGGCTTGCGCATAAACTTAGCTTAGCGCGCATTAGCACGCTGTACTCTGCAATTAATAAGTATAGGATAGAGTGCTAACGAGTGCTGTGCAGGGTGGTGTGATTCCTAACATCAATTTTAAACCCGTAAAACGATTAGACTAGATAGGCGGCAATTATTAAAAAGTTCATTACTTGGTAAGCTTGACAAGTTCGAGGACAACGAATCCATTAGCGTTAATTAATTGTTTTGAATTTAATTAAAAAGAAACTTATTAATCAGACCGGCGTTGGTAGGAAATCAAGAGTGTATTCTTGATTCTAAGTTAGACTGAACTCTATGACGCTTATTATAAAAACTTAATGTGCTTTTGAGTGTACGTACATATTGTATACTTTAAATTAAAGATTAGTGAATAAAAAAATTGAAATTGTAAATTATCAATTTGAAATACATCATGGATAAGTGAGTGCGCTTTTGATAAAAATTTACCTACAATATAACTTGTGTAATGTGGGTCATAAGAAGGTGTTTGATAGAATAGAGACGAATGAGGATGACGGGTAACGTAGTATATTGTCACAAGTATAAAGCTTTTGTAAAAAGGCGGGGAATAAATAAAACAATTTTTATTTGTAGATAGTGTATTTAACCTGGTAGTGATGATGACTACACTATAATATACCTGCAATTGATTTTTTCTATTAGGTACAACTTATTTTTAAAATACTTTGAAAGGTGGAAATCCGGTTACCAAGTTGTGAATATAATTTAAAATTAGGTACAGACAACAGCACATCGTACTATACACTTTTGTTGAGAGTTGCAGAGCAATGAAATAAGAGCTGTGAATGCGTAGCTTGATGTGCCGCCACCTACATTAATTTGACTGTAATATTTTTCTGGAACAGGATTCGAAATTAAAACATCGACATGATTTTTTAGTTTAAGGAACCGAATCGATTGATAAACGAAACCCCACTACCAGGCTACACTGAAGGTCACACTCACACACGAGTAGAGGTGATTGGTCGCTCATACCACTAATAATACCAATAGTTTTATTAATTTCAAGTGTGACATTCACTTCCTTACAATGTGATGTACGATATCTAATACATAATCCCATCACAATGAAATCTACTGGATTCTTACTCACCAGATCGAGTATTTTTATTTCACAATCCGTTTTATAATTTTAATAGTTTGTAGGTACAGGAAAATATTCTTAAAAGTTATTTTGTCATTTTGAAACTCCGAAAATTATGTTACCGAACATGTAGGATAGCGAATGTAGCACTTGGATAAATAATTAATGATACGAGAGCTACAGAATGAATATATTTGTAAAATGATTATCTATTCTAAAACGAGTTAAGGCTGAGTTAAGGATTTAGAAAGCCACAAAATGATATCAACATGTACAGGTTAGGGCCAAACCGTTATAAGCGATTAACTTGCTCAAAAATAATTCAATTTATAAATTTCAACTTAAAGAAAAAATGTTAACCAAATATAATGTATTTTATATGTATTTGTATTTGTATTTGTAATGTAATCCCAGATAGTATTAAGAAACTCTATTAAATAAAATTTAGTCGATGTTTCTTAAAAAACTAAATAAAAATTGTAAAAAAACCAACAGCGATATCTATGAGCGTATTTAAAAAGTGGATTGTCTCAAAATAAAATTCGTCTGTTCTTAAGTACAGGCACTTTGATAAATACATGTATAAAGATGATAAATTGTTGCGATTGTTTCACATATTACGTTTTCGTTTGGGTATTATAGACGAGGTAACCATGTTAAAGGCTTTTCCTTTTAGTTCTACATTATGGTCCCTGGCGCAGTTTCCTCAATTTTTATAATATTACAATAAATTTTTGTGGCTTCCTTTTTAAATAAAATTTTCTTATTAGGATAGAGAATAAGTTAATTTTATATATGAAGAAGAAGTCTTAATAAGTCTAAAGTCTTATGAACAAGTATTGCCTTGAAGTGATCCACAGTTCCTAATACCTAAACGTGCTCAGTGGAATCTTGCCTTTTCTAAGGTCTTAGAAAAAGTGACATAATTATTATTTTCATTGGGAAAATGTTTTCTTTTAAAAGGTATTTCAATGTGTATATGTACTTCTCACATTGTCTATAATATAATTTTAGGTCTACGATAAACCAAGGAATCTCGAGCTCAAGAAATCCAGACCATTTTGCCACAGAGTTATAGCTATTTTTGCTGTTTATAGAACCTGTGACAAGTTTGACGTCGCTGTCTCTAAAGTTGGTTTTTGCTGACAGACTTCTTTTATCAGAAAATGTTTCCTGTCACAGTGTTAAGTAATTTTAAAAGGATTTAAAATAAATAATAACTATCTAAATTCCACCAAGCACAAAATATTTAAATTTTGACTAATCACAATCAACTAGCAACTCGACTTAAAATTTAAAATTTTTCTAAGGGCAAGTGCCATTCCTTATTAAAAATAGGTTTAGAGAAATTCAATAGAATCTATGTATGCAATTTCATTAATAATACAATTTTACATTAATCCTTGTTTAGAAATAGGTAATAATAATAATACATTCGTTCGTCATGAGGTTGCAATGTAGGATATGTACAGTTCGTATTATTTGATTAAAATAAATGTAGTTCGTAATATTGTTTATTTTTACAATGGTTGATTTTCAAAAGTTCAACCTTAACGGTTTGTTGCCTTGATATGTCCAACTGTTGTGTTGTGAGTGGTTCTCCGACGTAAACCAACCCTAAAGAGTCAAAGTGACCACTGACTGTGTCAAAAATACACAACTAAATGCACCAGCTGGCCTCGGGTTGCATAGAAGCAGTGAGTTCACATACGAACAGGTTAGACATAACAAGCAATGAATAAAAATTATTAAGTTTTTTCTTTTACACACTTTATATTTAACAGTACATATTTCTGTATGTGTATATCTATGTAGGTAAGTAATATAGAATATTGGCATTTCATTTTCATAAGTATTTTTTATTTAACATTTAGTTTTAAAATTTCAACAAGAAACTTTCATTTGTATATCGAGTTCTTAGGTTTTAACAATTGTTACACACTGGAAATGAAACCATTTTTTCCGTTCTAAATCGCGTACATTTGTTTTTTTTAAGCAAACCAACGTTTCGTTCACAGTTGACCGTGACTGTGGTACCTATAAAAAGCCTGAAACGTTAGAAAAAAAGAACAAATATTATATGCAGTTTAAATCGTAAAAATGGTTTAATTTCTTTTTTATAGTTTTGCATAAATATTAAAATAGTTAAGAAATTCAAACCGATACATTGACGATCCTACAATGCAGCTGATGGAGAAACAGGTGTCTCTTACTAGCATCCAGGATGCAGCATCGTAAATGTTTCGCTTTGTAATAGGGTACAATATAGGATAGGGATAGCCATTAATATGCAAGAATAGTATGGGGAGTAAGGCGCTAGCGTCTCTAAGCAAGAGGAAAGTTTTAAGAATATATATTAATAGTACATTTTTAAATATTGCTTAACGTTACATAAAAAAGAAAGTTAGATTGGGTATTTAAATAATGGAACAGAGAAACGGAACTTGAATGGTTTAATATAGTGATGTACGGTTGCTCATTAAATTACTTTTTAAAATGAAGACAAAACAGCCACTATTAATGATAATTTATATTAATTAGACGTAATAAAATGACAAGTATTAATGTAATAATAACGTTGCCATATTTATTGAATAGCTCGGTGCTCGTTTCAGTTCTGAATGAACTCACTTAAGTAAAGTCAGCCAAAAAGAAGTGATAATTTTGACTCATCTTGTCACTGTTATTATTTAGTCTCCGCATATTTCCAGAGAGAAATATGATTGATAACTGAAATTATTAAGTTGTAGATTTTTTTAAATAAATACCCAAAAATTTAAAAAATCATGTGTGTACCTTGACGACTGAGTGAGTCAGTTTTGGGATAAACAAACTAGTACAAGTGTGAAGTGGGCTTTCCTTTCGTCATAGCTCTCACTGATGTTTATAAGATTTCTTGCTTTAAATTAATTGCCATAAGAACTTTTGAATATAGTGCCATCTAGTCTAGTGTTGAATAACTAAAATCCAAAACTAGTTCATTTTATAGAATACGACGCAGTATAAACAGATTAGGCGTTAACAAATAATAGTCAATGTTACTGGATTGAAATAAGGTTCATTTTTGTATGTAAAGGTTGGTCAAACAGTTTGTCTAATTTTTTTTCATAATTGTATCTAATCAAGACTATGGTATCATAGTCCGTAAAGTATGATTTAGTTTACAAGTGTGTGCGTTTGGTGACAACGGCTTTGATACCATATCCACTAATTTGTTTATTCCATGGTGTTAAGGAAATTTTCTACAAAAACTGACAACCCACTAAACGTCATTGTTTCCTTGTTTTTTATTGGCTTTTCGCACTTTGCGTTTTAGCCACTTACAAGCTTTTTGACTTGTCATTTTACTATATCTATCTGGTAGGTCAATGTCTCTATCTTTTAAATACCTTTGTTTCTTTTGCTTTATTTTCAAAACGGTCTCTCTAAGCTTCCCAGAATCATATTTGTAACAGATAAAGAGACATCAATACAATTGAAAACATCAAATTTACCATTAACAATTTAATGTATTTATTATTTAGGTCATAATCATAAGTAATTTTTTGGGACTTCTTAATACTTATATTCTTAATATTTTTTCATCATTTTCTTGTTTTTAGTTTATCACTTTTTTGTTTTTTTTTCTTTTAATTATTCACTTCACACGATTGTTTATATTTTTGAAGATCTCAAATTATTTAAGCTTTTTTTAAGAATCATGCGCTACAGCATTGAATATCTTAGTAAGATCCTTATGATAAGTAAATAGTTAAGTTTTAAGGCGTTAATTGTATTTGAAAGTGACATAAAAATAGTCCGCAATTGCCTTTAACAATTAAAATTTCACAAAATATATAACAATACCAAAGGTGCTGTTTCACTGAAGCTTTAATTTTCCAAAAACTTCACACTTTCACGGTCAGCTAGCTTCAGTGGCAACGCACCCTTAGGTCATGTCCAGATAAAGCTAATCCGCGCTCAAAACGCACGTGCCCGCAATGCCTACTGCTAGTGGTAAAGCGTTGTATCTTGTACAAGCTTTTGTAAAAAGAATATCTAAAAAATTCTGAATAGATACGTTTCCTCAAAGCATAGGTTCTCAAACTTTTTGGCTCACCGCTCACTTAGGCAAGATAAAAAAATTTCAACGCCGACCACCACAAAAATAATCGAAAACACATATTTTTTATATTAACTTGACACAAAAAATTACAAGGAACGAAATTATGTATAATAATAAATGTAGTGTAGTTTATTTATAGATAATTCAGGTTTTTTTTTTCTCAAATACGATAGCTCCCCATGGACACGATCAACGCCTCTCAAGTAGTTTCGAGGCTCTTACCGCCCTAGGACTCTTCAGTGTCCACTGGGGTATCTATAAATAGAGTTCTTACGTTGTCGCGATTATTACATGGTGCAAATTAATCTATTTTTTTACCTCATTAGCTCGGAAATCTGCGCGTGAAAACGTTTTTTGCACGCTTGCGTGGAAAAGGTTTTTGATATTAAAACTTGACGATAGACTTTGATGCACTTGGTACTTGGTGCAACGGGCTGATATATAGACTTTGATGCATCTTACTTTTTTTTTTACGGGCTGATATATAGACTTTGATGCATCTTACTTTTTCTTTCGATGAAATATAAAGATAATGACACGTTCAACTGTGCGATTTGTCATACATTACATAATTTATGTAATATAAATGCGTTAGTATATACAGAAAATGTTATTTTCATAGTGGAAACGTGTTCATTTAAACTGTCCTTAAAAGTCCGTTAAACCTGAAGTAGTTTTGTTTCATGCAAAGAGATGTCAATTGTATCAACTCATCAACTTCCCCTGGATGTAGTCGTCGCCTTTATAAGTGATCTTTAAGAAGTGTCAGTGTAGGGAACATTAGCGGGTTAAGCTGTCTACATCCAGAGAAAGTAATTTTGCATTATGTGGTATGTTCATATCTTTGATCCTTTGTATTAAATCTAAACTATTCTTTAAACAAAAAGGCGATTTGAAAACAGATTTTTCCCGAATAATGATATTTAGTTTTTTAGCTAAGTCGTAAGTTGGAGCACCTATATATGAGACAACTGGGCGGATAGGAATATTTTGTTTGTGAATTTTTGGAAGACCGTCAAGAATTGGTGATTGAGGATTCATTGGTATTATATTGCTTTTTGGCAGTCCGTTTTAAAAAGAAACAAATAATTTTTAACAACGTTTTTAAGGTCTTTAGAAACCCAGCAGTGGGGTCCCTACGTAAGACCGAAAAATCGTCGCCTTGAACAACATCTAAAACCGTATTATTGTATTCACTACTGTTCAAAATAACAATACAATTAAGTTTGTCTGCGTTTGAAACCACCAGATTATTGTCATGAACTTTTTGTTGAATTGATCGTAACAGCAACGTATCCTAGACTAGACTAGAAGGAGAAGTTTCAAATTTTTTAATTTTATTTGCAACTAATGCCTTAGAATCTACATCGTTTAAATTAAGAACAATTGCGACCTCAGTATCCACAGCCAAATTTGCTAATAATATTTGATTAATTTAAAAAAAATTATAATTAAAATTTAAACCATTGTTTAATAATTTAATCTCGTCTTCCAAAAACTCAACATTTGTTAGATTTTTTACACGAGGGTGCAGGTTGTGACAGGTTGCTGATTGCGAGTTAGTGTTATTGTAGAAAGAATTAGATCTGGATTCCGTAAGCCTACGCAATTTGTTACACTGGGTTAGAAACATTTTATGAGCCACCTGTGACGCGAAGAATCTCGCCTTTTGGTCTAGAATATCAAATTCAATATTATGTATTAAAAGATAGCTCTGAATAAAGTATTTTAAGATGTAATTTTAAATTATCTCTAACGGTAAACTAATGGCGAGATTCCTCGTTAAGCCATATTTTTTGTGCCCTATCGATTGCGATCCTAGCTGCTGTCTGTTTGGTTGTTTATTGCGTGCACATAAAACTTTTTCTCACCGACTCAAGCAGTCCCTAACACTTATGTAGTGTCATTCATCTTCAGCGTAGCAATAAATACTTCTAAATAATTGATTATTTTGTTTGATTTATGTACACACACTTATATTGATAACGACGCACTAGGGAAACCGTGTATCACGGGTGCCATGAACCTACACACAGACAAACACAATTTACACCCAAACTTACGAGAAAAATAAATGTAGGCTACCTATACAAATATTACTCCCGGCCCAGAAATCGAACCCAGGACCTCTTGGCAAAGCAGCGTGGTAACCGTGGCATAATGGAATAGAACGTTTTAGAACGCTTAGCAAATCATAGTTACGAAAAATCCTTCTCCGCCATCTCTTAAATGAAATATTATTTTGCTGATTAGCTTCATCTGGACAAACCCTAATCGCATTAGACAATAACTACCGCAAGGCCGTCTAGTGTCAAAAACATGGGCCCCTTTTTGGTCGATCGTGTCAACGTGGAAGAAGAAGCACAGTATTGATCCCTAAGAGCAGACGATAAGGCTGAGTTCACCGTGGCTGCGGTGCGGGCGACGAGCCTCGGCGACCGCGGCGCTTCGAAGACTTGCGCGGAGCGGTCTCTTCGGTGATCTACGAATTTATAGGTTTTTAAACATATTTGGTTAATTGGAAACATAATTGTATTCATTCCTCAATTGTCCGAAGTTCTCATTATTACGAAAACATCTGGACTTTTATACCTATGAAGTAAGAACCACATTACATTGATTACATATGTAATTGTGTGCACTTTGGTAAATAAAATAGAAATTAACTTACAGTTGTAATGGCGCTGGCCCTAGCAGGCACTGGTGGTGGTTGGCGAGCCCCCGTAGTTGAAACAGAGGCCGTGGTCCGTATAGGGGGCGGTGGAGCAGCGCTTGTGTCTGGTCGAGGGGAAACTTGAGGGGCAACTTGTGGGGTGACCTGTGGCGACACCTGGGTGGAAGTCTGGGGAGCCACCTGGGGGGACGTCTTTGGAGCCGCCTGGGGGGACGTCTGGGGGGACACCTGGGGGGCAGGCCCTGGATTATGCCGAGAGCAGGACGCTTGGGCGCCGTCTGATCTGAGGATACAACACAATATTTGTTTTCAGGTTGAGAATTTAAGGAAAAAATATGAAATTCAATTTGCTCATGTATTTGGCAAAACGTTTTTAGAAGTGACGAGCAAGACATGGCCCGTTGTCCACGAATTTGAACTTTCTTCTTTTCTTATTATTATTATCGTGGTTAAAATTTACTGTTGCGGCGCGGTCCGACTCGATCACAAAATGGTGTCCAACTGATCCAGCGAGTGCAGCAGAGCGGGATCACGCGTGCACCAGCTCGCGAGCTCGTCAGGGGTCACGACTCCGTCCGCGTTCGTATCTATCAGCTGGAACAAATCATTAATCAATTATAAATACTATTTCAGTAATTTAGTTTTGATCACGTCTGGTTTCAATTGGAATCATCGAGTATATAGATGATTGGAATAGACTTCTATCTATCTACTTGCTGTTATCCTGTTTGTTATTCTTCTCCTTTTTGGCATTTAAAATAATAAAGTCTCAAACAACATCAAATTACCTCAAACTAAGTACCTCTCTCCTCCTCCTCCTCCACCACCTCCTCCTTGCACCCAGAACACCCCAATCAGAACCAATGTTTTCTACATAGTTTTTTTCTCACATACTGTTGGGCCACCGAAGACGTCGCGTCGTCATTTAAAAATTTTAAAACTCCATTCAGAGCTTAATTTTCTATCAAATATAATTGTGTAATAAACGAAATATATTTTTATACTAACGTGAAAGATCCGGTCGACATGGTCTCTGGCAGCCTTCGGATGCGATGGCGGCGTCGTACCGCGCCCTAGCAGCTCGTAGATTGCTTGTACCACCGCCAGCATCTCGGATCTGCCAAGCAAAAATATTCCTAATGTCAGTTCTTTTCTCAGGATAGAATAGCTAATTAAAACTGCGCACTGACACTGAGTTCTACATTACGAGTAACCGTTCCATTCTACTTTAAGTTAAAGGTACTTCTGTAATGGTTTTAGTCTGGACGACAGAGTCAATTTCGTTTAGTCAGAGACAAATTGTCAATACGCTTAAGTATATGTAGGTGTTTCTGATAAATAGGTAACGGAATGGTGTAGTCAGAGGAATGCCAACCTATATCTTCTTCTTAGAGAGATGATGAAGGTAACATCCAAAAGTTAGTACGCCGCGTGCTTGTTTGTATACTGCTACAAAAGGGGATGATGTTGGGTCGTGAACTCGGTAAGTTAGTTGCTTTGCAGCGTCTTCAAACTTAAGAATATCTAGACTTGTAAACCATAACATATTCACATATTATAGTTTTTTGAGGTTTATGTTACTAGGTAAAGTATCGTTTTAATTGTGCTGTTCAGTTTAGTTATTAGTGCGTTTTAATATCTGTTCAGTGACTATTTTTGTCATTTGCTGTTTCTTATTTTGTAATTGACAATAAAATCAACGGCTGTTAATTATTAATACATTGATATTGATATTTTTGCTTATTCCTCCCTCGATAAATCGATTTCTGTGTACACCATTACCTCATAAAAGGTTGTGGACTCACCTGGAAATGCGTCCGTCGCCATCGACATCGTACAGCGTGAATACCCATGAAAGTTTCTCCTGCACCGAGCCGCGCGCCACGCGGGACAGGATTTCCAGGAACTCCTGGAACAGAAAAAGTACAGGGTTAAAAACCGGAAGAGATAAGAGGTATTTATTAATTGTAGCAGGGAATATACTCCGCCATCAGCCCGTAAAGTACCGCACTACAAAGCCTAGCTGCAGCAACCCACCCGTAGCAATCAAAATATAGGTAAATTTTTTGACTGTCTACCGCAAAGTCTTCCACATAATTTCGATGAGACGTCTTCGGGCTGCCCCGTGGAAGAGCTTGGAGTGTTACAGTAAAAAAGCAATCTGTATGTGCCTTAGCAATCATACTAGAACACCGACAAAGTAGCTGCATTGCCCAGATTATTCAAAACGTTTCTAACATGTGATTCCCGTCCTTTTTAATGTTTTTTTTTTAATAAAAATAAAATATATACGAGCATTGCTCCCTATGCTCGGCACTTTCGAAGATTGTAGTATAAAGCTGACGTTGACAAAGGAAGAAAGCGCTTTATACTTCTTTGATTTAAGAATCCTTTAGTCGCTTTTTATTATCCGCGGCAACAATATGGCAGAATTCCATATAGCCTGTTTGATCTTTTTGATGGGTCACATCATAAACGTAAGCTGCAAGACGCAGCTTACGTTTATCAGTAAGTATAACAATAGAAAATACAATAGCTTAGCCTCCGTTACGTCTAATCGTAGTCGAGAAAAAACCAAATTTCCGAAAGCAGTGTAACTTCGACACGAAGCATCATCTGTCGAATGTCACTTGACGTCACCCGATAACATTTGGTAATAGCCCAATTCGACGGGTTAGTATCCATTAATCACTTACCACTGCTCGATCGAGCGATAGACTCCGGCCACTGACATAGCAACAGGATCGTTAATTTCACTGATAGCCTCTCTCAAAGGCAGCAGTGCACGGGGGCTGGATAGCACGGGCCTGTACACTTGCTTTGTCACTTATTTGCGGGTATTTTTTTATGATACTAACTTGGAAAATGCTCCAACATCAGCCAGTGCTACAGGTTTGAATGTTGTGCAGTGGAAATCTCATTTCCCGGGAGGCCACAAGTGAAACTCATAGCTAAGGAAGCCTCTCGTAACTGGAGGGGTATCTTAAAGGGTTCAAGATGCCAGTCTCCAGGGCATTATGTTCCTGTGCGTTGCCATTTATGAAATGTTCTACCTTCATGTAAATGAGTGAAATGTTTTTCTTTAACTTAAAATTCACTATGTAGATAAGAGTACATTGTTTATTACTTTATTGTAAGCTTATGTTGTTTTAAGGTACCATAGTGTGAATGGTACTAATGGCTAATGAACAATCATATATTATGATACTTGTAAACAAAATGTATCCGCGTTCGGGGGATTCTTGATAAACTACTGAGTTCACAAGGATCCACCGGGGGATTAGGCCAGGGGATCCTGGAGGACGAAACGCTAAGTAGTACGACATGACGAGTTGATACCTACAGTAGACAGCGCTATTACGAATTTTTACGAACGGAATTTTTTTTATTTCATTCTATTCGAATGTCAAGGTGTCAAGAAACTAAGCCTAAGGCTGCCTTCCCACCAAAGTTGTGCGAGGCAGCAGGCGGTGAGGCTTTTCAGCTATGCGCGGGCGGGGTACGGTGTTTTGGGGTGAGCGGTGGCGATGTATCATCGTCATATTTTCAGTAGCTCTAGTTTTCTACACCGTTTTGCACACATTTCTCGCCCGCATCTCTCGCACACAATCTTCGCACACATCTCTCGCTATTTTGTATGTACAAATACTTAGCTCCGCTAATCCTTTTCCACCGGAGCTGAGCTAAGCTTCGGCTAGGAGATGAAGTAATTCTATTGGTGGATTTTTTGGCGACTAGCTTTTTGACTGGTTAGCTAAGAAAATTTAAATGTTATTTCTTTAATATATTGTAAAATAATTTCAGAGTCAGAGTACTAAAAAAACCGACCTCAAAAGTACGTGGAATTACGTCTATTTGCTAAGTTTTATTGAAATATCCCCTAGTTCGCCACTATACGGGACTTGACACAGGAGATAATAAAAATCGGTTCTCACTACTCAAAGTTTTTGAGAGAGAAAAACGCCTTGAATTGGAGAATAGCAAAACCAACCATTAAAATAATTGCTCCTTAAGTAAAATTCAGGCGCTATTTATAAAAATGAATGTTCATGCGTGATCAGCCTCCCTTAGAGGTGGATGATTTTCTTCAAAATGAAATGAGACCACTATGGAGGTACCCTGTTTCCAACAAAAAAGGATCATGAAAATCGGTTCACAAATACCGGAGTTATCACGTAACATACACACACAAAAAAACGTACAGTCGTATTGAGAACCTCCTCCTTTTCAAGTCGGATAATAAAATGAAAACACTTTTCGATTAACTACTCCTACTACTTACAAAAAAGGTTTTCTTGTAATTGAGGTTGTAAAACCACTCCCATTTTATGACTGCTGAATTCCCAATATTCTGGCAATACTGGAATAAATTGAGCTTGTAAAGTTGGCAGCATTGACATATTGAGTCAGTATGATTATCCTAATATGCTCCTCTTCGAAAGCTGAACGCCTGCCAAGATTACTTCATAAACTCTTATTATTAGGTACGTCTTGCTAAGTAATTTCTAGTTACATAAACAGATCAGCGAGTAATTTAGTTATGTATCAGCTTTTGTCCGTGACCTCGTCTACTAAATATTTTGACAAAATGTCATACGTACCTGAAATCAAATAGCGAGCACCGTGGCATCGCTGGATATTTGCTCGCACCAATTTAATAGGCGTGTATATATATTTTCATCGATTTTGATGAACGCTGTTGTATTCGAACCTTACAACAGCGTTCGCTGTATCATTACTTTGTCGCACTTATATCAAAATCAAGATTCTTTGCAAGCATTCATTCTGGTTTTAAGGAAAGGAAATTGCGTTTTAACATTGGTGTCAAAAGTTGGTACAAAAGTAAGTTTCAGGGGTTACTTACAAACTTGCCATACTCTTGATTGATATTGGCATGATTTAGGATTATCTTTTCTTGCCCTTGAGTTTTCCCTTCACGTTCGACAAGGACGGACACGTACAAAAACCACAAGTTTAAGAGAGATAGTCGCAACGCCGAACTTAAGTCTGTATTCCGGAAACAAGTTTTTCTTCGTCAGCTTCTAAATAATACGCGTTAGGCTCAAAGAGCATAACGCTCATTGAGTGGAAAAAACGTCCACAACGCGTTGTGTCGTCTCTAAAATATCCATAACAGTAATTCATTTAATTAAATTCGTATTAAGGCACTTATAAATTTGACAGTCTCCGTGGCCGAACGGTTACCATACTGGATTGTCACGCAGAGGTCCCGGGTTAGATTCCCGGGCTGGGAGAAATATTTCGTTACCTCCAATGAACACTTCGCCAACTTAATTTTTGGATTTGTTCTGTTTTCGTTTTGTTTTTGTTTCTTTTTTTTCACAAAATTCAGGGAGCGTAATGTTAGTAAGTAAATATGGCTGTTTATAAAAATAACAGAAAGTTTGGGTGTAATTTGTGCTTGTCTATGTGCGTATCGTGTATGGCACCCGCGATAGAGGACTTACCTAGTGCGGGGCGATGAGAGTGTGCATATTTTATTTATTTGTATTATTTCTATTACCTTAGCAAATCTTTATGAACACAATAATCACTCCAGTAATCACTCCAGTAGGGCTAGCACGATAGCGCCACGCGCGACTTGCGCGAGAGCGACATTCTATCGTGCTAGCCCTACTTGCCTATATAACTATGTATATATACGCTTATTGAAAGTGTTGTACATAGAAATACATTAATAGCTCACAGCTGGCAACACATTGTGGACTGTCATCCTATTTGCTTCCTCTGCAGGGCGCGGATTTCTTGTGAATGGAACGTGTACGATTCTATTGTACAGAAATTCAATTACGTAGGAACTACACGGGATCAGCGGCATATTGTCCGCGGATTTGTCCGCTGATATTGTCGTTGGATGTTCTTGTCTCGAGATATTGTCTTTTCTTACATTTTTTTTGTTTCGTCGTGGAGACTTACCCCCTAACTTACCGTCTTGGCCAGGTGTTGTGGGCGCCGTGGAATCCCGAAGATTCACCATTACGACGCCCACTTTTATTATACTTTGGAGGATGTAAACCTTTCTTTCTTAAGTTACAATTTTATTGACAAGTATCAATAATGATTAATTGATTTTACTGATTTTTGTATTGTCAAGTCTTGAATAGATAAAAAGAACATACCTAATGAAGGTCACAGAGTCGCCCCCTAAGGAACGCCACATTGTTTCTAATACCCTTACTGTGTGCCTTTAGTCGTACGATGTATTATGCTTGTATACTGAGCACGGATCTTCTATACATATGTCGCAATGTAATCGTGGGTGACGTCGAGGGAAACCACTCGTTCCTAATTTAGTTAGGATTTTATAATTGGCCCTCTTCATTATCAATTCGTTCAGTCAACATGTAATAATAATGTCAATTGATTGCAATTAGTTCATTTATCCAGTTTTCATAGTAATTAGTTCGAAAGTATAAAATATTGATCATGTTAAAACCGATTATAAATGTCACGCGGCCAATTTACGATTACGATTGTTCATTTTCCAAATAATTCACAAACAAGTCCATCTTTTCAATGCGCGCTTGTTAGTAAAGCGTTGACTTCACTTCTTATTCTCATATGGCAACCTTACCAAAGACCATCACATTTCATAGGATCACATCAGATAACTAATTAAAACTGAGTCAAACCGACCTGATATTTGTAAACAAAGAAACTATTTAAGTTTGGTACCTCCACCATAAGTCGATAAAGGTTGGGCCACTCGTAGGGGTGCACCCCTGCTCATTTAGCCAAAATTATTGTAAGGGGCAGCTCCATTTGTGAATGCGTGTGAGAAGAACCACTGGTTGACATTTTTTTTTCAACTGTCTCAAGTATTCCGTATCATAGTATGATCTCTTTCGCTCGTCCATCCCCAAACCTACGGATTTTGAAGCCATCTTAATGTATTATAATTCCCCTTTCATCATTGACCTTGTGTTTATATATCCAGCAATAACCTAAGACTGTTATTTAGCACGTACCTTATTTAGCACTCCATTCACTCGTATTTATTAGTCTGCAAACCCAAAATTCAAAATTCACGACGTAAGCTTGATCTATCTAACAAAGTACCGTTACAAATCTGTTGGATAACAGAAGCCACTGGAACTTATAAAATTTACTAAGCGGAACACTCGATATAAAGGTATAATAAAAAGAAGAACATGATGAATGTGATTCGTAGACAGTAAACCGTTTCTTTATTAATTAGAAAACAATACGGAATGTAATTAGGTAACATTTACATTTCGTAAAGCATATTACGTAATAAATCTAATTCCGTTGCACTACGTTTGGAGTGATAATTGGCTCCAACGTATAAATGAATCAATAACATTATAGTAAGTATAATGTAGGTACATTAAGTGGCCTTACTGTTAGGTAGCAATGTCTTCTAGACAATCGTAGGGTGGAAAAAAAAACAAGTATACCGACCTCAAAATTGACGGTGCCAGTTTGCTTGTGCTTTATCGTCTTAAACACGTAGTGGGCGTACTGCGACGCATCTGGAACACAGTACAGTATGTTTTGCATTAAAATGTATACCAGCTCGAGCAATTGCGGCGAAGTTTGTTTTTATTATCGCGATTTCAGTGAGTCAAGCGCTGTAAAAGTTCTGAATAAATAAGTAGGCACATTTGAACACTTGCAAAGGGATTTAGGGAGACTGTGTTTTAATCGACTTCCTAAAAGGAACAGGTTCTCAATTCGAATGTTTTCTTTTGAGTGTGTCTCATGCGATCACTCCGATATTTGTGAACCGACTTCGACGATTCTTGTTTTGTTGGAAAGGGAGTAAGTTACTCGTGATCCCATTCAAATTTGAATAAAATATTCCCGCTCCAAGGATGGCAAATTAGGGGATGAATCCAGTTTATAGGTTTTCATTCTATTAACCGATTTCAATTTATAAAGCAAATAGATGCAACAAACACAGTAAAAGCAGGTAAGTTGTAAATATTTAATTAATATTCTTTGTTAGTGATTTGATTGCACCCTCAAAAGGGTACACTGCTCCATTTGATGCGTCCTTGAAAAGGTGGCTATATGAGTGGAGCGGCAAAGACGATTTGAAAAGCTGCTTGTCGTGGTATCTTCGACGTCGACTAGACCCTAACGAATGACGAATATTATATGTTTCACTGCTAGACCCGGGGTCGCCAAGCGGGTTGTGCACTCAAAGTCAAACAACATTTATTTCGTAGGTGGGCAAATCACACTTGAAATCGTTATTGATTAAACTCTACTACTCATTCGTAAGGCAGAGTCCTTTGAGAAGAACGAGCAAGAAACTCTAGGTGTTGCTCTTTGCAAATAAAACATTTGTACACATTGATAATTTACAATATTTATTTCAAACATCATGGATCGAGACCATCTGCAAGAGCTAAACGGATTACTACCACAGATTTTTGTCATCCAAGTATGCAGAAGTTTTAACGTCGTAAATAGTGAAGACGGATGTCAAGAACAGCTGCTTTGTTATTATTCCTTGTATTATTTTTATGTCGGTCACTATTTTTCATTAAAAAAAAATATTCTCCCAAACGTGACGTTAAAATATGACGTTAGTGTAACAATATCAATTTATTTAAACCTATCTCTTGAAACGGGTCACTAACACGGATTTTTGCCATACAAGTACAAAGAAGTTGTATCGTAAAAGTTGTGATCCTTCTTCGTCGTACAGATTTCGTCTCAAAGTAGGGAGAGGTACTTACATTTCCTTTTCATCGGTATATACCGCACATTAATCGTATTGTAATAGTCACTGAAATTATTGGAGAACTAGGTACTAGCTTATACAATACACACCTCCGAGTGGGAAGAATTGAGAGAAGATGTGTTTAAAAGCTTCCTCGTCGACGACCCCCGACGGGCACTCCTGCAACAACAACGTGTTGGTAAGTTTGGCGGCTACGAATGAGTTAATTCTGTTTCGTAATTTTTTTATGATACCATGTGAAGGGACGAACAATTCGTGGGCCTGGTGGTCATGTTCAGAGCTTTGAAACGCAAAGGTCCGAGGGGCACTGCCACTGCGTCCGTCACCCTGAGACATAAGTTGACTTTCATCAGCACCCTTACCCATCCGAACCAGAACGCAATAATGCCCACATTTAGGTAACAGGTAAATAGGTACACGCTATCACATGCACACACATTTATACACACGCACACACTCACATGAACATGTGATAACCTATTTGTTAGATCACGTTTGTTTTGTAATTTTTTAACCGACTTCAAAAAAGGACCAGGTTCTTAATTCGACAATGTTTTTTTTATATATGTGGTTCTAATTCAATTTGGAGAAAATGTTCCACCTCTAAGGGTGGCAAACTAGGGGATGATGGACTTTTGAGGTCGGTTTTTTTAGTACTCTGTACTGAGATTGTTGTATTTTACTCTTTTTAACTTAATTATTATTGTTTTTCGTTCATTTCTTTTCCAACACAAAATTGTATGTATACTTTATCGTTCTTAAGTCTAACCTACCTACTGCAATCCCTTTAATGGGTTTATACGTAGGTTGGTACAGTCATCGCACACCACTATAGCGCATTCTTTTTGAGAAACGAAAATAAACATTAAACTAAATTAAGAGAAATAATGGTAAAGAAGAGCAATTGTAACTATTACTACTGATCATAATATTAAAATTTTGTATTACCTTAATACATTTTTGTACTAACAACAAGAGCCAACAATATTAGTACTTGGTCAAATTCTTTCATCAAATAGCACTTTACGTTACGGCTCGTAATAGTTACTTATTCGGTTCGGTTCGTACTCGCTTTGCGTCCCACGAAACAGACGAAGCCTAGTGTGGGGCTCTTAGGTTAAATATGTAAAATTGTTATTCTTATGCTATGGTAAATAAATTGGGAGCTATCAGATACTTTGATTCAGAGTGATGAAAACCCCGGTAACCCAATGGGTTGCACTACAGGCGCTTGATGAGGAGGTGGCGGGTTCGATGCCCTTGCGAAAGAATTTTTCAAAATTGCTTCTGATCTGGGTGTTTCGGGTAGTGCACCGGAGTAAAACCTGTTGTTCTGATAGCCATGGTACAGGGATATTTCTATTTTGGGAAAATGTCAGTGAAAAACGTGGCGTTGCATTGGCGGAATATGAAAAAGGATTTGCTTCAATTTTGGGGGTACTTCAGATATGTTCAGATAGATAGGACGACCTCTGTGCTCGAGTGGCTTGCAAACAGGTTTTCATGGTGTCGCTATCTCTTTGATCTCAGGCCGGGTCAATGTAGAAAACACACTTTTCTATATTCTCCCGGGTCTGAGTGTTTGTGGTACCGTTGTTGTTTCCGATTTCCATAACACAAGAGCTTTAGTTACTTCGGGACCAAAGCAACGTATGTGATATTGTGTAATATTTATCGTATAACCTTATTAAATTGAAGATGTAGAAGCAGTGAGAAATGTACAGGATACAATGCCTACAATAAATGTTGTAGGGTACGTACAAGGATAACAAACGACGCAAAAATGACTTCTGGCTTGGTTCCAATATTGCCACGTGCAGTTGGTTGTGAGGACGAAATTAAAACAAATTCACTGTTATTGTTCAACTTACTGCCACTTTACCTATTTCTGCCGTCAAGCAGTAATGTGAGCATTACTGCGTTCCGGTTTTGAAGAGCAAGGGCGTTGGCGGAATTACAGGCACATGGGACCTGTCAAGTTTATGTCTCTGGGTGACAGAAGGAATGACGGTGCTCCTCAGATCTTTGCAATTAAATCTCTGAGTGATAGTGCTGCAACTGCGCACGACTTGTTCGACCCAGTTTTACCAGGCGGGCTGTTTATCTCGTCAGGGTCACCACTTTGCCATGACGCAAGGTGAAAAGGCGTTAGTGGTCACCGTTACGTCGTGGTGACATGGGAAGATGACTGGTTATATTTTGGTTAAGAATCTTATTTATACTTATTTGGTACGTGCGTTTTTATGCTGATTTACAGTGTACGATCAGTACAAATCGTCGAATCCGACACGGTTGGGCAGCTTTCGGGAAGCTCTGGGATTTCTTCTCGTCCACAATACCGTAGTCCTTGAGGACAAAAGTCTTCGAGCAGTGCGTGTTGCCAACGATGACCTACGGCTAGACGTGGCCCCTTACTGTGGACCTCACAAAAAAGGTCAAAGTCACTCAACGAGCTGTGGAGCGAGCAAGGCTCGGTATTTCTCTACATCTGATTCGATCAGAAATGAGGAGATCCGTTGAAGCACGAGAGTCACCGACATAGCTCAAAGGATGTTGAAGTGGCAGTGGGCAGGGCACATCTTGTGGGGCAGAAAAGTTCTCGAATAGAGACCACGAACTGAAAGGCGGTCAGTGGGACGGCCGCCTACTAGATGGACCTGACCTGATAAAGGCGACACGGTAACCGATGGATGCACGTTACGTCCGTGAACGTCTTCCGGCTGATGTAACTACTTTGCATGTACTAAGACATGCCTGAATGTCCGAAGAGGGTTTGACATTCTGGTACGTCTGATGGCTACTACACCAGTTATAAAAATATATACAATCTAGTAGGCTAGTACTGAACGTTGACAGTAAAGTTTGCTGCGTGGGTCAAATTACAGTGTTCGCTAATGATACTAGAATTTTATTCCATAAGGCGTGGAAAAGTAAACTTGATTGTACGCAAAGTGGTGACCAACCTGCTTGAAACCGCGGTACATGAGCTTAATCTCGTGCGGGGTGAAGCGCGTGGTGCGCGCGAGCTGCGTGAGGGTCTCGGGGCGGTGCCGCGCTACGCTGTTGAACACGGACTCCTCGAATTCTTCCTCTGGAACAACAAAAAAGAAACATGTCAGTAAATTTAATATAAGCAAGTTTAATTAACTGCGACTATGCGACAGCAATAATTGTAGGCATGCTCAAACTGCTTTTGTATTTTATGCCATAGATATTACTATGCATTTAAATGTATGTGCTAGAAAATGTGTATGTAACGTATACGCAATTGTAATATATTGTTATATGACGAGGCAAGCGGAATGTCGCGAATTGACACCTAACGCCCGGATGGAATGACACTCATCCCTTGGAGTATAGGCCGGTATACTAGTATGGGACGCCACGTGTACTGACTCACTTGCCCCATCCCATCATCAGCAAAAGGGCTGGCTTGGCAGCTGAGCTGGCGGAAAGAATAGTCTCGGCTTCGACTACTTATTTGCAACTTTGGACTCGAAACTCTTGTCCCGTGGATCACGGTGCCCTTAATCTGTACAAAACTTTATCCAAAAAATTTATAGACTCTCTGGGCAACGCAAGGGCTGGCACCTACCTTGACCAACGCCTTAGCATAGCCATACAAAGGGGGAACGTTACCAACACCTTAGGCACCTTGCCGCGGGGACTTAATTTTATTTATATTATAATAATAAATAAAAAAAATAATTTAATCCTAGTTTTAGTATTTAAGCATTTATTATACCTGACATACATATTTTACCTTATTGTATTAGCTGTAAATCGTCCTAGAATAAATAAAGAAATTTCGGACAAATATCTATATTGTGTTAGTAAAGTATTCCAACGATATTAGTAAAACTCAAACGTTAAATTACACTTCTAAATATCTAAGTACAGTCCTAGTGCACAGAACAGTGTATAGCTACATTGAAATAACATTGGCTCGTCGTTACTTTCGACACCGAAGGTATCCTGCGCATCAGGGACGCTACCAGCTTCGGCAGTATGGCGCTTAAGCCGTCCACTCGCGCCCCAGCCAACATTTCCGATGCGCCACTACTGTGCCGCGGAAACCCCATCAGCACTCTAGGAGTGTCATTATACAGTGTGTACTTGACCCACAAGCTGCCCGCGTAAACCATTGGCAAAACGCTTCAAAAAGCGTAAACTTTACGCCTCTAGTGCACCGTGTAAACCTGATCAGCACATTGTACCTTTGGCTCCATGTCGTCGGACAAATTTCCCGTCACCCAATGCCCAAGGTACTTGAACCATAGGTGTTGATACGCCATTTATGTTCAGACGCATGACTAGCGATGGGCAAGTCGAGTTATTTAACTCGAGTTACTCCCACAACGAGTCAACTGGAGTTACTTTTCAATGAACTCGAGGTAGCTTGGTGCGGTACCAGCCCCGCCGAGCCGAATACTTCATTCATACAGCGCGTCCGATACTCGTTCTACGACCGTTCCGTTCGGCGATCTTCGGAGCACGATCGTGCCCAACTCACAGCTCTGTGAATCGTCGTCTCGAGCTCATATGAACATATGCCACACCGCTCTCGGAACTCGCGACTCGCGATTGTTCTGTCAGCCACCGATCAGGCTTCACTATGGCACTAACAGTTGAAATAGCTTACAATTAAACAGTAGCACCTTATAAAATACGCACGGACGAAGTAATATTTCTTGCAGCCGCGAGACAAAAAGCGCCTATCGTGTCTCAAGAGACAGCTGTCAAAGGGGAAGATATATCGCTCCTGCCTGTCGCTCTTGGAAGGTTGTGACGTCACACGACGTGAGACTCATGCAGCGGAAGCGACACGAGATTGATCGGATTGCTTATAGGGATCTGCCGAGGCGATTAGGAGCCTTCCATCGTTTTGGATCGCATTGCGCGCGGCGTCGTTTACTCTCTCTCAAGGCTCTCTGTACAATGTAATTAGAAAGGTCGTATGAATTAGTAGTGTTCTGCCTCGCGGGGACGAGTTACCCATACAGCACATTAATCTCGCATTTTTTACTAACCCTGGAGTTTGCTTGCCTGACTACAACTCTGAGGGTATACCTACTACAGCGGTGGACAACCTTATATCTTTAAAACGAATTCCTCAATCATTAACTTGACGCATCACTTCTAGGAGCAGGGAGAATATTTTTTTCTTGCGTGCTAAGGTTTGTACCAAACAATATAAATAGCCTTAATACTAGACAGAGAAACTGCCGTGTTAGACCATTACCTTGCGCTCATGTAATTGCACCCAATGGTTTTGGTAAGGACAGTTCAGCCTGTTGGCAGCAACAGGCGGCTCTCTCGCGAATATTTACGAATAATGGCGCCTCCGCGAACATGCTAGATGCACTACGATGTCATGGCAGCCCCACTACCAGCTAGCTTTCAGGAGAAAGCGTTGTTGCATTATACTCTTAATGTATTCATGGTTTTCTATGCATAAGCTGCACGTGTAAAATGTTTAGGCTTGTTAGGCAATTTTTAAGGTTAACGGTATTGGATGGACAGACGTTTAGCGGTAGAGCTCCTTCTTCCTTGTTCGTCCAGGGAAGTACTGCCGCCACCTTGCCTATTTCTGCCATTAAGCAGTAATGAAAGTATTAGATAGAGAGATATAAATGGAATATTTTCTTCAAATTTAAGTCGGCCCACTACTGAGGTACACTCTTTCCAACACATCATCATCATCAGGAAAAAAAAGAGTTATCGAGTAACGTACACACAAAAAACACCCGAATTGAGAATCTCCCTCTTTTTTTCAAGTCGGTTAAAATGATGTTTTCAAGTGTAAATTTATTTTACCTGTGGAATAAATGATCTTTGACTTTGACTTTCACGTTTTTAGCGTGGGTCGTGAACCTTCTTCGACGCGAAGGTCTCATTACGAAGTGTTCCTTCGCTGTTAGCGAGAGGGCTACTAAACATTTTTAAATTAACATAGGTATTAAAGCTTCCCAGCATGTAGGTCTAAAAATGACCATGGACAAGATGAAACTTATGTCGAATTCCATGTCGTACCCACACCCCTATAACAGTGGGAACCTCTACTCTCGAAGTTGTTGACGAGTATGTGTACATCGGACAAACCGTCCAAGTAGGCAGGGCCAATTTCGAGAAAGAGGTCAATCGTCGAATCTGACTCGGTTGGGCAGCTTTCGGTAAGTTCCGGGACGTCTTCTCGCTTTCTTCTTCCGCAAACTGCAGTACTTGAAGTCAAAAGTCGAGCAGTGCGTGTTGCCAGCAATGACCTGCGGCTCCGAGACGTGGTCACTTACTATGGGCCTCATAAAAAAGGTCAAAGTCACTCAAACTATGGAGCGAGCAATGCTCGGCATCTCTCTACGTGATCGAATAAGAAATTAGGAGATCCGTGGAACGAAAGTCACCAACATAGGTCGAAGAATCAGCAAGTTGAAGTGGCAGTGGCCGGGGCACATAGCTCGTACAACGACGATCGTTGAGGCAGAAAGGTTTTCAAATGGAGACCACAAACCGGAAGGCGCTCAATGGGACGGCCTCCTACTAGACGGACGGATGACATGGTAAGGGCGGCGGGCGACGGGGGATGCACGTCGCGTCCGAACGACTGGTCTGGAAATCTTGAGGTGCGGCCTATGTTCAGCAGTGGACGTCTTCCGGCTGATATGATGATGAAAGTCATAGGTGTACACCGATACTGGGATTTGAAGCGTCGACCTCTCAAAAGAAGCAACCGTTCTCGCAGAGAGCTACCACCACTCCAACTTGTCCAATGTGATGTTAATTAGTGTTGTTTGTAAGCAATCTTTTCTCATTTAAACGTCAAAAGAACTAGAGTAATTGCGCGTCGCATTTTAAAAAGGCCTGCAGCTTACAACTCAGCTTTTCAGGCTCTATGTTCCAGTAAAAAGCTTTCGCGGTAAAAGAACTTCGCAGACATGAAGGCCGTATTAAGCTTTCATGAATAGTTTATTAAAAAGTTACAGTTATGTTGCATTATAAATAGTGTGGTTTGGGGCATATTTTCGCAATGGCTTTGTGCGTTTCGCAGAATATTTTTATTGAACCTCAACCGAGTTTAATTTTTTCTCATTTTTGTTCGATACGGCCCGAGGCCTCGTTCTATTGTATTTATTTTTCATTCATTTTCTTTTTTTAACTGACTTAAAAAAAAGGTTCTCAGTTCGAACAAAAAGAGTTATGAATTATAAAAAAATCCTTAATAGTATCACTATTTTATGTATCACCGTTTAGCTCTTACTGGCTGTCACGATCTATGATCTGTTCTGTCTGATCACGATCTGTTCGAGCGACTTCTTTGCTCAACCAATTGCTCACACAACAGTCACATGCCGACATATTCTATGACAGTTCGAATGCATTCTTAAAGCATGCTATTTTGTTCCTCAATGAATTTTTAAAAATCCAAAGCAGAGTACCTATGTAATTTAATCTAATTATAATTGTAATTAATGTATAGTGACTAGCATATAAGTGCTTTGGCTTGCGCTGTAAACTTATATTGTGAATAAATAAATAAATAAATAAATAAATAAATAAATAAATAAATGATATCTGAAATAAGTAATGTTAAAAAAATGAGTTTCTTGTCCAATTTGAATGAGCAGTCGGTAACAGTTTCATTATACGACGATTTCAAATGCCATTCGTTTGCTGCACAACCCGCATGGCGGACTCTACTGAGCCCTCTCTTTAGAGGAGACCCGTTGCTAGCAGTCGAGGGTATAACGTTAGAGTCTGGCTGACGTCGAAGATGCCACGAGAAACAGCATTTTGATTCGGTTTTTCCGCCCCATTCCCATATCTACCTTCGTCGGGATTTATCAAATGGAGCAGAAAACCCTTTCGGGGTGCAATCGAATTCCATGGTTTCGCGGGAAAGTTAATTAAAAAAAAACAAAGTTTTCTTAAATCTCTTTAACGTGTTAAAATACGTGTTATTACTTAGAGGAATCTGCCTTGGACTATACTATTCAATAAATATATAAATAAATAATTTCAATTACAAATAAATTCAAAGAGACATTGTTATGATTATATCTACGTATAGGAAATGAAACTATTTTTCCGGCTT